TATCGAAGCCACATTTGTGTGCGACTTTTGTCGTAGGACAAATTAGTATTGCCAATGACACCAACGTCCAATTCAAATAAAGAAATCGTAATTGATACAAGCGCGTTTTATTTTTTATCTGGCATACGTTTGCATCCGGTTATTATTTATTATTTTTAATAGAAAACACTGCAAAATTAATCTCAGAATTTCGGAGAATCGGGGATATATAAAAAATAAACTCCGATAAACACCGAATTTTCCCTAAAAAATAAACTCTGAAAAACACCCTCCGAATTTCACGAAAATAAACTCCGAAAACACGGAGCCCTAGCTATTTAGTATCGCGAAATTCATAATAGTTCTTGCAAAATCGGCAAATGAAAATGATGCAAAAACCAACATTCAAATATACCCACACTTTTCAGTGCCGTGACGTCAGTGGAAGGCAAGCTTGCCAGTCGAGCGAGCAGTCTAAAAAATAAAATATGCCAATCATTTGTTCCGTGCTTGAGCGCGGGTCCTGGAGCGAGCTTCCAAAGCATTCATTTGACACCATGAGACTGCTTCAAATCAGTTGGGAACAAATTCTGCAGTCCGAAGAGTGAACCCCGGCACTTCCACTGACATCACTTTTTCGTTGTTGACAGTATACTTTCAGTTTGAAAAACACGGTGAGGACCAAAATTGTAAATTCAATAACTTTGTGAAAAAAAATTATTTTGATCTAATATTTGGGATACTATTTTGGCTATGTTGTTTGGCGAGTTTAGCAAAATTTTAAGCAAATCGGGGACCATGAAGAAATTGCCGGAGTACCCCTTTAAACCCTCGCTCTGGAGGAACGGGTGTATGGAGTTAAAATTTTCAAAAGTATCTAGATTTGGAGCTTGAATTCACAAAGTAACTAAAGTTGAAGCTAAATTTAAAAAAAAAGAAAAAGCCAAATAATTTATTGGTGGCCACAACTTGGCCATCTCCAAAACTCTGCTGCCCTACGCAGCTGCCTACTCTACCTATTGGTAAGTCCGCCCCTGGTCGAATACAGTCAATATTCCAAAAAGGACGGACAAATTTCGTAACTTAGCTAATCATAATACCTGCTTTATTAATACTGGCGATTTCAGTGATATATCAAAGCATTGATGATGAAGTATCAAGTATCTATATCGGAAATTAATTTCAGTTCTGTATTGGCAATACAATTTTTTTAGGATATCAGTATCAAAGATACTTTATTGAAGTATCGTGCCCAGCTCTGAGTACTGATAACACCCTATGCATTTGGGGATTCAGATATTCCACAACGGCAACGATTGGCCGAATTTCCCCACGCAAAATTAAACATTCAATCGGGGGCCCATCCTACCCTCTCCAGCCTGCTCCGACCATGGGCCATCGATAACAAATGCAAAGGCATGGATGGCAGCCTCTAGCCATCTCACCGAAATCAACCCATGAAGGCTGTTCTGACACTACCTGTTAAGAAAGCTCACCATTTTGTTAAAACTCCTAAGACTCGGTGAGAAAATCTTCAAACAACCAAAAGTAGAAGAAAGCTCATTTCTGCCGCCCATGCAGTAGGGAGCAGCATGAAACGAGCTCGAAAGGGTTACTTCCGTTGAAGCGGCAACGTACAAAATGCTGCCCGAGCGATCCTGGGTCAAAACCTGCGGCTCGTCTTTCAAGTGTAGGAGCCTACCTATGCTGTCCTGGGCAGTAGAGCAGAGATCAGTAGACTCTCAGTGCGCAAACGCTTCGAGTGTGCCGGCCGAAAATGCTCGCGTGCGGCTGCCTTATATGCAGGGGCGCCCAGTCACGGGTACCGCGCCCGTCGCGCGGGTACCCCTCGATTTGGCCGCCTCCGTCGATACTGGGGACAGCGGCGTCCTTCAGCCGGTCCCGCCGTTCACAACCAAACATCCGAGACGTCCGAGCTGTGCCCTAGGTTCATTCAAACTCCAAGCCGAGGATAGCTTGTACAGTACAGTGTGCCGTAATTATGGTAAACTCCTAACCTAAACAGCTTTGCACAAACGACCCGTAACCCGATGTAGCCGCTGCCGACCCGCCGTTGCCGTTGCCTCTGCTGCCAAAGCTGCGTCCGATGCTATTTCGAAGCCTCTTGTCGCCGGTTATCCCAGAAAGACGGAGCAAAAGTAGCGATGGTCACACTCACCATGGCATTTTATGTCCGTAACTTTGGTCCACACACAAGCACAATAAACATCTGCGTTCACCTTGCACAGAAAAACCGTCACCTCTCTCGCGTGTTGATTTAGCCGATTCACCTGCGCCGCTGTTGCTCATTCGTTCATCGAACCATCGCCTCATCAAACTGACAGTAACGTATGCATGAATAAATAATTTATATAAATAATTATTAGTTAGGACAATCTTTGAGTGAGTTTCCTTCAAATCTCCAAGCGCTTATTGATTGCGGGTGTAAAGGTGGTGGTTTCTGGAATACCAAAACATTAAAACAAAATGACGTCATACTAGTTGACTCTAGTTTCGGTTTCTGCAACAAGTTGCGCGCTGTTGCGCCGACACTCGTTCTGCCCGTTCCCACGCCAAAAAAGAACAAGAAAAACACAAAGCACACATGTGAGAGAGAAATTAAACACGTCTGACAAGTTTGTAAGCTTCGCGCGACCCGCAAACCTCGAGCCCTTGCCGAATAAAACAAGGTACAAAAGCAATCCAACCAGTTTCGTTCAAGAAATGTATAAAATAAAACAAAAGTCAAACAAAACCTTTTGTTTTTTTGTATTGTCTGCCCCCTTTGTCTCCCTTGCTGTTTTTACTAATTTACGCTCCAGTCAAGGGGTTTACCGTCATGCTCAATATTTTCATGTTCCTAGAAACAAAGGCAAATAATATATATATATATATATGTATATGTATATATATATATATTCGTTTTTTTTAGATATCGCATAAATTAATTTGATTGGCTGCAGCGGTGCCCGTACGCGAGGATATTAAAATATGAACCTACCCAAATACATATTTTATTTTTTTCCCAAATCATGCTAATCTTTTTTTTCGTGAAATCATCAAATCACAATGTGGGCCATTGTAAGTATTTGTTATGACAGAAAAATTTGTGTAATGCTAAGGAAATAAAATTGGTTTACTTTGTGCCCACTTTCAGTTTGCCAAAATGGCAGGTTTTAATGAGTTTAGTACACAAACTCGTCCTTTTATATCTTTACTAAACATGTGTGCCACATAATTGTACATGTTCTAAACTAGATTGCAAACCTTTCAAAGGCCCAAGCACTGACCAGTGGGACCAAGGGATTGCATGGCTCTTCAAACACCAAATATTCTTTAAAAAATATATATATATATATATTTTTTTCTTTTTTTTTATGGAGCAGGTGCAAGGCTGGGGCTAGATAAGAGACGGAAAAATCGCGCGGGCGCCTTACCGCAACCGCTAGCTTTGTACCTGCTCCACGAGTGGTAACTTTAGTACACTACTACGCTACTCACGCACTCAAACTCTTTCTGAAAATGACCGATTTAGTGCTTTTCGATGACGCTGAGCAAGTTTCTAATTGGGACCATACGTCTATTTTCATTAATTAAAAAGTTAATTATTGAATTTTCGTTAATTAGCCAACTGATCGTTACGATTAGCCCCCTATAATACGTCTCCCTGGCCGTATAACTCACCTCCACAAGCAGCATAAGTGTAACTTTCACGGCTTTTTTTAAATAAATCTGCTTGAATTAAAAATTAACACCCGGTATAATGTAGGATGCCGAAGTCTATAAAGTAATGAAATCGCACTTCAAAATGTTGTTGGAGTGAGTCGATGTTTCGGCCTGAGGCAGGCCAAAGAACTGGTGTTAATATTCTCGCAATTTCTGAACTTTGTTAGGGCCTTTATCTCATTACCAGAAACTTTGTTAATAATAAAATTGGGATCAAGTAATAAGCATTTTTTCAAACATTCAGCTGTGATCTGTTGACAATGATAACCTCGAATCCACAAACAGGCACGGCAATGCAAAATTGTTTAATTAATAAATTATAACTAAAAACTCAAGTACTGAAGGAACTATCTCATAGGAAAAGGCCGAGTAAAAATGACATTAACTGCATATCAAGTGTCTTTGACTGGAGATTCCCTCAAAGTTGCGAGCCTGCAAAACTTCTTAAGGGGACACCGACACAGTATTTATGCTCGTCGAGGTTTTTTTTTTGAACATGACCTCCAAGAGTCCAAATACTCACAATGTAATTTGCAGCTCAAAGTTTGCTTTCTATTCATTCGAAAACAGCTGGGCAAGAATTGGCTGGTTTTAATAGTTTTTTCTTTTCCATGGTCACGTGGCATTCAAACTATGTGTACCAAATATATTTGAAGTCGTGGGTCATCTAAGGCACACATTCAATATTATTAAAAGGAAAAGAATATGAACCCCAATTTTATGGCCTCCAAGAAGCTGCATATATGTTGATTGAAAAAAAAAATATTGCACAGATATCAGGAACTACATGCACGTCATTCTCAATACGGCAACGTACTACAAGCTGGACGGTGGCGGCGTACAATCCATCTTGAAGCACAGGACATCGAGGGGAAGGGATATAAGTGAGATACAATCACACGACAAACAGTGGATGCTAATTTGTCGTTGTCTGCTTCATACGCTGGAGAAGCGTAGAAAAAAAAATGCGGTCGGCTGTAGCCACGTGATTTCTGGCTATAAACTTCCGTGTTCGTGTTTCGGTTTTTAGCAGTCAAGATTTTGGCTTTATTAAAAATATATGGCGGCTCTGCAGCAAAATATTAATTACGTAGTCTCCCAACAGTGTACAAAATCGTCTGGAAAAAAAAAATATTTGAAGGGTGTTAGTGTCTTTTTAACCCACGGCCACTACCTGTGAACCAAATAATGCAAGAGCGAAAAAAAAACATTCAGCTTTCCTGGCGACGAAAAGTTGTACAAAGCCACAATTAGGGCGTTTAATTCGACCCCAGATAGGGGACCAATGCCTTTCGTAAAAGGGCAGCCTCTTTTATTAAGACACCTATAACTTGAAGGAATGCGCAACGACCACCAAGATTTGAACTTCTGAAGAAAACTGGTTTCCATCTCCGAGACCGCATTCGCAAACCACACACACGAGCAACGGACAGTACGGCCGAACAGTACCGCCGCACAGCTGAGTCGCAGATTCACTTGTGCTTCTGCAGGTGAGGGGCAGACAGCTTCACCTTGCCCGGGATGTTTCGAGAAATGTCCTGGTCCTTGCTAGCCCTTAGCAGGTCTCGCTCCCGGGCGCTGGTGGCCTTGTCGTGCATGAAGACTGTGAGTGCCGTCTTGGCTGCCTTGCCCCTGCGTCCAGTACCAGGAGTCACCTTCACCTTGTGCTTGAAGTTCTGCATGGCTCCGTAGGGGGCGCACACAGGCACTGCAAACAGCAGTCCGTCCTCCGGGACGGGGCATCCCGTGAGGGTGGCCAGGAGTTGTCTGGTCTCGTCCCCAGGGGCTGTTTCCTCCTCTTCCTCTTCTCCATCCTCTTCATCCCCGTGGGGTTCTTGAGTATCTTCTACACACACCTTGTTCATGACAGGCTCCAATGAAGGCCGTTCCGAAAGGCATCGGTCTGGCTGAGCCTCTTCTGACTGAGGATTCTCTGACTGAGGTTCCTCTGACTGAGGTTTCTCTGACTGAGGCTTCTCGGACTGAGATTTCTCTGATTTCTCTGACTCAGCTTCTTCCAACTGGGGCTGTATTAACTGAGCTTCTTCCAACTGAGGTTGCTCTAACTGGGGCTGCTTCGGTTGAGGTTGCCCCAAATGGGGCTTTCCAGCCCCCGGCTTTCCTGGCTGAGGTTTTTCTCGCGCTCCAACATTCTTCTTAGCACCCTTCTTCTGCTTGCGCCCCTTGGGCTCCTTCGCAGTTCCGGCAGATGCAAGGATCTCCATGCGCAAGCGACGTTCCTCTTCGTCTTGGTCTTTGTACTTCTCCCTCATCTTTTTTAACTTGCCATGAGTTCCCCTTTTTGCCCGTGGCTTTGTCTCCAATGCCGGCTGTGGGTCCGATGGTTTTTCGACGGGTGCTGCCGGAGCTGCCTTACGAGGCCAATGTGGCCCCCTAGCGGCGCTCTTGCTTTGCTGGGAGTAGACTACTTCCTCTGCTTCCTCAGAGGGCACAAGCTCATGGGGCAACTTCACCACAGTGTCCGGGAACACCTCTCCCGGTGCTCCATCGGCCTCGCCCTCGGAGCCAGACCCTTCCGAGATTTCAAGCTCTTCCTCCTGCTTTTCGGGGGTGGCCGAGGCATCTTCTTCGGCCGTGCGCACCCTCCGTTCCCCGCTATGCCGCTCAACACTGTCTTCGTCCAGCTTGTACAGGAAGCCAAAGCCCATGATGAGGTACGAGGGTGGTAGGTAGTTCTTCTTACCCCGGATCATGAAGGCACCGGGCGTCAGATACTGCCCCGTAGGGGCTGTCTTGGACACCTGATGGTGGTGCACCCACCAGGCACTTGTCACCACCTTGGCATCCCAGGCCGCACTGTAGCAGATGGCCATGGTGCCAGCCTCGTTCAGAGTCTTGGGTGGCACAGAACCACCACCAGGGTTCTTGATGACAATGCTACTGGCACCGTGCAGATCTGCATGCACATACACATCGCCTGGATTCAGGTGCCGTTTGACAATCATCTCGTTCTGCTGGGCGTCCCGGCCGCCGATGACAAGGTAGTCTTCTGAACTGATGAACCAGAAGAACTTCTCGAACCAGAAGGCCTTCCTTGCCCTAGCAATATTGGAAGTGAGGGCTACTTGCTTGAGGGCCTCTTTTGTTTTCTTCTCTGCAGACTTGTAGGCCTTGGTCGAAGACTCGAGGGTCTTCTGCTGCTTCCCCGCGGCATGCCTCTTCTGGTCATAATACCTGCGGGCGTTGGCATAGGCAGACAGGTCCAAGTCAATGTCTACGAGGGTGTCCCTTGCATCTTCCTCATACGGGTCTCTCAGGAGCATGGCAAAGTGATTTGTGTCCAACTTGAGCTGCTTAATAGACTGTGCCACAGGGTCGCCTTGCTCTTGGGCTTCGCGCAGCAGCTCTGTGATCTCTGCCCAACCAATCTGGTTGGCCAGGGCACTCCGGAGCACCAGCAGAGCGCGCTCCACCAGGTCCAGGTTGATCTCAATGAGTTCCGCCTTGTGCTTGTCTTCCCGCTGAACTTGCTCCAGCGCCACGATGCGCTTCTCGTGGTCCATGCGGATGTTCTCCAGCTTCTTGAGTGCCTCCTTCTCTTTCTGGTGTGCCTTGAGGCTGATCCTCTGCATCTCGAGGCTCGAGAAGAACTGGTCCACGGCGGCACTGAACGAGGCCAGTTCCTCAACGCGTTCCTTCTCGTGCTGCCGCCACAGGAATGGATGGAACTCTTGGTAGCTGGTGATCTCCGTGCTGCCGTCGTCGGCCGGCGTCACGCGCTTCTCTACACGTACAAGGATGTAACCCTTGGAGGGCTCCGTTCGCGCCCGCTCCATGAGAGCCTCAGCATCTCGCAGGCACTCCAGGAGAGTGGCTACATCTCGCGAAGCGTCCACGTCAGCCACCTTGGCGCCGGTCGAGAGGCCCCTGGCACGGAGTACGTGCTCCAGTAGGGCGGGTCCGTACGATACCTTCGGGGTGAGCAGCTTGCGCAGCGTGTCGGCGGGCTTGGCAAAGCGTAGGATATCTGTCAAAGCTTCAGCGTCCAGTGCCGGGCTCAGGGCACTCTGGACGGGGTATCTCTCACGCACCACGAACTTGACGTCATCGTCATCCTTCCCGGTCCTTGGCCGCAGGATGTTGAGGATCATGTAGTCGCCGTCAGTGAGCACTAGGTTGCCTCTGTCATAGAGCTCGAGGATCACATGGTAGGCGGCCTCGTTGACCCCGAACTGGATGTCCACGATACGGTCTGCGCCTAGCTGGCTCACGCTCTCCACGCGCTTATTCCTCAGGTGCTTGCGCAGCTTCATCGAGAACCCCGACGGGCTCAGGTTCTTGGGCCAGGCGAAGTCGGTCGTGTGCAGGCGCACGCCGGACTCGACAAGCAGCACGGCCTTCTCATCGTGCCGGTTCAGCTTGAACAGGTACGTCTTCGAGTCGGCGTCGTAGACCTGGATGACGCGCATGCCGACGAGCCGCTGTCGCAGCTCGCAGATCATCGCCACGATGTCCACCGTGCTGAAGCGGGACTTCATGGTGCCCGAAGCGCCTTCGTGGGGGCCGCGCAAAGGTCACACGCACTTGGTCGAGGCTCGCGAACAACCGATGACACCGAGACGTTCACCTCACAGGATCACATCGCACCACTCAGCTTGGCATAATGTAGAAAGTTGGAAACTAAACCAAATCAACGAAGAGCCTGCGAAGATCGAGCCAGCAGCGACGGAGCGACAAACGTTGCAGCGACCGCAGCGACCGCAGCGACCATCAACAAGCGGTTGTAGATATAGATGAATGTATTTCAGCACACTATCGTGAATCGGGCGGCCTTTTGCGTCACCTAACACAAATATCTCATTGTCAAAGACATGATCAAAAGATCCCCCCTTCCCCGCTCCACGAAAAGAAAACGACGAAATGTCATCAACCAAGATAAAATAGCGGACAAAGCGTCGGAGGAAAAGAAAAGTAGTAGAACCAGTAAAACGAGTAGAACCTTCCTCCGACGTTTTGTGCGCTGTTTTATGTGTTTTATCTTCCCAGAGGAAAACCAAAAATTAGTGCAGCCTTGGAGCTATCAAATTATTGTTTTCATTTGATCTAATTATCTAATCTTTCCAATTTTTTCATTTAAAAAAATAAAGTAAAATTGAGGGTGGCGCCAGCTGCCGCCCAATACGAAGGATATATTTAGCTACTACCGTCCATCCACTCATCAATCCAAGCGTCAAAATGGCTGTTCATGCAGACGCTGCGAAATCGAATTTACCCGATTGCGCTCTCTCCGCCGGTGGAGACTTCGTGGCTTCCTTAAACATCAATGGCATCATCGACGAAACCGAGAAGTTTCCTAGTTTCCGGGAACCGCGGGAGATCGGTCAGTTCTCCCTGGTGGGCTCCGAGCGCGAGTATAGGGAAGGCAGCGATCAGCTCAAGTACCTCCACATGCCCAGCCATCGGCACCGTCTCATGTGGGACCTGAACCGCGGCTACGAGCAGGCCATCCGCAAGGAGGAGGAGGACAGCCGCGAGAAGCTCGACAACCTACTCAGGTGGATCATGGCCAACAAGGCCAAGTTCGCCGTCAACAGTGCCGCGCAGCCAGCGCAGCCGCACGACTCCGCCAGGTAGGTACCACGCCTACTTCCCGCGCTCGACCCGCGCTACGGTAACGATCGGCTGCACCTCCAGCGAACGCCGCTTTAGCGATTGTTCGCTAAACATTCCGCGAACGAGCTTGACAGCCTTATCGTTTCCCGTAGGCTTGACTCGAAATTGGCTTGGCTCATTCCTAAACCATGTTTGATCTATCTCATAGTCTACGTGTCCAACCCCAAGAAGGCTTTGACAAGGTAACTGAGCGGAGCCGATACTGACGAAAGCCCACGTACATCCCTTGAAACGGTGATTTGTGAACTGTGGTCTCCCAAAAAGCTGTTCGCAATGTGGCAGAACCCATCCCACGTAAACACTGCTTGCTCGATTCATACATGGGGGGCTTCCAGAACAGAAAAGCATGTTTGGCCAACACCGATGTTTTTAGTTGGCCTTTGAGGGGCAGCTTGATGAAGTATGTCAGAACTTGTTTTAAGGTGTCTTTTGGTGTTCTTGCCTTGCTCGTATATCAGTGCATATAGCCTCCCATGAGAATGGAGGCAGTCTTTTGGTGGATAGCTGTAACACTGTACCATCCTAACCAATATGATCTGATACCACAGTACTGACATTGTGCCCCTATCATTGGCATGTGCCAAACGCTCTGCAGGAGAAGAAGCAGATTAATTTAAAAGAGTGCTTTGCGAAAATGTTTTTATACTTCGGGGCCAGCGTATCAGTAATAGTGTCCAAATAAGGAAGAGGGAGGGCATAGACATGTGACATGTCCTCAGTGCAGGATTGGCCGAGATGGCTCGTAGCATCCGCTGTGGTTCATCGTGAGATGAAACGGAGTATAGGGAGTATTCACATGGTGCCGCGCTTCAGTGCGAACCTGCCATCCGACATTGCCGTAGGTATTGTAGGCCGTGAGCTTCAATGCGCTTGGCATGCGTATGGAATAATGCGGAGGCGCATTTCTAACCGCCGTTCTTGACGTGTGTCGTGCAATGTTCTTGCAGCTCAGCTCCTCGCACTCGCTGTCTTTTAAAGGGGTACAGAATCGAAACTCGAAATATCCTGGAACAGTTCGAAACGGGTAAAATATAATCCATGATATCCGTAAAAAAAATAATCACACACTTTTATTTTGAGCGGATGGCTATAGTTTTCGTTCTAACCGACGAATTCTGGCGAGCATTTCACAAGCAGTCATTGAGGCGGCGCGACGCATCTCGAGATATTTTTCCGTGACGTCACACTTCCAACGTTGTGGGCCTATAAGCGGCCAAGGGTACTGCAATTATGATCGTCGTCACTAGCCAGGTTTAAGTATAAACCGCGTGGAGGCAAATTGGCGAGCGATGAGACTAGTGACAGCGACCCGATGTGCTGTCGCTCGGTCAGTTGCGCGATGAGGCAAACCGCATGAAAGCGACGGGAGAAAGCAACCAAGGCGATGAGCGATGTTTTCTAGAAATCCAAAAACCAAGCGATGCGACGAGTGACAGTGAGAAATCTCCGTCGCTCGTTGCTGATTCTCGTCGCTGTTGCCGTAGCTTGTCTCGTCGCTCATTAAATCTCTTACATGCGGTTTAGCCTTTATCAAAACGCATCACAATCCCGCCAAGTGGGAATACTCGAGGTATTGTGTAGTAGAACCGAAAAGTGTTCCAAGTGCTGCTCGTTCCTGCGCACCTTCATCAGACACGCCGGTGCCGTGGCGCTGCTCCTGATGGGCTCGTGACATGAAACATTCCAACGAAGCTTGGCCCCCCAACTACCAGGTGGTGTTGAAAAATATTTTTATTCGTCTTAAAATTGCTTTTGTTGCATTTACGGACGGAAGACAGGTACTTGTGAGCTGCTGTCATTAAGGAGACCACGTCCAAACGAAGAAATAGGCACTAAAGTTTCGCTTCCGTGGCCCTTTAATATTTGTTTATGTTGTGCTGCTATCCAGCACTACCAAGAAACCCCCTCTCCAAAGAGAAAGGGGCAGCCAGTGGGGAAGCGCAAGTCAGGCACAAGTGTCCCTGCTGGCGCCTCTGTCTCGCCGCACATGGAATGGAAGTTGGACCCTGCTGTGGAAGGGGGAGGGGGAGGGGGAGGAGGAGGAGGAGGAGGAGGAGGAGGAGGAGGAGGAGGAGGGGTTTGACAGAAGATCTCCCTAGCGTCAGTGGCAGGCGTGCATCATCCGTGGGTCTTTATGAACTAATGTAAATGAGTAATTCCCTCAAGTTGTCGTAGTGGCCGCTGCCTCACCATCAAAGTCCCCAGCTGCGCTCAGAGAGAGGATTTTCGACGCCCGGTGTCTTTTCCAACCCCAACGATAACTTTACTGCGAGCGAGCGTGCAAAAAGGTAGCTCTCCAAAGACATCTATCCTCGAGAACCTTCATAGTGGCAATGAGAGGACATGCTTGGACTAAATGTCAGCAAATTGAGTGTGCAAAACAACACGCGTAAGTATTGTTCACATACATGCGGTATACGCACTGCAACCTGTTTTACTATGTACAATTTTTAATTCAAGAAGTGTCCCTTAAATTCAAAAAAAAAAAAAGATGCGGAGTGTTATGATAGAAGTTTTTTAAAGTACGCCCCAATTTTGAATGCGTGCATATTGCGAAATTAAGACGATGTCCTTCCCTTTCAATGACAGACTTGCGAGTTACTGCCATTACTGGCTAGCAACGAGAACAGTGCACGGCAATCTGTTGGAAGTTGGTCGCTTTGAAACACCGGCTCTAACCGAGTGCTTCCTGTTGGCCGATGTCGACCGGCGGCTTCACCTGTGCCTCTCGGCGCAGCAATCGGCCAATATTCATATTTTCTGATTTCTGATGACTTGTGATCTGCTTGTTTGTTGTTTAGCCCACCACGGCACAGTTAACCCTACACAACACCTGCCGCGAATCGCAGCTTTGGATGTAGCAATGGTTGTCGAATGGCGATTTTCCTTTTCGCGAAGTGTCGCTTCGAGCAGAGCAAATACCTGCCATAATGCAGTGTTATAGCCACCTGCCAAAAGGTCGTTCCCTCAGTCGGAGAACTCATAGAGGTGACGGAGGCTCGTGAACCGTTCGCAGCCTGCACACAGACTTTGTGTGCTACCGGGGCCTGCTGACGAAGCTGGCGTGCACCCCGTACGAGGCCAAGGAGGACTGGCTGGTGGCGGCCACGCTGTTCCGGGGCACCACCTACCTGTACGCCTTCCCCACCGAGGCGGAGAAAGCACGCAACGCCGCCCAGACTCCCCGCCAGGACCGCATGACCTTCTGGGGGCGCAAGTTCGAGCAGTACATGGTCACCGGTGAGGGCATGCCGACTGGGGGGGGGGGGGGGAACCGTCGCGCCGACCTTGCCCTTCGAGTCGCCACGGCATGGTACAGACACGGGTCATGCCATGTCGCGTGACACCACGTGACCTTCCAGCGTTGCACAACATGGTCACGTGGTTAGTGTTAAGTGACCACCGTCTGCCAACATACGACGCCGTGATGCGACACCGTGACATGACGCGACACGCAAAAGATGTGTTTACCCTTCCTGTAATGTGTAATTCCACCAACGTGCTCACACTCTCTATCCCGGCCGAGGTGCCCGCAATCTGACGGAGGCTTATTGCGGAGAAGACGCCGTGTAACCGAGCTTTCGGTTGCACGTCAAAAGATCCCCAGGTGGTCGAAATTAATCCTCAGTCCTCCGCTGGGGCGTGCCAGATGCCCATCGTTGGTTTGGCACGTAAAACTCCCAAATTTTTTTGCTCACACTCTAAACACTCTGCTGAATTTTTAAAAAATACTTCCCCGCCAATTTAGTAGTTTGCTCGTTTAACACTTTGCCATAAAACAATGTCACACTCCGACAGCGGCATCACAAGGGGGGGGTGCGCAGGGACGGGTGCAGCGCCCGGGAAGGTGCAGCTGGGCAGTGAAATGGGGTTGGGGGGGAGGGAAGTGTTGCGATGGGCAACCCACCGCCTCAAGTGCTACTGACCCTAGTGACTCCACCACACTCCGAAGGCCAAAACCGTCCCTGTAACACGTTCTGCATTCAAGCATTTTTGGGGGAGTTGCAGGTGCACTGCAGTGCCGAGGCAGGGCAGTATTGGTGCTAGTGTCGGAGCTGAAATTCGGCGCCGAACGATTAGTGCCGCATCGTACATGTAAACTGGAGAAGGTCGGATCATGCGATGTAGGGCAAAGCAGGCGATGTGTCTGTGGTTCCAAGTTAATTCTGTGCTGTACGTGTGAATGGGATTTTGGCATCCGTTCAGCGTCTCCACCAAGGAGTCGACCGTAGGTCGGCCTACGAGACGTGTGGGCATGTCCGTAGCTTAGCCCCATGCGGCGGTACAAGAAACTCTGTTCAGATTGCGAGATGAAAGCACACTTTTCGTGCGAGTCTCATAAAAATATCACGTGCTCGAGAAAATTTGTCATCTGCGTAGAACCTTTATTTCTAAATTTTTTTTCGAAAAAAACGGCGAAAAAGCCCAAGATTGCACTCAATCTCGCCACCCCACCGTCTCATTCCATTTAATAAAGTCCGTCCGCTATGGTCATCGGAAGGACAAGGTGGTGTTGCGAGATCAAGTGCATGCTTCGGCTATTTTGCTGCGCTTTTCAATGGGCAGAACCCATACGAAAAGAGTTTGAAATGAAGACTCAACGCATATATCTGATTTTCTCCAGCGCCTAATATTTTGACGGGCCTACATGAAAAGCACGTTTTTCGTAGAACGTGGGGCTGATGTATCAAACTGCCGGGGTCGGGGCGACGCCCGGTGCAGGCCAGCCCGGGGTGCCACCCGACACGAACGCCCAGGTGAACGAGCGTGAAGAGTTCTGCGTGGTGGCCCGCTGCCGCCTGGAGGCGCACTCCCTGGTGCTGGGGGCCGAGGTGGACTGCCGCGACCCCCGGGCCACCCCGTCCGCCCACCGGCCGGGCTCCACCTCGGCCTACGTGGAGCTCAAGACCTCCAGGGACTGCCTCAGCGAGCGCCAGTACCAAAGCTTCTGCAGGTGCCGTGCTCCTTGCCTTCCTTCCCCCGGGGCGGTCTGCTAGTGAATGCGGCTGTTTCACCCCTAGGGTATGAGGGATTTTCGTGCCACACGACCAACTTGAAGGCAGAAAGTACCTAGCGTTGCAGCCGATCCCGTTCGGCAAAGCCCACTGTTTCCTTTAATTCTCGCTTAACTCGATCTTTTGTAGAAATAACTCTACGTGCTGCTCCTAAAGTACACGAATGCAGTTCATTTCACTTACATTGCAAACCCGTTCACCCTCTTTCCGTGTGCTAGAGTGTACTCGAATAATCGAAGTGAGCACGGACTTACTTACGGTAGTCATTTGCCCGTCTCGGTTTGTGTCGCATTGTCCAAGCTGGCGTAGCTTCCATAGTGCTCCGATGCTGTCATTTTGTCTAGCATCTCGTTCGCACGAGAGCTCATGCAAATTAGACGCAAGACGAAGCCACATGATCTCTTGGGAGTGCCGAGCCGAAGCTCCGTAAAAACTACGCTAGCTTCGACGACATAGCAGAAAGTAGTTGGTGTGGTGTCTTTTCATAGGTACCTCATGCTCACAAAGCCAGTTGTGGGACAAGAAAATCTCTCTCGCAGGGATTTTAGTTGCCGGTAGGGATACCCGCATGCACTAGCAAGCCGGCCCTGGGGTATGTTGCCTGGAATACATCTCCAACCCGGGTGAAGCCACCTGGCCCGACACTAAACAGCTTAGGTTTAAGAAAGGGAGCAACTCAAACCACAGACATCATTTGCAATTTGATGGCAGGTGCCATACGGGCCCAGCGTCCGCCGACAGGTGTCACACGCACAGTCCGGAGCGCACCGCTCCCGCGCTCTAGACGGGTTTGATGCCGATTGTACCTATATGCTGTATTATAGAATTAAGAACAAAACGAGCGTGTTGGTAACGGTAATTAGACATGAGGAAGTCTTCGTTGTCCGTCCCCCCTTTCTATGTATCTTCCTCATGTCTAATTGCTGTATTATAGTTTGCTTGTCTTGCTCTAACACACTTGTGTGAAAACACGAGCGGACGGGACATTATCAACTTTTTAAAAATGACTTTAATTCATGTTATTTTATGTTAATTCATGGAATATATAAAAAAAAAAACATTTTTATACCCAAAACTGTGCCCCTTTTTGGGGCACTGCCAATTCTTTTTTTGAAGAAAGGTGGTGACCTTAAGTGTAATGTCTCGTGGAAACTTGCTAGTTCAGGCAACAAATGCATTCTGCATTAATAAATTTGCCACCACATAAATTTAAGCTTCGAAACATTTGCAGGTGCAGAAATAAATTTTAAAAAAATCTTGTGAAAGGAAGTTTTATTACATTATCGAAGTGTACAACAGTGGGAAAGGGATTTCTTCGTTAACAGTTTATTGTTAACAGCACGGTTCAGACAAACCATGCTGTTTGATTTTTCTTTTCTTTCTCGTGTGTAAGGGGTGAGTGTACTTTTGCAGTAGTGCGCTGTAGTGTGCGTTAATATGAGCAACCAACTCGCTCAACCTGCTGTGTTAACAAAACAAAGGCTCATACACTTCCATTCAACACAAAATGGAATGTTACAGAGAAGAAAATATTTGTTGTGGCATTGCTTTATACAAAAAAAAAATCTTACATTAGCCTCAATTTAAATTAAAGGGTACCAGACCAAACAGGTTTGAAAGGGGTTTCTGATCGAAATGAATGCGCTCATCATAAACCATTTGTTGTAAGCAATACTCATGAGACCACGCTACACTTTTTCAACAAAAGAGAATTGAGTCGCTTCAAGCAAGTTCCTTGCAACTGAATGGAACATCGGCTTTAATAAAACTAGAGTGCGAAATGGATTAATCACGCACACCTGAGAAGTGAGATCTCGCATCATTTGATAAGGCCTAGCACTTGAAAAGAAACGACAAAAACTTTCACTGTTTCTCTGCTACGAGCACACTGCAAACAAGACCTGGGGACTCCGTGGCTCCCTCTTGCTTTCTCCTCTTGTAGCCCCCAAACCCCGTATCCACCGCCCCTCTCTTAACCGAGGACGTTGCGTCAGTGTACAGCAAGGGGTGCACCTCAGAGCGCGCAGTGCCAGGCCAGCGAGAAATGCCGGCCCGGTACCGTAACGTGACCCTCTTTGCATCGACAGACATACGCCGGCAGACAAGCGGGAAGTGACGGCCTCTGCGCCGGCGGCAAGGAGAAAGGTTTTTTACATTGTTTACCATACAAGACATTGAGAACACTCACCCTTATTTAATTTTGTATGGCAGCCATTTCGTCGTTGACCTAAAGGGTGCTAAGTAGATGAATTTGCACCGAATCGTAAATTAGTTTGTCAGCTAAAAATGGCAGCGAACACCCACCGGTTTCAACGCGGAGCCTTTTAAGCCAAAGCCGTAAAGACCTCCTCTGTCGTTTTTCACTTACTTTATTCCGTAAAGTGTATAGTGGCGACTTGGCGGACATTTCCGGCAGGTTCAAGCTGCTCAAGTGGTGGGCCCAGTCCTTTCTGGTGGGCATCCCCAGGGTGCTGTGCGGCTTCAGGGACGACGACGGCAAAGTGGGCACCATCGAGGAGCTGAGCGTGCGCGAGATGCCACACCGGGCCAAGGTGGGCACTCCGGCCGTTCGCCAGCGGGGGAGAGCTTTTTATGGCAGGGCCTCGGAAAAGCCCTGGAACGCGTCGAGCCGGGAAGCGACTACAGTCGAGGAGACCGGAGCCAACAGTCTAGCAGCCGCGGCTTTGAGTCTGGCGACAACTCGGTTAGGTGGCGCAAGCTACCGCCCATCGTAAAGGGTACAGCCGTTAGCACACATCCATCCACCCTTCGATGGTACGGTGCCCGGAACGTTCTCCGACTGGTGCGTTTAGCGTCCCATTCTGTCCGTGCATCGAAAGCGGTGCCAAAGCGGCAACAAGTTACGTCGCAAGGGCCGGATTGTCAGGATTGTCACGCAGTCGGATGTTGGGCTTCCGGCTGTTGGGCTCTCCACCACATCAACTCCTCTCCGTGAACTCTCCTCGTGGGGTCGGCCCATGTCCACAGAGTATGGCAAACGACGGACGGGCTGCGGCCGGTCACGTGTCGATTTTTCCGCTAAATTTAGTGGGTAAACTGAATTTATACGTGTAAGTCACGCGACACCGATTTTCCCGCTAAATCTAGCGGGGGAACTGAATTTTTGTTCAGGTCATATGACATTGTATCTGGTTTCAGTAGTTCAACTTGGTAGGCATGGGCGAATAGAGGATTTTGGGTCCGAGTCGATTTCGAAGCGAATAGTGATTTTGGACGAATAATTTCGAATCAAATAGTTTGAATAGTACAAGCAACAAATACCGCAAGATCTGTTTAAACTATAGTTTTGTATTTGCACTTATTTGGTATTAGAAGTACTGTAATTGTTAATTTCAAGTGTATTGAGTTCGGGAGCACGAAATGGTCGAAATAGTCGGAAGCTTGCGCCACCTGGCCGGAAATCCAAGCCAGAGTAAGCCAAACCTGTTTATATCGAACTAGCAAAAAAACGTCTACCAGTTTGATATAGCGGGAAAATCGATATAAAAGTCTTAATGAATTCGACTCTCAAAAATACGCTTTCTGCTGAAGTATTACACAGTGAAGTAGTCTTGCATCTTCTGCTGCTTTTTCTTCATTGCATCCGCGATAATGATATTTTCCTACGCTATTGACGGACTCCAAAATGCTGAGGCCGCTGCCTTCAATATTTGCACATTAGCGCCGAACTATGCCGAGAGCACGTAGCACGTCCGAGCAGGAGCACTTCCCCTGCAAAGCGCGGTTTTGCTCTGCAAGTTGGCTTCCCCTAAATGAGGTGTATGCATTGGGGGAAGCCAGCTTGCAAAGCAAGATGGCTTTTTTAGGGGCGAAGCTCCTTAGGGTCTAACCTTGTCCAGCGTCCGTGTTCACATCGATCGCACTGCCTCCGGGATCGGCCCACTTTTAAGAAAAGAAATATACGCCCGGGATCGGCCCACTTTTAAAAAAGAAACTTACGCCCGCACAGGGGTTCGAACTCAGTACCACTTGCTTACGAGGCAGACGTCTTAACCACTACGCTACGCTCCAATGTTGCATGTAGCCGCTCAACGTCTATACAGGAGAGGGCGCTGCAGTCAAATGCGTATATAATCGCGTTAAACTTTGCATGCATTGTCTCAACGTTTATAGCCGAGAGGGCGCTGCGGTCAAATGCTCAACTGCATATATAACCACAATCCATACCACACATTCTCTTTCTGACATGGACCGTTGACTTAAGCGGTGGAGATGCATTCCCCCGGCTTCTAGCGGATCCAAGCTGATCCGCTAGAAGAACCACTGTCTCTGCATTTTACCGACCATAAAGCAGTAATAATGAAGTCGAAACTCAACCCGGAACTCAGCACTACCTATGAGCAATAAAACAAAACAGCACCATCAGCACTACCTATGAACAATAAAATTATTATCAGCACCACCAGAGCTTCGCCCCAATCAACATCATTCATCACGTGGAGATGCGTCCATTTTTTTTTTCGGGCGGCCGCGTTAACTTTTTAAAAGAAAAAATAATATTAGGGAGTTTTAGTAGACCGTGTTTCCCCCTCCGCTAGCCCTTCGCTACGTAGAAACCGCCACTGCGCCTGCGCGCCGATGGCCCTGGCTGTAGAGTTCCGGGTAGCGGAGGGGCTTAGCGGAGGGGGAAACCTGGTCTACTAAAACTCGCTATTCTCTTTTGCGGACGGAGCGGGGAGAGGGAGCACGGAACACCCTCTCCGCTCCCTCCGCAAAAGATTTTTTTTTTTTTTCTTCCAAACAGTCAACGCAACCGCCCGGGGAAAAAAAAAGAAAAAGAGCTAGCGTGCTCTGCAAGCTGGCTTTCCCCCAATGCGACCGCTCACGTTGGGGAAAGCCAGCTTGCAGAGCAAAACGGCGCTCTTGGCAGTTCGATATATCGGTAGTGGCTGCAATGTTTGTTCAATATAACCATAGTTTTTGCTATATATTATTACTGTAAAATTGCTGTGCACGAAAATTGTTTGATTTAAGGAATCATTAGACGTAAACGGCTTCGATATTGCTGCGCGTGCAGCTGACCAAGTAGGCAGCGCGCGCGTGGCCTAACGGTTATCGCGCTTGCTTTCCACGCTGAAAGCCAGGGTTCGATTCCTGGCCGCGGAGGCACATTTTTGTTGACTCTGTAAAGTAATGTGCTGGTAAATTCGAGAACCATGTTGCTTGTTCGAGGTTGGAATGTTCTACACACCGAACCTTCTACGCCGATTATTCCAGAAGCCCACACATGTACATAAGGGGCTCCGCGTGGCGATCTGCATTCAGTCTCGCCCCAGCGTTCGACTCTGCTGTCACGCCAACTTCGACGCTCGCGACGCTCTGTTATTACCTTTTGTACCCTTTTATTTTTGGCACAAGTTCGCCACATTAAACGTTTATTTCTTGTTTATTTCTTGTTTTTGGTCACCACCCGTGACATTTTGGTGGAGGTGCTGGGTACTGCATGCCCGTGCAGCGTTCCCCTCCCAGGGCCCGCAGTGCAAGTCCGATTCCGGGCTCGGTGAGAAGACCTCTCAGCGCGGAACCTGAAACTCGGACCAGCCGCCGCACCAAGGGAGAGGATCCTGAGTACGGTTTGCTGCTGGACAAGCCCAAGCCAAAGAGGACGCCGATGGCCAACCAGTCGCAGACCCCCGCCGCTCCTGCCGTCGTCGTCCTGCCTGTCGCTCCGCGGACACCTGCTCCCTTCCTCGGCGAGATCTACGAGGACGTCGAAGATTGGATCAATTAGTACGAACGCATGGCTCGCCACAACGGGTGGAGTGACGAACAGCGCCTGCAAAACCTCTATTTTTCGCTTGAAGGAACTGCAAGGTGCTGGTTCGAAAACCATAAAGCTTCGTTGACCTCGTGGGACCTTTGCAAGAACGAGCTCACCCGAACATTCGCCAATCAACACCGAAGGGAGAGAGCCGAAGACCTGCTACAATCGAGGACCCAGGGCCCCAATGAAAGCATCACGAGCTTTGTGGAAGACGTACTTCACCTGAGCTCCCGCACCGACCCTCAGGCCACCGAGGGAAAGAAACTGCGCATTTTGATGCGTGGCGTGAAGGACGACATCTTTGGTGGACTTGTACGCAACCCCCCGACGACCGTTCAAGGGTTTGTCACGGAGGTGACGAACATCGAGCGTGCTCTACAGGCCCGAGCCAGCCACTACCAGAGGCTACCCAGCGTCAGCGCAGTTCAGCAGTCCCCCTGCGACCTTGCCCACGGCATCCCGGGCATCCGAGAGCTCATTCGCAAGGTCGTCCGGGAGGAGCTTAAGAAGCTTCTGCCGATCGCTGAGCGCCCGGCCTCAATTTCCATTGCTGCGGTTGTTCGGGACGAGGGTCAGCGAGCGTTCATTCCGGAAGCCCCTGTCACCGTGGCCGCAGCCGATGAGCCGGCGCTGACCTACGCCGCAGTGGCCCGGCGACCGCCGCCAACGCCTCAACATTACCCCGTGGTGCCACGACGAGACCCACCAACGCAGGCGTACTCCCACGCAACAACGATGGACGTCAGCACATTCACCCAGAGCAACCTGCGGCGAGGAAGACAGACGTCTGGAGGACGGCCGACCGACGCCCGCTGTGCTACCACTGCGGGGAAGCTGACCATGTGTATCGCCGATGCCCATACCGACGACTCGGGCTGCGCGGATTCCACCCAAACGACCCGCGTCCCCAGTATGGTGAACGCCCGCGGGAGATCGACGAGTATCTGCCACGACCTCAACCCCCGAGCCTGCGTCCCGCCGAGAGTTCCGGTCGCCTTCACCACGACGTCCAGCTTCGCCGATGCACCGACCCCGACGTGAAAGCCTGTCGCCCCTCGCTCCACGCCAGGGAAACTAGGCACGGCAACCCCTGGAAGTGGAGTTGCCGAAAACGACCGACGCCAAGATCCTCCAGAAACGTCGGAGGGCCTCCACTCGAACGCTACCGGAGACCGAAACGACGCTCCTGAAACGGTGTCCAACAACCTAAACGTCATCATCGACGGCCACGATGCATCGGCACTCGTGGACGCCGGAGCAGACTACTCAGTCTTGAGTGGGAGGCTCTCCCGCCGCCTTCGAAAAGTCACGACTCCGTGGGATGGACCTCAGATACGAACCGCCGAAGGGCACCTCATCACACCAGTCGGGAGGTGCACTGCTCGCGTCGAGATCCACGGTGAGACGTGCCCTGTGAAGTTCGTCGTTCTGCAAGACTGTTCAAGGGACGTTATCCTCGGAATGGACTTTCTCTGCGAGTATGGCGCCGTCATCGACCTCGCGGCAAACCAGTTGACGCTTCGAAAGCCCGTTGTGCCGCCAGTGGAGATCAACACGACGTCAACCGCGATCCGAGTTATCGCCGACCATGTGAACCTACCGCCGCGGTCGAGTGTTTTCGTCACCATTATAACCGACGCAGCCATGCACGGTGAAGCTCTTCTGGAAGGCAGCGTCCAACTGCTCCTCGAAAAAGGAATTGGTGTCACAAGAGGCGTGAAGGATCTCCAAGAAAGACGTACAACTGTTCTTGTGACGAACTTTCGAGAGGAGCCGCAGCACCTAACGAAGGGTACCACCGTGGGCCACATCGAGGGGCTTCAGGCGCCAGCCATGGTCACCGCAATCTCCGAGGAAACCTTGTCGCCACAGCAGAAGAGCACGACGCCGCCGCCGCTCAACATCGACCCCGAGCTCCCAGCTCCGAAGCGCCGGCAACTGGTTGACCTCCTCACCGAATACAGTGACTGTTTTGCCACGACATCGAAAGTTTGCCAAAAATGGCGAAATATCGCATTATTACTGACGACCACGCACTCCCTGTCCACCAGTCGCCGTATAGAGTCTCCTTAAAGGAAAGGAAAGTGATTCAAGATCAAGTTCAGGAGATGCTCGACGACGACATCATTCAACCCTCAAGAAGTCCATAGGCGTCCCCAGTCGTCCTTGTAAAGAAGGATGGGACCCTGCGGTTCTGCGTGGACTATCGTCGACTGAACGCTGTGATGAAGAAGGATGTCTATCCGCTCCCCCGCATCGACGATACGTTAGACCGACTGCGCCACTCCCGATACTTTTCGTCGATGGACCTGAAGAGTGGTTACTTGCAGATTGAAGCCGACGAACGTGACCGGGAGAAAACTGCCTTCGTCACTCCCGACGGACTGTACGAATTCAAAGTGATGCCGTTCGGACTTTGTACAGCACCACCCGCCTTCCAGCGCGTCATGGACACTGTGCTGGCAGGTCTGAAATGGCAGAGCTGCCTCGTCTACCTGGACGATGTCGTGGTATTCTCACGAGATTTCGACGAACACTTCAGACGACTTAGAGCCGTGATTCAAGCCATCAAGACCGCCGGCCTGTCACTCAAGCCAACAAAGTTTCGGTTCGCCTATGGGGAACTAAAGTTCCTCGGCCCCGTCGTGTACAACAAAGGTGTTCTACCTGACCCCGAGAAAACCCGCGCCGTAGCTGCATTTGCGTCGCCGTTTGACAAAAAGGCAGTAAGAAGATTTCTCGGACTCTGTACCTATTACAGGCGCTTTGTTCGAGACTTCGCCAAACTATCCGCACCGCCGACACACCTCACGAAGGACGCTGTAAAGTTCGAGTGGACAGAAGAACACCAAAGGTCATTTGACGAGCTCAAACGAAGACTCCAGACGCCCCCGATTCTTGGCCATTGCGACCAGTTTGCTGAAACAGAGATCCACACCAACGCCAGTAACACCGGACTGGGTGCGGTACTAGTCCAAGTGCAGGACGGTGCAGAGTGAGTTATCGGATACGCAAGTCGGACGCTGTCTAACGCGGAGAGGAACTATTCAACGACTGAAAAGGAGTGCCTCGTTGTCGTCTGGGCAATAACAAAGTTTCGCTCATATTTGTATGGAAGTCCTTTTCGCGTGGTCACAGACCACCACTCGCTCTGCTGGCTGGCGAATCTGAAGGACCCCTCCGGACGCCTCGTTCGGTGGAGCCTACGACTGCAGGAGTTCAATATGGACCGTGGTGTACAAGTCCGGCCGGAAGCACAATGATGCCGACTGCCTGTCGAGGGCCCCAGTCGAGGCCGGTCCTTCCTGCACCAAAGAGGACGACGATGAGTATTTCCTCGGCGCTCTGGATGTCAGCGACATGGCAGCACTCCAGCGAGACGACCCTGAGCTGCGAGCACTTATCGAGCACCTAGAGGGACAAGGAAGCGCCGTTCCGCGCGGTTTTGTACAAACACTGCCAATCTTCTCTATCCGACAAGGTGTGCTCTACAAGAACTTCAGCGACAACAGCACGGCGTGACTGTTAGTGGTCCCTTCCAGTCTTCAAGAAGAAATGTTTCAAGCCTGCCACGATGACCCGGCGGCGGGACACCTTGGTTACAGCAGGACTCTTGCCAGGATACGTGAAAAGTACTACTGGCCCAAGCTTGCGAGGACAGTGCACCACTACACCCGATCTTGCCACGAGTGTCAACGACGGAAGAAGCCACCGACGAGACCGGCAGGACTTCTTCAGCCTATTGCGCCACCATCTGCCCCATTCCAGCAAATCGGTATGGATTTACTCGGACCTTTCCCACCGTTGACGCAAGGAAACCGATGGATCATCGTCACAACCGATTATCTCGCGCGGTACACCGAGACAAAAGCCCTTCCATCAGGAACGGCTGTTGAAGTCTGGAAGTTTTTCATCGAGTCCATCGTCCTCCGGCACGGCGCTCCCGAAGTACTGATCTCAGGCCGTGGATCATCATTCATGGCCCAGCTGACGCAGGAAGTCCTTCGTCTCAGCCACACCAGCCATCGTCGCACCACGGCGTACCACCCACAGACCAACGGGCTAACGGAGAGACTCAACAAGACCATCGCCGACATGATCTCCATGTACGTCGACGTGGAGCACAAGACATGGGACGAGGTGTTGCCGTACGTCTCATTTGCCTATAACACGGCCGTACAAGAGACCACCAGAGTGACACCCTTTCAACTGGTGCATGGGTGCAAGGTAACGACTGCTGGACGCTATGTTACCCCACGAACCGGCAGTCGACGCAAGCGACGACACCCAGGTGGTTGCCCAAAGGGCAGAAGAAGTCCGTCAGCTCGCCAGACTCTGGATTAAGGCTCAACAACGTGTCGACACTGGCCGCTACAACCTTCGTCGTCGGGACATCCACTTCCAGCCCGGAGAGAGGGTGTGGGTGTGGACACCGATCCGCCGCTGTGATCTCAGCGAGAAACTCCTGAAGCGCTACTTTGGACCCTACAAAGTGTTTTGTCGACTCGGGGATCTGAACTACGAGGTGATGCCCGACGGAACACGGACTTCGTCACGCCGCCCTCCACGACCAGAAGTCGTCCACGACGTCGTGCGACTGAAGCCGTACTACGCTCGATAGGACTGTGGACCTTATGTGTTCCAAATGACTCTTTAGTTTACCATTCTTTTTATTTGTTTTGTTTCGTTTTTGGGTTGCATCGGGACGATGCACTTTTTAAAGGGGGGAGTAATGCCGCGCGGTAGCTGGCCAAGTAGGCAGCGCGCGCGTGGCCTAACGGTTATCGCGCTTGCTTTCCACGCTGAAAGCCAGGGTTCGATTCCTGGCCGTGAAGGCACATTTTTGTTGACTTTGTAAAGTAATGTTCTGGTAAATTCGAGAACCATGTTGCTTGTTCGAGTTCGGAATGTTCTACACACCGAACCTTCTACGCCGATTATTCCAGAAGCCCACACATGTACATAAGGGGCTCCGCGTGGCGATCTGCATTCAGTCTCGCCCCAGCATTCGACTCTGCTGTCACGCCGACATCGACGCCCGCGACGCTCTGTTATTACCTTTTGTACTATTTTTGGCACAAGTTTGCCAGATTAAACGTTTATTTCTTCTTGTTTATTTATTGTTTTTGGTCACCACCCGTGACAATATAGTCAGGTTTGGCTGTATCTAGAAAGGTCGAATAATTCTATTTGTTGAATAATTTGATATTGTCGAATACTTAACTTTGATTCGAAGCGAATGCCGAATAGAACAGAATCCGATTGGCTATTCGTAATAACCGAATATTCGCCCATCCTTACAACTTAAAGTTAAGTAGAGATAGCTATAATTAGCTTGCCCACTCTTCTCCACCCTGCCTTGTTCCCGTCCAGTACCAATGTCTCCTAGATAACAGTTTGTTTACTAATTTCAGTAGCTGAACTTGGAGCTAAATAGAGATAGCTATTCTAGCTTGCCTACTCTTCTCCCTCCTCCTGCCTTGCTCCCGTCCAGTCCCAATGTCTCCTAGATAGCGAAGCCATAATGCTGGAGTTTCCGTGTCACCTATGAGAGCCCGGCGTGGGAGCTCAAATTGGTCACAAGTGCTGTATGAGGAATTGGCTCTGTTCTCGTGTTCAGTCGGTGGCCCCCCTCTGCTATACTTCGTTTCACAATAACTCGGCGAACCATGGAAGCTGTGGCCCCCGCGACCCAGTTGCGTCGGAGCCACGAGAACACCCGACGGTCAACACAAACGCTCCCGTTACGTAGCGTCACATGCCTCACTCCAACGCTCTTCATGGGTCGTGGGCACTGAAGCCTCCACAGTCCGCCAAGTTGTCGTGAAACAGAGTATAGATGACATAAAAACCTCAGCACTATGACTTTCTTATCTAGACATTGCCCAACATCATTACTACAGTTCGGTGTGTGCAACTGGTGTGTGCAGCACTTGCTCGTGCATTTTCTCCAGGGACTGTGGTCAGGAGCCGTCTGCATGAACTTCTGCAATCGGATGCTGTCCTTTATCAAGAAGTGTGTCACGGAGGACGACCCCAAGTGAGTGAGGCACCGGTCGCAGTTTCGGTGTCCTGCCCGATGGGTGTTGTTGCCACCTACCAGTTTGCTTCAAAAAGCAGCTGCAAGAACAAAAAAAAAGAACACTTTCTTTTTTTTTGTGTGTTACATCCTGCGTGCCAATGATTATTTGGCGTTCAACAGGAGCAAAATGAGATGCGAGAAATTAATCACTCTTGTTGAGGAGTTCGCGGTGCGGTTGCTGCAACAATATTTGAGGATTCCAAATTTTTTAAGCTGTTCGTTTTCAGAGACTGTAGGTACATTGATAGAATGGTTTGTTACCTAGGCTTTGTACACTGTGTGCATATATAATTGCTGAGAAATTTTTCCCCCAGCTTTGAATAGTAATTTGTTCATAATGACAAGAACTGTATGCTGCAAAATCCCGAGCAAGCGCCCACTCAAAATTTTGAGATATAATCGTGTAAAAGTGGGGGATGAATGCTCCTTAGGTCCTTAGGTTTGCACATCTTCATTGCTTTATGTGGTGCAAAAATGGATCATCTGAACGGGCAACTAAGTTATATTAGCTGAACATAGAGTTTTGTAGTAATTGTGTTGTGTGTATGTTTATGCAGCCAGAAGTTAGTCTGCCTCAACGGGCGACTTGTCTCTTAGCTGTAGGTGAGCAATTTAGCCAGTGCAGTACGACCACTAGCCTGGGTCTTCAATGTGTACCACGCAGTAGTGACAGACGACTGCATGCCAGTACGATGCTCATCCAGATTGAGACGGGCAGGTGTGGGGATTGAACCCAGGATTTCTGGGTTCCGCGGAGTGAGCTTTCGCTCCATGTTATTAGTAGAGTTTGGTGGCCGAGCACATTAATGTGCCGACGCTCGACATGTCGCAGAGTTCAGAGTCTGTGATGTAGATTGGGATATCAGGAGTTAAATTACCACTTTTGCCAGTTCCAATAGGCCTGTTTGTGCAATCACTGCCGAGCAATGCATGGGAGCTCCTTCGAAACGCGGATGGTTGCATTCTGATTAAGGTTTTTGCCATACATTAAGCCCAGTCCATTCTGTAGAATACCTTCATAATACTCTATCAGTCTTTCTTGGCAATCTGATTGGTTTTGAGAACTCATAAGCTCCGCTTCCTTACCTCTGCTCTCTGCTCTTCTGTGCTTCACTGAGCCATAGTAGCAGTACAAAGGTTGTGAACGTTGCAATAGCTTCTATGCTGATTCATATGGGACACTTTGTGAACTGCGTCATGCTCTTTGCAGGTGGCCATGGCAAGTGTCGATGGGAAGGGTTGGGGGGGTTATTCCCCCATTTCAGTACAGAGTAACTGCTAGGGTGACTCTATGTCCCTCTCTTTAAGAGAGGCCACTCTTTGAAGTTTCCTGTACAAGGATCATGTGAAGGGCTAGTTGGTTATATATTACGAATTTAAAAGTAGCGCTAAAGACGAGGACAAGTAGAAGACACAGACACGGACAGGCGCTGACTCGCAACTGATATTCAGTGAAGAATAAAAGGAAGATAAAGCAGAAGTGCAAGGACATATACGAAATGAAAAAGAAGACTAACCAAAACGAAAGAAAGCAACAATTATTTTTGACTTCAAAATGAAGAAATAAGAAAAAAGTATGGTAAAAATTAAAAAAATTTCACTAAAAAAATTCAAATGAAAACCTACTCCAATTAAATGAAAGAAAGAGGAAGAAGAGGACTCTGAAAATTAATCTAGTTAAACAAAGTTCTCACACAGAATATTGTAAGTAGTGCAATTCCTTCGCCGATAAGGCTACCGACGGTGCACTGACGCATGTATCCCCTTAGCTGCTGTGACTTGTGCCTCATAAATTTCTCTTGTTCTTTGATCACTGAACTTCCTTAGGATTTTTGTTCGATGGAATAGAGGAGTACACTTGCAATCTCGTACATATAGAGCAAGATGTCCCGCCGGTGAAGACTTAAGAGACAGTGCATGCTCTCGCAATCTCATGTTGACACACCGGCCCAGTCTGACCCACGTACACCTTCCCACACGAGAATAAAATCTCGTATACTACGCCTCTAAGGCAGTTCACAAACTTATTGACATGCTTGACATCACATTTGTCCTGTTTGTCGTGTTGGGAATTGATTTTCGGCCACAGCCTTTTCAACTTGTCAGGTGCAGAAAGCACCACCCTGACATCAAACCTGTTGGCTACCTTTTTCAAGTTATGTGATATGGAATGAATGTACAGCACTATGGCTGGTCGGCTCCTCTTCTCTTTGTTTCGGTCTTGTATTTTTTCGTGCATTTCATGCATGCAACTCACCAAAAGAGGAATCGTGACCAATTGCTTAAGAGCGGCGTTAAACAAGTCGTGTCACCATTCAGCCGGAGAGAGCTTCACCAACCAAATCCAGCGACTGCAAAGCTCGGGATACCCCGAGTCCATCTTGACGGATGTGGCAGAAAATATATTAATGCATGAAAAAATACAAGACCGAAACAAAGAGAAGAGGAGCCAAGGTAGCCAACACGTTTGATGTCAGGATGGTGCTTTCTGCACCTGACAAGTTGAAAAGGCTGTGCCCGAAAATCAATTCCCAACACGACAAACAGGACAAATGCGATGTCAAGCATGTCAATAAGTTTGTGAACTGCCTTAGAGGCGTAGTATATGAGATTTTATTCTCGTGTGGGAAGGTGTACGTGGGTCAGACTGGGCCGGTGTGTCAACATGAGATTGCAAGAGCATGCACTGTCTCTTAAGTTTTCACCGGCGGGACATCTTGCTCTATATGTACGAGATTGCAAGTGTACTCCTCTATTCCATCGAACAAAAATCCTAAGGAAGTTCAGTGATCAAAGAACAAGAGAAATTTATGAGGCACAAGTCATAGCAGCTAAGGGGATACATGCATCAGTGCACCGTCGGTAGCCTTATCGGCGAAGGAATTGCACTACTTCCAATATTTTGTGTGAGAACTTTGTTTAACTAGATTAATTTTCAGAGTCCTCTTCTTCCTCTTTCTTTTTTTTTTTCTTTCATTTAATTGGAGTAGGCTTTCATTTGAATTTTTTTTGTGAATTTTTTTTAATTTTTACCGTACTTTTTTCTTATTTCTTAATTTTGAAGTCAAAAACAATTGTTGCTTTCTTTCGCTTTGGTTAGTCTTCTTTTTCATTTCGTATATGTCCTTGCACGTCTGCTTTATCATATTTTTATTCTTCATTAAATATCAGTTGCGAGTCAGCGCCTGTCCGTGTCTGTGTCTTCTACTTGTCCTCGTCTTTAGCGCTACTTTTAAATTCATGAAGTTTCCTGGTGGCGATGGCACGTACCTGCAGAAAAAATTTGAAACAAATTAGCCGGTAACCAGGGTTTTCCCCACAGTGGGCGACAGTGGTTTTGCCGCCCACTAGTCTGGCCGACTGGCCATCTGCTATGTCCAGCCTGCCCCTATATTCTGCTTCCGCTGGACAAGGCAATGCCGATTTCGAAAATGCACGACGCCCCCAATTGTCATGTTTGGCAGACTTGTGTAGCATTACACAACAGAACTGCATAACCCTCACAAACAAAATCGCTGCTGTGCGGCAGAGAAAGTGCCGAGAACACCAAAAGTTGCATCATTCTCCTCCTCCTCCTCCCCCACAACAGCCTGGAAATTGACAGATGTCCTAAGATATTGAGGTGGGATAGTTGGATATGCATGATATAAAGTTAGCGGTTGTCTTGTGTACATGTTCTCTCCCCTGTCCTTTGTCTAACCTTTGCGCTATTGAATTTTTATATCTTGACAAATGTCCACATCTTAGAAAGGTCTGGGGAGAACCTTGCCGGTAGTCAAACGTTGCCGTGGCGCAGAAAGTGCCAGGAAGTAGCTTGTGGTGGGCGGTGCTCTTTCACGCGCACCAGTACAAAAAATTAAAAATGTGCGTTGGGAGCATACAGTCAGAGGAGATCACCCTAACCAAGGTGCACGTGGGGGTGCCCGAAGTAACCCCCCGTTGTTCCTCGACACGACCGGTTCAACTTTCACTCTGTGTGTCCTTTGCAGAGTGGTGCACCTGTTCCGCTTCCTGCCCTCCTCTCGCGACGTGGTCTGCACGAGACTCCCAAAGCCGGGAGACTTCCAAATCCTGCCTCCCTGGTACCTCGACTCCTTTGGCCTCTGACCAGCGCCACCTGGAGGCTAGAATTGCAGCCCTGCGATCGTGTCCAGTGCTCCGTGTTGGTGGGTCCTGCAGAAACCCAGCCGCAGCGTTCCGGCCAAGCAAGTCCAAAGTGCTGTCTGAAAACACTACCGCGCGGCACCTGCATCGTGGCTACAAGGACAACGAAAAATCAATGCGCCGGTTTTTTCGTCTGGTCTCAGCACGTCCACCGCAAAAACGATCATTGTCGCGTCGATTGAGCGTGTTGCAACCTATTGGTGGGTCAGCCAAAGTCCTGTTGCTGCATGTTGGGAGTCCTAGCTCTGTTGAACATCCTTCGTGCACAGCACAATAAATGGCAGTTTTAGAGCTGCATGGCATGAGCCAGGCGATTTTACGTTGGAAATTAAAAAATAACAGCGGTGAGCAGTTTTCATGCCGACAACAAAGCGAGGCTCCGCTACACCGCGAAAATTAACTGCAGGCGATATTGCCAGTCATCTGCTGTCGTAGTTTTCTACACTGCACTGTCGCAGTGCACAAACCTGCAATCTGCGACAGTGCAGGTTTGATTTTTCTCGCTGGACAACGGCAGGTTTCATAAAAAAATAAATCTGCAATCAATAATCGTCCAAAGTAGCCCCCGGAACAAGAAGATGGGAACCTCCGACTTGTCTCACTGTAACTGTGTTTGCAACACCGCAGTGAAGCATGTGGCAAATGTTACCACACCAATCGTTCATCGCCGCTCCCAACCTCCGTCGATTGGGGCGCTACCTCTAGCTCTCTTTCTTTTGGCACAAAGCAGTGCCCAGGCTGCGAGGGTTCTGCTCATGGTTCCTGCCTCTTCCAGCAGAGGGCAAAACATCCTACAGCGAGGAAATTGGAAAAAAGTGATAGCTCGGTGGACCTAGCTTCACTTTTGCTGGGTGCATTTCGACTGCCCTAACAGCATGCAAAGATCAAGCATTGTTTCTGGAAGTTCAATACAGAAAGAGAGCAACACCGAAGCACCTTCAAAGACGCAACTTTTAGGCCCATGGTCCGTCGCAGAACAGGAAGACCTGTGGGGGAGGAATCTCGAAGCACGGTGAAGGGCAAGTGTAGCTTTACACGGAAGGGGCATTTCGAGGCGAATAATTTGTGCTGAAATTTTAAGACTCACTTGTACTCAAATAAATCAGGAGTCGGCAACTCTCATGTTTGGGCTGGGATAGAGAGATTGATTCACCGTTTTGCTGCCACGAGCTCTTGAAAGTTTAATGCATTGAGCCAACTTGCTAAAGGCACATTTAATGATTGTTTGCACATCAGATTGAATATGTTTCTTAGATGTACTTGCATGTCTGCTTCATAACTGCTGGGGTTGTTTCATAGAAAGCTTTCCATTTCCACCCTGAATGGCTTGGTTCTGTTTTCTACCCTCACAGAGATATGCTGTACAAACAAGCAATTTTCTGCATTGCTTCAAATTATTTTTGCCTCTGCAACGGGCACAATGTAAATAGCATTACTAAGAATTTACTCAAATTATTTAACGACATTCGAGGCTCAGCTTTTTGTACCACGCACTTTAGTGGAAGGAAAATGAATCTGCCGATTTTGCGTAGCGGAAAAGAATTCATTACACATTTCATTTCCCATGTGGGGAGGCACCATCAGTATAGTACTACATACGCCAGTGAGAGAGTCCGGGACTGCGCAGTCTTATTTATCGGTAATGTCCGTACACACCACAGTTTTTGTGGCAACCTGACCCATCCCCACAGAAGAACCCCAGTTGCTGGAGTTTCATTGGGACCTGCCTCTTTTCCTCTTTGACAATGCCTCCAACACGGGAAGCAAAATGCCTCACGAATGTCTTCCGTTACATGAAGTCCACACGTATACATATTTTTCTCGTGGTATCTCTCGGCTTTAGGAGTGTTTTCGAGCTTCAGCAGATGACATATTTATGGTTTAATCAATCTTCACTTGTTTCTGGCCAGTCGTTTCGGTATATCGCGTCGGCACATTGGACCGCATAAATGTTTTTCTTCGTTCCGCACACCGCAATTTTCCATAGGGATGTACTCAGGTGGTGGTTGTGTCTTGCCCGTCTTCCAAGATGGAACACGCTTAGGCATCTTTCGATATGCTGAGAGAGGCCTTTGTCCATACATTGTTCCTGACTGCTCTTTGGGACGTGCATGACTAGTTGTCCTTATGGAGAATTTTCAAACGACTGCGCTTATTCCAGATGCGACACCCTGTGCACGAAGTCAAAGACACTGAAGGTTACTACGTATCTGATTGAGCCTAGGCGAACAAATGATCGAATATCTAGCATTGCGATCAGTGCAACTTCAACCCGAAAACTACCTTTGCCGTTTGTCACAAAGTTGTGAAGCTGCCTTGCTCGGTATGGTTTTTTTTCTGACTTTCTCCCTTTTTTGTGCTCACATGACTTGCTGTTTGTATGGTTGGTTCCTTGGCTTCCTCTCGACAACATGGAGAAAATAAAGGTTTGATTGAAAGATTCAAGCACATGCAGTTGTGTGTGTCACGAGAAGAAGATAAAATTCTTATTTTCCCACAAACGAGGGTCTCGTTAAGCCTGCTTTTTTTTCAGATAACGAAGATGGCTCGAGCCTCCGAGGAGTTTACTTTTAACAAACTGGCCGACTTTCCTTGCCCAGAAATGGAGGGCTAGCTTTTAAAAAAATATTGTAGCTATTTTTCAATATGAGTGCCTCAAGGTAATTTAGAAATGATACATAGACATATCCAGGGTTCTTACAGGTTCACAGGAATAATTTCATCCACCATTTTGTGCTTATGACCTGTCTTGCACATGCCAAAGGCAAGCATTCCAAGGATTCACTTGGCACTCTAAAATGTGAACTGCACAGAGGCTTATAGGTCTCGTTACGGTGACATCAAACAACAGAATTGCAGATTAATGTCAATACACCTCGGAAACTTTTTCGGTCACTTCTGAACATTCTAACACACTTCGTTAACAGCTGTTTTATTTTAGATTCCTGTTGCATTTGCACTTCTCTGCAATACTTTTTAATGACATTTGTTGGCAAATCTGTGGTTCAGCAGTTACACACAACATTTTTAAATTAAAGCAGTGCCTAATCAGAGATGCATAAACCTTTTACCCTGACCCTTTAACCAATGAATTGAACAAGGAAGATGGCAAGTTAGAAATTTTTTTAAAATAGTATTTTCATTTCGTCATGTGGCAATTTCCCAAAAATCTCGTGATCCGTTTGCCCATTAATATTTTCATCATTCCTTAGTGGAACATACGATGGGTGTGCATGGAACATCACTCTTGGGTAGGGTGCTTCTGCCCAAAACTTTCACGCTCTAGGAAAACGACACGGCTTAGAATGCAAATGCAAACTTTCCGGCTTGCACGGGTGGAGCCCACTTTTATGGACATTGTGACAGCCAACGGAATCCTTTGAGCAAGATGTTTCACTGCTCGTGCACATCTAACTGTGAGCAAGACATTTAGCCACAGTACCGGCACAATAACCTTGAAGCAGATTAACATTTGCACTGGCAGACGCGTTTCTTAGCAGACGCCCGTCGTTATCGTAGCACTCAATAGGTAGCTCCAACTAACAGCTCCCATGTTACAGGAACCTACTGGAAGTCTGCCATATAGTAAAGGCTGGTTGACACTTGCAAATGCTTACGAGTGAGTGCCACAAAACCTTTTGGGATCTCTTGCGAGAAAGCACATCGTGTTGGAGGGCTGTGGAGCACTGGCATTTCCTTTTTTCAAATAGTGCGCACATTTAATCTCGCAAATGCTGCGAAACCTTCGCTCTAGTGAAATGCCGCAAAACCTTTACTCTAGTGAAATGCCGTTCTAGGGTCGCCCTATTGGCACTGCCAGCATATTCTCTCGTAGCAAGAGATTGCAAAAACTCCGTCGTAAATAAATGCAAGCATGTGAATGGGCCTCAACAGCCACATTTAAAGCTCAAAGCGCAACTTGCCATAGGATACTTGCACGAGACTATGATGCAGTGCCGCTCCTGGCACGAAATCTGCAAAAATCCGCGTCGGCGACGTTTGTCCGCTTTCGTTCCATGTTCACTACATCTTTCTATGTGCAGAACCAGGATTTTCCGGATTGCTCGAGTTCTTTCGCGTCGCGATTGACTGCGACAGCAGAGGTGGTCCGGCACATAAAAGAGCACCTGGGACTAGATATTTGTGCATACTGGTCTCTATTCAACTACGAGCCGGCACTTGAGAAGTCTGCTCGTCAGCGGGCAAAATCGGCCCCCGCAGATGCCGCCAGGCACCTCCGGAGTAAGAAAATTGGAGTAAGTTTAGGTTTCAGTATCTCAAATATGTGCCAAATTGTACTTCTCGAGTCGAGTTGTTGAACGAGCTGTCTGCTTGCTTCCGCATTTTACCAACACCAAAGACTCTAACGAAGAATCGCTTACGTGCATTCAAATAGAGAAAACGGCAAAAGGCCTTACCGCAGGGCCATAGACTCCTTAGTGACGTTTGATATCGTAGCTCGAACACTCTGCTTGGTGTTGTGTCAGGAAGCGATGTAGGGTGCAAGCAAGATAATCAATTTTGGGGGCCATGGTAACCATGGGAATTACGAACCATGTTTGTGAGGGACAACGGACGAGTAAAAGAAACGAACAACAGAGCGAATTACGAACACTGCAATGAATGGAAAAAGCTTTTTAGCATTTTTAAAAAAATATTTTTAAAAGTCTTTTTTTATATATATATATATATAGGGACAACACTGATTAGACTAAAATAAGGTTCAACCTCCTAAACATCAGGGAAAATCTGATAGACTTGGAAGGCATGCCGTAAATCCCGAGTCTTGTTCGTGTTTGCTTATGTCGTTGGCACTCTCATCTCAGGGTTGTCTAAGGTTAACATTGCATCGAAAGCTCCCAGAGTCTGTGTGATGCGTCTAGAGGAACAGCTCCGCCATTTTAGGTGGAGCATGAAAGTAGATGTCAGTGGTCCCAGATTGCTGGCGAGCCTTTGATAGACACGAGAAAGCATCAAAATGTAACCTGCAAGGCCAGTACCTTGTCAGTTTAGTTTCATTTTGCAATACGACACCCGCGAGTGCGTGCCGTAAAGAAAAACAAAAGCTGACGATAATTGTTGCGCATTTGTTTATACAGCGGGAGGTTAGTCAGCCCCAGTCGGCGTCTGGTGTGGAGACGAGGAATTTAGCCAGTCCGGTCTGGGGTCTTTAATGTGCATCCAGATTGGGCAGAGGTGGGAATTGAACCCTCGGTTCCAAAGCGCGAACTTCTGCCCTACGTGCTACGAGCGGCGGAGCGCCAACACACTCGACCACCAATCCACCTAAAAGTTGACAAGCAGTTGGAAAACTTGAAAGCATCGCTGCAAAACGAACACGCCTAACCTTTCATACACTTTCTCTTTATGGTCTTCCGCCACTCTCTTTCTCCTTTGTTTTCTTTTATAACCACCGATGTTGGCACTTACAAGTTCCCATGCTGGGAAACTCTGATTTGAGGCAGACTCGTGTCGGTGTGGCAACTGATTTCGAGCAGAATGAGGGGACACGGGGTGCACAGGTCGTCTTTATTGGAGGGGTCATGGCTTGCCCGTGCGGCTGGCCTGCGCTGCCGCTGCCTGCTGGGCGGCTTTCTTGCTGCGCACAAGCTCCACCAGGTCCTGGCAACAGAGAAACAAACGATTGGAGCTGAGCAAACACTGGAAAAATATGTTAACTCACAAAAGGTGTTTCCTATTCAATTCGATTTGCAGCACATGCTTATTGTTCAGTCTATTTGAGTTTTGCAAATATTTGAAAATTATGATTATAATACCTTCAGAATTACCAGATTTCTAGTGGCAAGCTTCACCGATTTTCCACCAGTGCACGTGCAGCAAGCTTCACCAGCCTGCACTGGGGCACTAATCTGGACACTTGACGAAAAAGTTAGCGAGGAATTCAGATGCCGTGATTGGCCGACGCCGCGCTTGACCTTGGCACTCCAATCGCAGCGGTCGAATTTCTCGCCAGCTTTTTTGCCAAGTGTCCAGTTTAGAGCCCCAAGTGAGCACATGCGAAGCTTCACTGCCTCGTGCCAGCACTCGTGCATCAAGCTTTGCTGCAACAGACCTTTTGCCTAATTACCCAAGCATCAAGGGGATTGCTGGGAATGTAGATACACGCATTGCATGTGCTCACCTAACCTGTATAAAAGATTCGAAGTAACTAAAATAATGTGTCAATGCGCATGCAAAGTGCCATTTGTTTTGTGTTTTTACTTTAGAACAATTACTGCAGCAGAGGGCAGGACACAGCATGTGTAAGTAGTACACTTGTGCACACTCCTTGGTGCTTCTGTAATTTAGCAAAATGTTCATTTGCACCAGTGCTATTGCTTGGTGCTCTCGCACCAAGCTTTGCCGCTTTGCCGCTTTGCACTAGTGTTGCCACATCTAGCTATACTTCTGAGCACTTGTGCACATGTGTCAGGCTTTGCTGCTTTACACCGGTGTGCTCGGCTAAACAGTTGACGCTCGACTGGCTCAATGGGCTCGGAAACTTTGCTCACTATTTTTAGGTTTCCTTCTTTGGGGTTGCAGTGACACAGGGCCTAACTGCAAAAATGAGGCTGTGTTTTTTGACCTGCACAGACTAATCATGCATCACAGAAAGCTGGAACACTGTGAATGTGACGCTAGCAGTGGTGTGAAATACAAAACTTAAGAATGCCATGGAACCTAGAGCGAAAAGGAAAACAGAAAAACAATATTTCTCTGAGCCAAAGTCCATTTATGGCTAATATTCGTGCAACTAAGAAATGGCACTGTGGCATTTATTTCATTAAAAAAAAAACTGAGTACAAAAAAACAACAAGGTTTTCTTTTTCTCGATGGCAGGTCTTTTCACTGAAATGAATGCCACGGGCACCCACATGCCACTTTTTGGTTCGAAGAAAATGAAGCCCAGGTGAACATCCCCTAAAAGAGAAATTTTGCTTTCTCCGTATATTTTGCTTTAGGTGGCGTAAAGTTCTCAAAATTTCGCAAACTACTATCACAGCTGCTAGCATTACATTCACGTGGAGTTCCAAGTTTTCATGATGCATAGGTAGTTAATGCCCGGAACAAATCTCCGACCGGCATTTCTACTGCATCTTCGTTTTCTCCACCTAGTTTCCAGACAATGTTGCGATCGAGGGTCGGAGCATCGCAGGCGATGGCCCTCAGAATCGAACAACCGAGTTCGGCGGCCGAGGCGTTGACGCACTGCCGGTTGTGACTCGCTCTGCAGACGGTCCGTCAACAAAAACCCCGGCGGTTGAAGAAAAGCGGACATTCGTGCTCGTTCGTTTGCCTCCACAATTTATTGTAGGGAGATCAAACACTCTCAAGGTGCCATTTTGCACACTCCAACGCGCAGGAGGGACATTAAACCGATACGTCTCACATGACAAGGCCGCAGTGCTGGATTTTCTGAGCCACCCACCAGAGCCCGGCACAAGACACAGATTGGACCCGAGTGCTGCACCGGTGATTGGCCAGAACTTGCTAGTGGTGCGAATAAGCCACGCTCCAAATACTGGCACTATGTCGGCCGACTATATCGTGAGCTGCACCGACTCTGTGCTCGATGCAGGGCGGGCACAGTCGGCGCCGTCACCATTCGAAGACGCAGCTTCCTGAACTTGAGACACAGTGTCGGGAAGCACAGGCAAAGTTGTTTGCTCCGTCGTGAACTCTTTATAATGTTTCCAAATGACACTAAAGCGTTTGCTCTGATTTCGAATAACCTGCAACAATTATTTCAAGCACAAGGTGGCTTTAAGCGTGGTTGCTCCGAAGCGTAGCTCACTCAGCTCTAAAATTTGCATTCAATGGACGAGTAGGCGACATAAAAAATCTAGCACCAGCGCCTCGTTATCGAGGAGCCGTTGGATAAACGAGCGCCTCATTCGACGGAGTGGTCCGCGAGTGGTCCCCACCTTGTACCGCCGCATGCAGTCCTTCTTGGAGCGGTTGGGCACGCACTCCGCGATCCGGTCCCAGCGGTCCGCGGTGCTGCTCGGGAACGTCTTGAGGGCCTGCTCCAGGAGACGCTGCTCCTCCGCCGTCCACGTGCTGCCGGCCTCAGGCCCTGCTCGGCGACACGCCAGTCTCTTTCGTACGTACGTGCGACAGTTACAGGGGGTATCGCCGGTCACGTCAAACCGATCCGGAAAGAGATGCGCCCACCACTTCGCTTCGGAAGAATTAGAGTGACGAGAAATGGAGATGGACAAACACTCTCTTTGGTAGGCTCCAAAAGAGAGTGGTTGTCCGTCTTCCTTCCCCACATTTTTGTTCTTTCCAACCGAAGTAGGACTTTCCATAATGTCTCGATGGCACAATACATGTAGGGTGACCAGACACCCCGTCTTGGCCGGGACAGTCCCGTTTTATAGGTCCATTTCTGCCGTCCTGTCATTTATTTCTGAATAAAGCCTCGCGTCCCATTTTCGTGGCGTGCATAATTGGAAATTGAGTGCTAAAGCGAGTAGAAAAATCTAAAATACATGATACATTTTATTAAAACAAACATACTATAAAGATGTTAGCTCCTATGAACCTCCCATGAAGTAAGTTTGGAATTTTTTGTGGTTGCATATCCATACGTTCTGAACACACAGACGTATGTTCGGGGCACTTTTCCATATAAGTACCATCTTTGGCACGCGTCGGTTCTGTTTAATAAATGAAGAAAGATGCCCGTGTACTCAACTAAACTAACGTGATAACATTTTTTAGAATGACGCTAAAATTTTAAAGATGGTTTTGTTGCACTCTCTATCATTTGGTAAAACATACTGACATACCTTGCGCAATATTTTTCTGTAAAAAGATATCGCACAAAGTACGTGCACAAAGTATTTTTATTGTAAAACAAACTTTGGCAGAAACGTTCGTGATAAAGTTGCAGTTTTCTTGGAAATTATGAGAGAGAAGAAGAATTGAGCTTACGTTTGTACTTAGCACATAAACTTACAGTAGACAGGAAAACTTAAAATAAAAAAGATCAAATGACAGCATAATGTTCAAAACCAGGGTCTCCCTTAAAACCCTATTTCATTAGAAAATCCATTACGGGAAATGGCAAGGAACCAGCCGTGCGACAAATTCTATGTTCAAGACAAACAAAGGGCAATTACTCGCTTCCGCTCCATTGAGCTTAGTACAGCAGTTTGTCTTTTCTCATTACTGGTGCATCTTGAGCCTACATTAGACGTAGGAACATCTTTATGTGCTTCGTACGGAGGGTCACCTAGTCATTACTTTCGGAACAAATCTTGCAGCCCTTCTGCAGAACTTTGTTATTGCAAAGTTTAGTCGTAAATAAAAATTATTTCTTTCCAATAATGGGGCTCGATTGTAGGAAGAGGGGATTGTTTTAAATTTGAGGTTAAATTTGGGTGAACCCGGCAGGCCCAGACGTTTTCTCCGCACGGTCGACGCAATACGTCGCGGAGAGAAATGTCACGCAAAATAGTCGCACTGCGCGGTCCGCAGAAGCTGTGCACTCACCGTCGAATCTCTGCGAGGGCACCGATTCGTCCTTGAAGGACACCTCTCCCTTGCCCACCGTGCGCTCGTGCTGCTCGTAGGCCTTGCGGTTGGCCTCCTCTTTCAGCTGCGGATCTGCAGGTTGGATAGCATTCCCTTATCTTGACTCGTCCACGTGGGGGGCTCTCAAGCAACGGCGAAGTTCTTCATGCAACTTGATTATGCATCTCGAGCGAGGCTGGGCAAATGGGGCGAGGGCTACTGGCGGGTTTGAAGACTCTTAAAAAAATACTAAATTCCCAAACATTTTTGTTTAGCTGCCTGGATGGGACATGTATGTCACAAAATGAAGCTTCCCTATAAAAAGGAAATTTTCCACAGATTTTTGTGCTAGGAGCGATACACATTATAAGTCAGTGGCAATTCTCATTTCTATTTCGAGACGTCGGCCCTAAAATAGAATGCTTCCGGATCAGTCATAGAGTCTCCAATGTAAATATTGGAATAAAATTTTGGGGGGGGGGGGAAGAACAAAAAGATCAAAATGATTTTACCTGAAATCAAACCAGCGCGTCGCGATGGGTATTTTAATTTGCCTGAAAAAAATATGTGCAAAAGCCCCATTTCCGTAGTGGACAAAGCCACCCTTCAAAATGTTTTAGATAAAGTGCTACATTTCAGCTGCGAGGCTTCTGCTTCATGCCCCAGTGAAGGGGAGGCAAGTGCGCTTTAATTTATTTGGTCGTTCATTTGGTCTCCAGGATCACATATCTAACAATTTTGCATTGCAACTATTTTCCCAATACCCCCCAGCAAGCATCCCTCTACTTTTTCATGGGCTGTCAATGGCATTCCGTCACTACTACTGTGCTCACTGTTGTTCTTTTTGGCTCGCCTATCGATCACTTCTGCGTTTCTCTTCCACACCTAATTTGGCCACAGTGGCATATAAACTCCGCAGCCTAGAAGTGCAAGGTGTGTTTCAAAAAGTGAGCAACCAACGCTGGCAAAAGCCTCGCAACAATGTGGTGACGACACGGCTAGCGGTCCAAAGCTGACATCGCAGCTTGACACCTTTTTTGTTTTTTTTTTACAATGCTTGTCAATAGTTGCAGGGCAAATAATTTTCACATTCACCATCACAAATATGTCCTAACTGCTGCAGACACTTTGAAAGGGGCAATGATTTTAACGTTGAAACAATTTGCAGCTCATATTATCTGTCGTTTATCTTGGCGCATATCAGAGAAAATGTGCACCTCTCCCCCAAAATACTGCAACTCCGCTGCGTAATTGCAAAGGAAAAAACAGATTTTTTTCTCCCATCTGCGGCAGCATGTGGCGGTCACGGGAACCACATCGAAAAGGGGGGGGATAGGTCTTCCCCCCCCCCTCCCATGTGGCATTGTGGTTCCTGTGAGCGCCCCATGCAGCCCCAGATTCCATTGCCAAAACACAGGTTTTGGCAACGAAAGTTAATGAAACCATTTGCTTCCCGCCTCTACCCTTCCCTTCGCTCCTGGGGCAAACTGTTTTTTGTGTCCGTCGCTTGCCACGACGTTCGGCAATGGTAAGGCTCTGCTGTAACCAAACCGGACCTCGAAAAGCCCACGATCGCAGAGGGAGTGCTGGGTGCCCCCAAGACAAAGCCCAACAAGAAGCCATACAGTACTCACCCACGACACCACCGCACACTTCCCTCGAAAGACGGTGCAACCGCTCCCACGCCACCATAAAGTGTGGCACTGACCATCCAACGGTCAATCAATCGCTCAATCGCTCGCTTACCTAGCCTCTGGAGGCTCTTGGCCTTGGCCAGCACGTCCCTGGCTGTGCGTTCGGCCACCGACGAATGTTGGTTCAGGAAGGCTGCTACCACCTCCCACCTGCACCCACGAAGCACGTGTCCAGCGGACCACCCAAATGCACCGTCCACAGCCACCAGACAAGCCGTGCTGAACATGTCGCCACCCCGCTCCTCGATCGTCCCTCAAGCGCCGCCATTTTGGTGCTCAAGGTGCAGAGCGAGCGTGACCGGCAATACTTAGGAATTAAAAGTTCGCTTTCCCGAGCTTTGGACGTGGTTTCGGGAAGCTCGGATGAGATGGTTTTGCACTGTTGCGAACCGACGTTCCTGGGGGATGGGAAAGCATCTCCTGCGATTACGAGCACCAAGCAGGCTGAAGCGTTCTTGCTCTGTAGCATAGCTTGTTTGGTGACCCTAGCGCTGCCAACGCCAGCACCTCTTATCCAGCTTCGCAGTGCGGGCAACAGCAGCACGGACAATGCTCGTCTGTGAAAACCGTTGTAACACCTGCAGAAGCGGGTGCCACGGGTGCATGGGCGGATTTACCTAAGGGTTAACCTTTTTGTTTTTATTATTTTATGAAAAAATTGATATACATTAGCCAAAAAGTGTACCGTAATATCTCGAGTCATCCACCCAACTTTCCGGGCAAACGTCGCTCTCCAAAAGAACACCGAGTGATCTCCTACCCCTAAATATACCCGAACACGAACTATGCGATCCGCGAACATTCATCCGACCCAAATGATGCAGCTGCGGACCTTACGGTTAAAGGACGTCGGTGACCAAGTAAAATGAAGAAGAGAAAGGCACTTCACTTTGTTTATGCATTTTTTTTGCACATTCGTGCGAAAGGAAAACGATGGAGATAACAAACTAACATATACTATTACAAAAAAATATTTGTTGAGACAAAAAAGATGAGAAAGATAGCACAAGCAGTAATCCGTTCATAGACTGCGAAGACAGCGAACTTCAATATCCTAGAATGTAACTGTGGGGTGTAAGGTCAAAGTCCGTCTCCAACGAAATAAGGTCACTACGAACCCGATCCTTCTCTCGGTATGTCACGATCACAGTTAGTAAGGTTTTGCGATGTTTCAGACAAAGCCAGCGGGTAAATTTGATGGAACGCCACACACAGATTTTTGTAGAGCCTCCCATTTCAAGCTCCGTGTTCGTTGTGCCGTCCACGCCACGCAGCAATGCCGCCTCAATACGCACTGATGGCATGCTGAGCACGGACGCATGCAAGTATCCAACAAACAAGGAATTTGTGCAAAAGCCTGCTCCTTGTGATTGACAAGGTTCCTGACTTGGCCCAATGCCAAAGTATTTGCCCCCAACGCAATCGCCGGCTTTCCCGCTTCCCCAGCATTGTTCTTTGTCGCCCTTTCACTCGCTCATTTTTTTTACCCGATTTATTTTTTAATCTCATTAACAAGCGTTTGTGCTGCATGCCTATCGGTGGTGTTCGTCGCACATATGCAAGCAATGAACTTTGCGATAGTAAAACATTCTTTCATGCGCATTTCTTCTATAAAACAATGTAACTAATTTGAGTTTTTAGTTTATTGTATCTCCAGCGCAGCCACGCTAGATACATACTACTAAAAATTTGTGTTTATATTTTAGCTTTTTCTAAACTTTTTGTTAGTGATGGGCCGAATCTGCCGAACTTCAGATTCGGCAAAGTTCGGCATACGCACAACTTTTGAAGAAAAGTTCGGCAAAGATTCGGCAAAAATTCGGCAAATGTCTGCTCACGCGCGAGAACGCGACGGGGCAATGGATTGCAAATGGACGCCGTGTGGTCGTGTGGTTGCCATCGTACAATGCAGAACTACCAGCGGTTATGGCAAGGTGTGGGAGTAGGCAACATGGTAACTGATGTTTGTGAGCCTTTGCGAGTGTGGTTCTCTTTAATAGTTTCTGTCTCAAGAACAGAAGATCGACCAATAATTTACGCAGTCCACTGCGCAAGTGACAGATGATGTGGTACTTTCTGGATGACGCAATTTTCATTTCATCTTTTTAGTGATGCAAAGAGGTAGTTAAAGCCAGGCACGTAGCCAGGATTTTGTTTTGGGGGGGGGGGGCACCCATGACAAAATGCTGTATGAGGGGGCGGGGGTAGAGAAGGTCCCAGCAAATAGGGAGATTTCAGGAGGTGGGGGGGCCCGCCCGCCCCGCCCCGCCCCGCCCCCCCCCCGCGCCGCCCCCCCCCCCCCCCCCCCCCCCCCCATTCCGGCTACGTGCCTGGTTAAAGCATTGACTTTCAATTACTTTAAAGCACTCCTTGCAATTATAACAATCCTGTTTTCGGCTCACAAGAATTTTGTGCCAAACAAAATAATATTGCTTTTTAATTATTGTTATTTCGCGGTTAATACGTATCTATATAAAACTGAACACATAACTATTGTGCTCGACGTCGCACATCTGACCATCCCCGACTGTTCCGATCTTCCTAAACATCCATGTGTGTCCTAACACCAGAAACCGATACTTTAGAGGTTAAAAGCGAGAGGTTGCGAATATGGGTCACACACTTTCATGCAAAGCTGACGTGAAGTGACTCAAATCAAAGACATGCGTATTGACAATAATATTGTTATTTTTTTCTGGTGAAGGCTCAGTAAACAGTTACCGTTGCATTAATTTTCGCGCACAAAACGGTGATTCCCAGAGAAAGTAAAACCACAGTGCTATGGCCTTTGTATTTACTGCACCATACACACTTGCAGGCTTGCGCTGATGAGGCTTCGAAACCGGAACTCTCGTAGCATGATTCGTGACTGCGCTGCTGCTACCCAACCTCGTCACGCCACTTCTGCAAGAAGTCACTAAAATTGCCAGTAAACGCACAAAAACAACACCGATACAATTATCTTGTAGAATATCACCTTATTAAGTAATAACTGCGCCAATATGCATTACATGTTGCATTTAAGTTAAGAAAAATGCAACATAAAACCTTTTTTCGCCAGAAAAAAACTAATATTAACGCGTCTGGTAACATTGGGTTTTTGCCGAATATTAGCCGAATCTTTAGATAAGTTCTGCAAAAGTTTGGCTTTGCCGAATCCCAAGATTAGGCGCCCAACTTTCAATTTGGCAAAAGTTTGGCCCATCACTACTTTTTGTGCTTGCCCACCAAGACATGGGCCACCCCACTTTTTTTTTTATGAAATTCAGGCGGCAGGTGGATGGGCACGACTCGTGATACTACAGTAGTTTTTGGTGACGGAGCAAATATTGGGTGAACAATATAGACCTAGGCAACATTTGAATCATAAAGCCATATCTTGAAGGTGCATTCCAGACACTGTCCACAGTGACCGGTACTTTTTAGCATCCCATACCGCCCACACTTCGAGAGTGGTCTTGACGCAGCAACAAATCACTCCTGTTGAAAGTCGAGATCCCCGCGGCTGGTTGTAGCAGTTCTGGCAAATGATACACAATCTAGGCACCACACTTAAAGGGGCACTAAAGTGGTTTCCGAGATCGTCTATTTATGGTCGTAGCTCATCCTATAGACTCTAAGCGTTCTAAAAAAACCTAACATTAGATTGCCATGTGTCCGACTTCCCCATTAAAAACAATATCAAAGATTTTACGATTCGAAGCAGAAGCCAAAGGGCAGCGTCGGATGCGCGACGGCCAGTCAAGGGTGATCGCCTCCCGCGCCCAAGTCGTGCACGTTCGAAAACAGTTTGTTGTCGGTTGGCGCCCTTTTTGGCGCAGGAAGCGACCGCTCAAACAAAGGCACCCTCCGATCTCGACTCCGCATCAGAAAAACAAGTGTGTCACGATCTTTGATCCCATTCTTAATAAAGAAATTAGATGCGCGTCGGTCTAATCTGGGAGACCACTTTGGGCATCCAGGGGTCCCAACCTGTTGGCGGTGCCGGCCGGGAAGAGGTTGACGGCCTTGACGAGCAGCTGCACGTCGTCGGGGGGCCAGGCCTGGTCCTGGGGGCCCCGCTCTTGGGCCCGGTCCCTCGAGGACGGGGGCCCCGCTAGCAGCTCCAGCTTCTCACGCTCCAGCCGCTCCTCCAGTGCTTGAGCCTGGGGAGGCGCAAGTGAGAACGGTGGCACCCTTCCCCTCTGGCGAACACTTTTACGGCGACGGAAAATTGTACGGCAGTCCTTTGCAAAAACGCCCAGCAACGTCGTCGGCTACGTCGCAATTGCTCCCGGCTCCCGTTACCGGGCTCATGAAATGAAAACTTCCGTCCGTCGAGCCAGATTCGAACCGGCACCCCGTGGGTAATCGCGATTGCTTCTTCTACCAACCGAGCTTTGACGTGACAAATTCTGGTAAATTCGCGGCTCATGGGCCTCGAGCATGCACGCACGACCAGAGCGTGGCGATGGGCAACAAGCGTGCTGAAGGTCGATAGTGTTCATGAGACGGCCTGCTGCTCTCACTTCGACACTGACTGTACACTGACTCGTGTTTATAGACAAACCAGATCGCCCCTGGCAGCACACCACTGGCACCGCACATGCGCAATAGACTGGGGGCAAGAAGTGCCACGTCCTGCATCAACAAACCGTTGGAATTGTTGATCCTACATCTTCCTAGCAATGTTCGACTACTTTAGAAGCCCGAGTGAAATTAATGATGCTCGTCACACTGCAAAATTTCATGTAAATAATGTGACGTGCAGCGATTCATTCTGCGTGAAAGTTGCAAAATGGATGCTAAAGCCCGATTTGCACGACAAAATCCTACTCGCTATTTCGAGTCACGACGTTGCTTAGACTAAAAGAGCGTTTTTTGGTAGCTGTGATGCTCGACGTAGATGCTGAAGATCGCAAGCAGAATCGTACGAAGTGAATTGGGTATAATGAGTCAGGGATGGCCACTGGTAACAATGATCGACATCTCCTTGCATCTGCCGTTTACACCAAACTTACTTACCCCAAACAACCTATAAACCCCTGCACTCCTCGCGGCATTGAGTCTACTGGCTGCTGTCGTTTGAATGAGCAAATAATTTAAATGAGTTTAAAAGAGCAGTCGATAGTCTGAACAATCAGATGGCCGTTTGAATGTGAAGACACACTGAATGTGGTACGTGGGTGGTCCGGACAATTTGACGGCTTTCCTGCATTCATGTTGGAACAAAACAAAAATCTGACGACCACAGATATCCATGAATTCAACCCAAAATGCTTCACAGGTTTTCACGGCACCTACCAACGTTCTTGGACGACCCGACCAGGCAGAAAACATATGAAAACTGATCTACACACCTTTCCCGGCTTTTTTGTAGCAGCCCCAATCACCACGTTTTTGACGAGAAGGCAAGCTTTAATCTGGTTTCTTCCAAAACAACACAAGAATGCCCGTCCCGTATGGTGACTTCCGCCCACTACCCCAGACAGGAAGTGCGCCTGAAGTGCCCCCATCGCAGCGTGACGTAACAGAGTTGCGTTGGTGTATAGAGGATGTTAGATGTAGTCAACACCCTGTTGTGCCAGTGCTTGCACACGACCATCTGAGCAGACGAACTTGCAAGCGGTATAGCTAGACCTCTGCAAGTTCTTGGTGGGTCCAAAGAACGCAATTTCAGTTAGAGCAGCAAAAATGCCATGAAGCCTCGAAATCGTGCCCGGGAGGCAGAGCATAAAAGATGACGCTACAATGATAGTTGATTACGCGAGCGTTAAGCTGCTGTCGCTGCAAAACACGTTACGCAATTGCGTAAATGCACTCAGATTATTTTAAATACAAAATGTGTTTTATCAGTCAAATGTCACAAGAAAACTGCCATGAACCTCCACAAAAGAATGTCACATCAATGTTTCCGCTAGATGTAGTGGGGAAATCGATGTCACGCGACCACGTCACAAGATTTAAAATGTGATGTTCATTTTCCGCCTTCATTTGGTGGGGAAATTGATGCTACATGATGTCCCCATGTCATGCGACCTCAAGTCACGTGGCGTCAATTTCTGCGAGGCGGTTCTGTGAGGTGGTATAGTTTGCGCTCAACACAACATTCTATGATTCCCAGTCTTTGTCAGCATGATCGGGCTTGTACAATTTTTTTTATATGTTCTGAAATATGACAGCACTTCAGGACTCCTTGGGGAAGGGCCCTTGGGGAAGGTTCCTTGGGGAAGGTTTGAACGCCACATCTTCTACTCCGGAGACCAAAACGGGACCTCCAAGCCACAGAGGCCGCCTCTGAACAACACGCCTAGGTAGCGAGGCCATGCCGCTGAATTTTTTGTGCCACCTCAATAAGGCCGGCGGGGGCCACAGATTCAGCATTCAGCAGGTACATTCATTTGGCAAACAGACGGGTCCCAGCCAAACACTGACGCAGCGCTCACGTCCAATCCACGCCCCCCACTGGCTTCCCGAGGGTGACACAGAAAATCCAGCATTACAGCCTTAAAACTAAAATGCAGACTAAAATACACAGTCCCTGCTGCACTGAAAGCTTTTCTAATCAATAACACCAACCTGAATTCAACCGCAATGAAAGATTCAGCTAATGCGTTAAATAGAAATCAATAAATGAATTAATAAAAAGCAGTTTATTTTGTATTACGTGCGTGCCATGTTGAGTTTCTATGCTGCTGCCGCATATAGTTTGACGTTCTGCGTGTTATACGAAACTATGAGGGATCGAGAGCCAAGCTGTTAAACACCTCTCTTTTCCCCTCACTTTCATCAGTCATGCACCAGAATGGAAAATAAAGTGTGAACATGCTTTCTGATTGGTAGCAGAGGAAGAAAGGGAAGCAGTGAAAAGGGTTCTCCTCTCCCCCACCTGGCCTAGGAAGAGTGCCTTGCGATCCTCCACGGTCGAGGCCCCCTCCATTCCCTGGTTCAGCTGCTGCAGCCTGCACCCACAGAAAGAGGAAATCAAAGACACCGACCCCGACCGAACAGGTGCGTTCATTAGCCACCGAATCTATCGTGGCGACAGCGAGACAAGAAGGTGCGTGCATCTGCCACTGTCAACCAGGTGCGCTCATCCGAGCACCCACCGCTGTGTTCTTTAAATTGCTAGCGCTCGCAAGCACACACCACAGGGTGTGGCGGTAGAAAAGAAAAGGGTCGCCAACCAAAACAAGATGACGCCGGCTACTAGCGTTTTTCGAAATTTCAAACACTGTGTCTTAAATTTTAAGTTTCCTCATATAAAATGGTAAATAAACAGCCTTTCCACTCTCGTGAAGAAGGAAGACCAGCGGAGCTGTACTCGATACACTGTGTGCTTCTTCTTCTTCGTCGTCTGTTTTTCGCACTGTTTCCTACGATGAATTCCCACCAATGCGCCCAACTATCCATTCTTCTATTATAGCTGGAAAGGTTGCCGCCATCTACGAGCAACGGCGGAAGCCATACCGGTTCTGTGCTTGCTGCCGTCGCTTATAGAAAGCGGTAGCTGTCCAGGTAGGTTTGTGTCGACATGCATGGACACGATCCTGGGGAACCTAGCCCTTAACAGCTTCGCTGTAAAAATCATGACCACTTGCTCGTAGCAGTAATTTTGGTTCACATACATTGGCAGCATCTTTTTCACGCTGCGACTGTGAATGGGCCCTTTAATCATATTGGAGGAATGGCCTGCGCTTTCCTCAGACCTACCCAGTCCGGAACCCCTGCACATTCCCTTAGGCAACAAGCGAGACCGTTGGTGAATCGGGCGTCGACACCCAAAGCCAGGGGTTTTAAAGGAACACTGACACTCCCCAAATTTTTTTTTTTTTTTTTTTTTTTCGCCAGGCGATTTAATATGGTGTCAGACAGAGTCACATACATTTTTAATAAAGCCAACAAAAGCAACTGTTGAAAACCGAAACCGAAATCTGCGCACGGAGGTCGGAGAAAATCGGGGGGAAGGTTCCGCCGATGTATGCTGGAAGCTAGAGCCGGTTTGCTTTTGTTGTTTTTGTTTGGTTGGAGAAAATCTGGCAACAATGCATGTTTTGGTTTGCTGGGACGTGAGAAGCTCCGCGGTTTGCGAGCACATGTAGCGAAGACGTGACCGGAGAAGTGCCCCTGTGATGTTCCCGGAAGGCGGAAAGTATCATTCGTAATCGTTGTGTGTGCTTTGAAAGTGAAGGGAGTCGTCACAGGGTCCACGAGTGCGCAACCCCAAGCCAACGTTCACGACAGCGCTGCATTGACTTTGGCGATCTCGTTCTGTTTGGTGCAACACGGTGATGCAACAACGAACTGAAACGTTTGTGGTGTGTGGTGCAGGGTTCGGAGGTAAAAACCCACACCAACACGGAGCGCAAATTGGTTGTTGTGGGGTTGAGGCTCAACAAGTTCAGTCCCATCGTCATCAGCTTATCCGGTCCAGCTGGTCCAGGAGGACGCAGCAAGTGTCTTTAAAAGTAAATCTTCCTTTGTTCCATTTCAAAATGGGGAAGATTCCCGACGCATATAATAAATAAAAAGCTGCGGGCGTTTTCAACAAAATTACGTCGTTTTAATTGAACAATGGACTCTAGATTATTGTCCCAAGTCTGCCGTTTTTATGCTTCATGTTGTTGGACCGCGTATGCACAGCGAAGTGTTTGCACAGCGACACACACCGCTGAGTAGATGATTTGGTCCTGCCAGTGAACGGTTATGCAGAATTTCAGGGAAACATTAGTCACCACCGATATTTTCCTTTAAATCTCGCGTGAGTTTGTTGAGCTCATGCGGTGTGAGTAAATTAGGGCAAGATTTCCTACCTGCCCACAGATGCATGAACTGAGACCATTTTTAACGTAGTGAACATAGTGCTTTTTCCTTACTTTCGGAAGAGGTGTTGGTGCATTTATTATGGTACAATCACTTGAGAGTTCAGAAACTGGGGAGGACAACCAAGCTTTCTGAATTTTGTCTCTTTCCTCTCTGGCACTGCCACAAGTTGCAGTTCCAGTAGGCATACCGTATAAACCGGAATATAGGTCGACTTTATTTTTGAAAATGGACCTGAAAAAGTCGACCCTCGTCTTATACAGTTGAACCTCGATTTAGCGAAGTCACCGGGACCCCCTAATTATTTCGTTAAATCGGGAACTTCGTAAAGTTGAGAAAGACATTCTTCGGGATAGGCTGCGCGGGGAATCCAAATTTGTTTGTTAAATCGGGAAACTCGTAAAATCGGGTTTCGTTAAATTGAGGTTCAACTGTATAACGGTCATTAGTGCAAAAACAAAAATAATCCCTCAACATTGGGTGGCTAAGCCGCCATCTCGTTTTTCTTTGCAATCGCCTAGCACTCATCCACTTGTCACTACAATCACCATTCACTTTCACTTCTGCTCCTTGTTTTGTTAAATCTACCGTTGCCGCTCCCGAAGTGATAATGAGCAAAAATAGAAGACAGTCCACGGTAGCCTTCAAGAAGAAGGCAATCGCCTATGCAGAAATCCACGGGAACCTTGCATCGCAGTAAGAGTTCAGTGTACCGGAAAAGAGCATACGCTACTGGCGAAGCCCGCGACAAAAACTGGCAGCGTGCAGCAAGGTGAAGAAAACTTAATTTTGCGGAAGGACCGTGTTGTACCCCGCATTGGAAACAAAGGTGGCAAATTTCATTCGGGATCTGTGCGCCAGATTGCTATCTGTGACGTAAGAGTGAATCCGTATGAAAGCCGCCAAGGTCGCTTGTATCTCCGGGCTCTCGACGGCGCAATTCAAAGGGACATCATCGTCCTTTTGAATTGCGTTAGTGAAATTGTCGTCGGACGAAGGTTCTAAAGAATCTGAGCAGGAATGCTCGCTTACTTTGTGTTTTATTGGATGCGAAGCAATTGAATAAATGTACCATGTTTTCTCATCTTTCCGCATGCTTCGCCAAATTTGTTACCAAGTTAAGGTTGCATTTTCTTGCCGTAAAAACTTCTTTTTCGCTTTTTGTAACTTGTAAATTAGGGGGTCGACCTATATTACGGTTCGACCTATATTCCAGTTTATACGGTACCTACTAGCAGGTACAAACTGCTCTGAGGCAGGTAAAAGTCTGGGAAGTCGGGACAATGCAGACTCCGTGTTTCGCAAGATGACTGGGGAAGTTCTTTTGCGAGGTATGCGGAATATGCAAACTATTTGTTATGCCTGTCACTTGTGTCTCTCCAGCAAAACGAATAAGATGATCTACAAATGCGTAATCACAAGCCAAGATTTGCAATAACAGTACACATTCAATTCAAACAACTTTACGTAAGATGGTTCGGAAGCCGAGAAAAAAAAAGCTGTCGTCTAAAGCACAATTTGGACATCTGAAGGCTTCTGCAGAGAGCTGTTACGTATTAACCTGGCTGTGCCAGGTTTTTTCCGTAACAGCTGTGTCTCAGTCACAGGTATTCGGTGCTCCAGGTGCGAACCTCGAAGGCCTCCGGAGTGAAATGACGAGAACATACCTGGGCACGTTTGTCGCTATGCAAACGCCCGATTGCCTTCAGCCAAATGGCATTCAGATTGTCATCTTTCGTGGCGACATGGCTGCTGGAAGACTCGCTGTCGCAATTACTCATCTGGCAGAACTTTACAGAGCAACGGCGCCACTTTACAGAAACTGACCTCTCCAAAAAGTCAACATTTGTACACGCAAGCAAAAAAAAACAAGCACGCTAAGAAAGCAAAGAGGAAAACGAAAGTAACAAACCGTGCTATGAAAGCCAAAAACCCCGTGTCACTTCCTATCACTAACACCTGCGACAGCTGCTAAACGTACACTACTTTACTTCAGGAAGTCTCACTCAAGCACCTGGGTCAACACGAAACACTGATCAGTTCGGCGAAACGACTGGTTGAGGTAGGCGTGACAGGCGGGAGCAGAGACTTCGGTGACCGTGAAAGAATGGCGAAGCTTTTGTTTGTTATGGTATGAATCCAAACGAAGTGCCCGTCTTGTAAACCTTTTGTAAGGAATAATAGCTCTCATTACATTGGTTATTCTTTAAACATAAAAATATGCCGCTCAAAAGGAAATTACAACATATCACAAAGGTTTAAAAGATCTAAGCTGTCAATCAATCTTTAGCCAATGAGAAGAGTTGCCATCGAACGTCGCTTCGTGACGTATAGCAGCCACTCAACGTATAGTACCAACTTTGTGGCGTGCAATTTAAAATGGACAAACTAGCCACAAACTAAAGTCAGTCTCACACAATAAGCATTGCAGTAAAAAAAATATTTTTTCACGGAAATATTGTTTTGAGACATGCTTGTCCCAATTAGGCTGTTTAAAAAAATATTTGTTTTTCTTAGCAGTTACCCTTTAATGAAAAAACAGTGAGTGTGCAGGCAAGCCGATGATAATTATGGTAATCATAATGTGACGCCTGAGATTGTGGTGCGAAAAAATTTAGAAACTTTCAAGTCGAAGGAAAAGACAAAAGAGGATGTCTTAAAACATTCTGACGTTCTCGTCTGCCGTCTTCTTCTTTGACTTGAAAGTTTAATTTTTCCACACAACACTCTCAGGTGCTACATTATGACTAATTTTGCTCTTCTAATTTACTTACCCTCCTCCTTTGCGCTCACCGAGCGAGAAGTGGCGAGGGTTTGAAAAGCTACGGGAAAATTGCTCCCAGAACAAATGGAGGGATCCGTCGTCTGCTCACATTTCTGGTGAGAGAAGGATATCCCTCCCAGTATATCTTCCGAGTTGACAAAGCATCATTTTCTGATACAAATATAACAAAACAAAATTTTGGGAATGTACTTTAAAGTCAGGAGTTGCACTTTCCGAGGAAAGTGCAACATACTTAGATAATGTACTTCAGGTAAAGTACAAGTTTTCTGAACCTACTTCAAGTAGTACTTTAACTACAATGTACTTAGAGCACTTCCCAACACTCGTATTAGGTAGGTGGTTGCACAGTTTCGGCTGATCGGTGTATAGCAGTGCAGGTGCACGCACCTACTCCACTGCTGGGGTCGTGATACTTTTGCAATGTCGTCTGGTGGACATGGAGGGGCCATTTTTGACGACGTGCCGAACGCGCTAGTCGGAACGCATTCCAGACGCCGCACTCGAATAAAAAAAAGGAGAGTCCTCACTCTGGAAGGGTCAGCAGCTGGCAGAGCCGGTCGAGCTGCTGCAGGCGCAGCACCCGCTCCTCGGGGTCCCGGGCAAAGTGGGCGTCCTGGGCACAGGCCCCCTGCAGAACCTTGCGCTCCCGGCGCAGCTGCTTCCTCACGGCCTCCTTCTCGCGCCGCTCCTTCTCGCGCTGTGGGGGCGGAGACACGCGCTCGAGTATGAATGCCGATGAGGTGAGAACGCTGGGGAAAGGCTTCGGTCGTCCCCCCCCCCCCCCCCCGGCATTGACCTCCCAACTTCGACGACGCTCCAAAATCTCAAGCACCTTGAGCGCGTGCACAACCAAAGCACGGCGGAAGGCACGCAGAGCGTGCCAAAGTTGTTGTTGTTGTTTGCGAGTTTTATGGCGCAAGAGCTACGATGGCCATACTGCGCCAAACTAGGTAAACTAAAATTGACTAGAAACAATGTACTAAGAAAGTATTTCGGCTATAGTTTGTGTAAAATCGCTATATTTTCTAGAAAAGCTAAAAGACGGTCGATTGATATTAGAGGCTGTTCTCCTAGGAACAGAGTAGGATGGAAAGGAATACAATACTTGAAAAGCTCAGGAAAAAAGAACTTGTGTTGTTGTAGAAGACCAGGGCAAAGAAAAACATGTAGAACAGACAAGGTGTCTCCACAGTGGTCGCACACTGGTGGTTCGTCACCAACAAGTAGGTAACGATGGGTAAGGAAGCTGTGGCCGATCCTTAGCCGGCACAGAAGAACCTCACGGAAACGGCTCCGGTTATAGGAGCTTTCCCAGGTACCGATGTTTGGCTTGATGATATGAAGTTTGTTGTTATCGGCCAAATCCCACTCGGACTGCCACAGTTTTAAAAGTGAAAGCCGTATGGGCCTTGTTAGGTCTTGGTATGGTATGCGTGCGCGTGATGGTAAAAGGTTACGCGACGAGGCGGCCAGCCTATCTGCAGCCTCGTTGCCTGTAATGCCCACATGGCTCGGAATCCAACAAAACCTAATATCCTTCCCATCTCCAAGGCCCAGTTGAACTTTAGCACGTACAAGTTGAGTCAGCTTGTTCTTGGTTGAATTAAGTGAGCACGCTGCAGTAACAACGCTCCGAGAGTCCACAAAAAGAACTGCTTTCATTACTTTGCTCCGGATAATATAGTCAAGTGCTGACAGCACGCCATATAGCTCGGCAGTAAAAACGCTAGCAACATTATTTAGCCGTGTCACATGTGTAAACGAATTAGAGTGAACAGCAGAGCCTACATTCGTTGAGGACTTGGTTCCGTCAGTGTAAAATTTATGATAATCCTTGTACTTTTCTTGCAGTGCAAGAAATTCCTGTTGTAAAATGAGTGAAGAGGTATTATGTTTATTAAATTTTGTGAAGTACCAATCACAAGTTATAGGTTTGATATCCCATGGGGCAATATGACATGCACTTTCTATAAGGTAGACATTTTCACGAGGCAGGCCGAGAGAGAGACGAAGGTCCTCAAAACGAAGACTCAGGGGTCGAACAACAGTTGGCTTGTGGTCAAAGGTACGCCAAAATTTCGACTCTCGAATGTAAGTGTGAGCTGGATGACTAGAATCCGATAAAACTTTGTAAACATAGACTAGACTAAGGAGTTGCCGCCTTTTCTCGAGTGACATTTCATTAGAGTCAACATACAAGCTTGGGATAGGGGATGTTCGAAAAGCGCCACTTGCTATACGCAACCCAAGATGGTGCACTGGATCAAGCATCTTCAATGCAGATGGCCGAGCAGATGCATACACAATAGCGCCATAATCAAGACGTGATCGTTTGAGAGAGGAATAGAGACGAAGCAGACACCTTTTATCGGAGCCCCAAGACTTGTGAGAAAGAACTTTTAGGATATTCATAGTCTGCATACATTTTTGCTTCAGCCACTTGAGGTGAGGTACAAAGCTAAGTTTACGGTCGAAAATCACTCCTAGGAACTTATGCTCTGGTCTTACTGCAATGCTATTTCCATTTAAATTGAGAATCGGATCTAACCGAAGCCCACGTCGCAGAGAAAAGGGGACACAGATTGTTTTTTCTGACGAGAACTTAAAACCATTTTCATTTGCTCATTTAGTCATTTTATTTATGGTTAGCTGCAGCTGCCTTTCACAGCTAGACATATTACAAGATGCCACAGAAATCTGAATATCATCCACATACAGGGAGTACGACACAGAAGAAGGTATGACCTGACAGAGAGAATTAATTTTTACGGCGAAGAGAGTGACACTCAGGACTCCGCCCTGAGGAACACCGTTTTCTTGAACATACGAATCAGATAATGTAGTGCCTAGCCGGACACGGAAAGTGCGTCCACACAGGAAGTGTTTTATGCAATGAAGCAATCGGCCACGTACTCCATACATAAATAGGTCACGCAGGATGCCCTGTTTCCAAGTTGTATCATAAGCCTTTTCCAAGTCAAAAAAGACAGAAACACAATGCTGCTTATTTACGAATGCCTCACGTACAACTGTCTCCAGCCGAGTTAAATGGTCGGTCGTGGAACGTCCAGGTCGACAGCCGCACTGATTTATGTCCAAAATGTTGTGTTGTTCGAGGAAATAAACAAGCCGTTTATTAACTAACCTTTCAAAAGTTTTCCCCAAGCAACTCGTCAGTGCTATTGGCCTGTAGCTGGCAGGAAAAGAAGGGTCTTTTCCGGGCTTCAGCAGTGGAACAACCTCTGCCCGCTTCCATTCGGAAGGAAAATGTGAGTCTTTCCAGAGACCATTGAAGTAAACGAGGAGGGCAGCGAGTGATTCCTTCGACAAGTGTCGGATCATTTCATAATGTATTCGGTCAGGACCAGGAGACGAGTTTTTCCGGACATTAAGTGCCATTTGGAGCTCGACCATCGTAAACGGTTGATTGTAGGGTGCAGAAGCTCCTCCTGCCAAGCTGACTTTCATTTTTTCTGCATCTGTCTTAAACTTCAAAAACGCTGAAGAGTAATGGGAGGAGTTGGAAATGGCTGCAAAATGTTCGCCCAACAGATTAGCCTGGTCATGCAACGAATCCACTGAAGGAAAAAGAGGAACTGTAAAGCAACGGTATCTGCCTTCGACCTTGTGAAGTCGTTCCCACACTTCCTTTGCTGGGACGTAGCTGCTGATAGAGGTCAGATAACCTTTCCAAGACTTCCTCTTTGCCTGCTTCCTGGTTGAACGAGCTTGAGCTCTATTTCTCTGAAACTCTAACAAATTCACAGATGTTGGATATCTCCGAAATATACTCCAAGCCTTATCTTGTTTTTTCTTAGTGGCGGAACATCCTTTATTCCACCATGGCTTACATTTTTTTGCAATGTTACATGAAGTCTGAGGGATGGAGCGAAAGGCAGCATTTATGATCTGATCTGTAATGTATGTGGTGGCTTCATCATGTGTTAATGGCAAGAACATGCAAGGTTTGAGTTCCGAGTTTAGGCTAAAAAGACCCCAGTCTGCCTTTTCCAGTTTCCAACGTGGACTGCGTTTCATGAGGCTTGGAATAGATACCTGACTTTCCAAAACGACTGGAAGTGGTCGCTCCCAAAGGGGTTATTTAAAACTTTCCAAGTAAACATAGAAAACAGTGAGGGGGATGAAATTGAAAGGTCAATAGATGTAAATGAGTTGTGAGCAACGCTAAAAAAGGTTGGATCTTTCGTATTCATAAGGCACAGCCCAGAAGATAATAAAAAACGCTCAATTACCCCACCACGCGAGTCCTGACGGGCGCTACCCCACAGGGGGTGGTGAGCATTAAAATCTCCTAACAGTAAAAATGGATGAGGAAGCTGTGTAACCAGCCGTTGAAGATCATGAAGATGCAGTGAAGTGTTAGGTGGAATATAAATAGAAACGACAGTAATAAGGCGGTCCAAAAGAAGTCGTACAGCCACAGCCTCAAGAGGCGTAGCCAGAGGAACCTGAGAGCAGGCGACTCCATTCTGGACAACCACAGCTACTCCACCAGATGAATTAGATGGAAGGCGATCTTTTCTAAAAACTTGATGGCGGCGCAATATTGACTTATGATGATCATTGAGGTGTGTCTCTTGTAAAGAGAGAGCAATAGGACGTAAATTGTCCATAAAAAAATTAACATCGTCAATATTGCGTAAAAGACCGCGGCAGTTCCACTGCATAAAATGAAATTTAGTCATGCCTCTAAAACAAAATAATAATTTAAAAAAAATTAAATTAAAACGCTAAAACGTTGTTGACCTTGTAATACTAGAAGGGAATACATAAAAACTTACAAATCTGCCGCTCATGGCAACAATAGACCAACATCATTACTTTGGTGGGATGACAGGTTTTTTGTTTTTCTGTTTACTCTTAGGAGTCTGCCAGTCCATGTCGTCTTGGTCAGACGCATGAATAGAGACTTCCGTGCCCTCATCCATTGCCTCTACTTCTTCAGGCGAGGCCTTTGCTGCTGGTTTGGGCAGGCTCGGAGGATGGGGCGCCATGCCCCGTCCACGACCAGCCCCAGTCAAATGGGCGGTGGAGGTGCTGGGCGGGGAGTCGCCCAAGTGCACCCGTTCCTGCCCCTTAGGTGCTGCAGGAGCGGCACGAGAGCCATGCCGCTCCCTCGATGATGCTCTCTCCAGGGAGTGTGGGCGAGAGTGTCGACCCTTCTCCCTGGAAGGAGATCGCAGAGGAGGGACGGTTGCCGCAGCCGCCGGCCCATCCTGAGCTTGGGAAGCAACCTGCATACCCTCTATGTGAGAGGGCTGAGGCTGTTTTCCCGCAGGAGCGCGAGTCTTTGCACTCTGGCTGGGAGGGCCAGCAGACCCACCAGCCGAGATTGCACGCCCTGGAAGCTGAATCTTCAGCTGGGGCGTGGGGGACTGCCGTGGCTTCCCATAGTCCAGAAAGGACGTCTGGGTTGCCACTGCAACCTTCAGTGGTGCAGGTCCCCGCTGCACCACCTGTGCATAGCCGCCTTTGCGCAAGAACGCAAAGCGACGGCGCGCTTCCGGGTAGGAGAGGTTTTCTTTGACCTTCAAGGTAAGTACGTCTTTTTCTTCTTTCCATGTCTTGCAAGATCTAGAATACGCGGGGTGTGGGTCACTACAGTTTACACAATGGGCTTCATTAGAGCAAGTATCTGCAGCGTGGTCATTTTTCCCACACTTGGCACAAGTGGCCTTACCACGGCAGTTCTGAGAGCCGTGGCCAAACCGCTGGCAGTTGAAACATCTCAGAGGGTTTGGAATATAAGGCCGAACCCTGCAGTGCAGGTACCCAGCCTTCACCGCGTCAGGAAGTGTGGTGGATTGGAAAGTTAGAACTATGTGCTTTTTTTTAGGTTCTTGGCCATCACGACGCAAAGAGATGCGCCTTGCAGCAATAACTCCTTGTTCAGAAAGGCCCTCAACTATTTCGGTGTCACTTGTCTCAAGAAGGTCATCCTCGGAGATAACTCCTTGGATGGAGTTTAAGGTGCGGTGAGGTGTGACCGTTACTTCGTGATCAGCTACAGTTCTCAAGGCAAGGAGAGCAGCACTCTGCTCACTTGATTCGATTTCGACGAGTAGGTCACCCGATGGCATTTTCTTGGCTTTAAATTCCTTTCCGACAACACCTTCGAGTGTTTTTGCGACAAGGAATGGAGATAATTTAGACAGCTGTTTCTCACTTTCAGAGTGAAGAACCAAGAACTTCGGGAATCTGGTAGGTGTAGGTGGTGTCGTCTTTGTGGCTTGGACTTCGGTGCGGACCCTTTTCAGGGGCCGATCGAGGGAGGTTTTAGCGCGAGAACCCATAACATGGGAAGGAAGTTTCAGTGCCCGGGTGCACCGCCCACCACGGAGCCCAACAAGGGGGTAGGTAATGTGCCATAGCAAGATGGGCTTGGCTGACACAATTACTCTACCAGTGCTGCCCGGGCACTATACCCTAGTGTGGTTGCAGGGACAGGACCTGTTTCCACTCAAGGTTGGCCCTTGCCGCCTAAGAAGGTGAAAAAGGAAGGAAGAGAGTGTAGAAGAAAAGAGAAAGAGGTGGAAGGAAAAGTGAAAGAAGGAAGAAGAGGGTAAAGGAGGCGACTGACTGAATCATCCTGGTCGGGCCAACCCAGGACACCCGTCTACGAGAAGCAGGGGTCGAAGCGGTGTATTGCCTTGCCCGGGGGGCCCCGAAGGGTCCAAACATACCCCGGGCTCAGCTCAACCACCAGGGTCCCCTTTTCCCCGGACATGGGTTAAGCCACGCACAGCCAGACGTGGGTGGGCGAACCCACATGGCTCGGGGTTCGTAGTGACGCCACTCACCAAGCACCTACTAAAGTAGGTGCCCCCTGCGTGCGGGTATGGTGGCCCACGTAGCTGGGGTCCGTGGTGACGCAACTCACCAAGCACCTAGCACCTAAGGTGCAGGCGCCCCCTGCGGGGCTCGGGGTCCGTGGAGACGCCACTCTCCAAACACCTGCTTTCACAGGTGCCCCCTGCGGGGAGCGTGCCAAAGGCCGCGAGTTCAAAGGGCACACCCGGCCCTTCTCGTTTTGTCGGCGACGGCAGACAAAATGCATGCTAGCTCGATCGTGCCAACAAACGCCTCAAGTCGCACCTGTGATTGCGATATATATGCGCATTCACATATATATCGCAATACTGTTGTCAACGAATGAAATGAGATATAAATTTGTGCAGCTGAGGTCCATTCTTATAGAAAAAAAAATGCACACCATAAAATACCGCAGAAGCACCCACTCTGTTCAAGTGCTCACTATTGACATTTCCCAAACTTGGGAATTCTACAAATTATATATGAAGCACCCGATATGACCGGACAAGCACCCATGACTACATTAACTCAGTCTTCAGTGAAAGAAGGCTGGGCACTCTCCCGGTATTTTACAATATATCGCGCCGCTGCATGAAACGCGACAGCAATCAAGAAAAGAAATATGTGACTTATAAACTGGAAAATATGAGACGCATGAAATGTGCCGGTTTTAAATGCTGTCTCTGCAATGGGGAGTGGTGCTGATGTGTGCGGGGCTGGCTCAACCCCACACTTCCTGTGAACCTTGGCGCATTTTGTGTTCCCCGGTAATTGTCATACAGCCGCTATCTATCCATCCATCTTTCTATCACGTGGTCCAACCTCGTCGACCTCGTCGACGTGACGCCATCTTTTTGCGTTCCCGATTGTCACACCGGTCACTCCCGTTTCGCTCGTGCGTTCTTCAGTTGTATTGGCAAGATGGAGAAAAGGTGCGTTCATTATGAGGCGTCTTTCAAGCGCAAAGTCATCATCCTTGCGGAACAGGAAGGCAATTGAGCTGCGTCACAAGCATTGGGCGTCCCGGAGACGTGCGTGCGCAACTGGCGTAAACAACGGGGCAGGATTTTCGCCTGCAAAGCTACGTGGAAAGGATTCAAAGGCCCCCAAAGTGGACGCTTTCCAGAGCTCGAAGACTCTCTTGCGGACTACGTAAAGGACTTGCAACTCAATCAGCTACCCGTCTCCTCGGATGCGATCAAAGTGAAGGCACTCCAGCTTGCAAGAAGCTGCAACATTCCCCGGTCTCGTTTTAAGGCCAGCAAGAGCTGGATCTCTAAATTCATTAGGCGAAAGGGATTTTCACTTAGGCGAAGAACCAGTATCTGCCAAGAGCTGCCAGAAGCATATGAAGAGAAGCTGGTTGCATTCCAGCGGTTTGTAATCAAGCTTCGCCGGTACAGGAGCCACATGATCGGACAGATCGGAAACGCCGATCAAACTCCCATGTTTTTTGATATGCCATCGAACTACAAAGTGAAATCCAAAGGCGCTACGCAGGTGCGAATCCTCTCGTCGGGAAACGAGAAGAATAGGATTACAGCAATGCTATGCTGCATGGCAGACGGGCACAAGTTGGACCCCTTCCTGATCTTCAAGAGAAAGACGCTTCCGCCAAACATTACATACCCTAAGAATGTTATTGATCGGGTGCACCCCAAAGGCTGGATGGATACAGATCTCATGATCGATTGGATAGACTCGGTGTGGAGGAAGCGACCTGGTGCCGACCTGGGCGTGCGTGCCATGTTGGTGCTCGACTCGTTCAGGGGCCATATCAGCGACCGTGTGAAGGACAAACTTGCGGCCTGCCACACCGACCTTGTGATCATCCCAGGCGGCATGACCTCTCAACTTCAGCCGCTTGACGTCTGCTTGAACAAGCCGATGAAGGACTATGTACGTACAGCGTACAATGAGTGGCTGATTCATGGGGAGCACGCGCTGACGCCGGCAGGGCGTTTGAAAAGGGCGACGCTCGACGACTTAGCAAAATGGGATCACGACGCCTGGGAGGCACTCCCTCCAGGCGATAAACGTCCACTCCTTCAAAAAGTGCGGCCTCTCCAATGCCTTGGACGGCAGCGAGGACGACTGTCTGTGGTCTATGGACAGGGGAAAGGGGCTATCGTCGGACTCTGACAGTGACTGGTGTGGTTGTTTCGAGTGTATGCGTGAGTTTACTCGTTCCATAAAATGTGTCTTTCAGGTATGTGGTATTCACTCTCCATTTTTTTACCTGCGCGGTGCAATCGGCATCAAGTTATTTTTCGAATATTTGAGGGCTAAATATACCTGCGCGTTACAATGGGAGGCGCGTTACAGTTGTGCAGACACGGTAATAGCTGGCTAAGTATCACTTGATCCGAAGTTCAATCCCTGCTTAGAATATTCGTGTTTCCAAATGGCCTCCACGGATTCTATATCCTTTGTATAACCGCAATCTACATGTAACGGTCAAGCGTGGCAGTCGAGCGCTATAGTTCTTCGCGAAAGTGAGCATATAGACATATTCTATGTTAAAACTTGCGGTGACTAAGTTACTTACAGGGCCGAGCCAATAAAGGTCTGATGCCCTAAGAGCACTCCCGCCGCACGGCCACGCTACCAGGAGAGCAGTTGCCGCGCCGTGTTTGTTCGCTGATTGCAGTGAGTAGAAGTAATGCCATACCAGGCGAGGATCCAGATCCAGGCATTGTTTATTGGAACTAGGGTTCCGTAAACATGCTGCGGCCGAAATAGTGTTGGGTCGTAGGCACCCATCCAATCGTCAACCAGAGCTGAAGAAGTCGCATATCGTCCTCAGAGGTCGACAATGCACATCCTTCGTCCATCGGGTCCCATTAGGGTTAAAGATTCCCACAAACTAACAAAGAAGGCCTGAAGTAAGCTTCGAAACTTGCATGCTCTACATCCTTAGATGGCTATGCTGGTCTCGACACAAGTGTGTCAACCTCATGTGAACTACTGTGCATGTGTCACTTACACTCAGTGAAGCCCGGCAGGCTCAAGTCGACAGTGTGATGCTCATTGGACCAGTCGTGCGTCTATTTTTCGTCGCGTGATCATGCTCCCGCCCATACCCATTCACAGAGAGCAGGGTCAGGTGACGAAAGGTTGTAGATTGGACCGTCAAGTGCACTCAGCTTAGAGGACAATGAAGCGCAGAGACGTGACAAACAGGAACGATGCATCGTGACCTTTGGACCTTAGCAATCATAGATCCTTTATGCTCATGACAAAGTGTGCAATGCAAGCTCACCGTCTTTTCTGCCCGGGGCTACCGCAACAGTTTTAGACCACATGGAGATCGCAACATTTAGAATAAAAAAAGGTCACTGGTTTTTGCAGTTTTCCTGTCGATACCCCGTCGCGCAGTGTATATCTAGTCAAAACATATGGGCATGCAAGTATGTAGACTTCAAGGCAAATCACTCGCGCAAGTGCTTGAGCAAGTTCGACACGTTCTATGGCCAAGCCCGTGAGCTGACCCGGCAGACTCACCTGCAGCCTGGCATCTTCCTCTTGGCGCTCCCGTTCCAGCCTCTGAGCATCCTCCTGCTCCTGCCGCTCCTGCAACGCAACACCCGATCGAGCCACGGTCGAGAGGCTACCGGTGCCATAGAGGCTCGCGGCTTTGGTTTCGTGGCTATCTCCTTGTATAGCCCATTCCCTCGCGTTCCCACTAATGAATGGGGTTAAGAAAAAGAGATTGTTTCCACACATTTAATTGTACTCTGGACATTTCTGCTCCTAAACAAACACTGCAATAAAAAAACATTTTTTTTCTCTTCAAAAAGGGAAACACATTAAAAAGCAAAATTTACCACGAAAAATTAATTTATTTTTTAGCAATATTTACGCTGCTAGACACAATTTAGGAGCAGAATGTGGAGGTCGCAGCCCCTAAGCCCCTCCCCGTGCTTACAACTCTCACTGGCTGGAGAGATGATTGACCTGTGAAAGGTTGGTTGTAAATTTGTACATCTCAGTGCAGTAATAGTATTTTAATTGACTATTTTTTTTTTTATGTTTGAGAAGCAACTAACCAAGACAGAGACATTAGTGTTTTCAAATGTATTCTGAGGTTGCTTCACCCGCTTTGGTTTGAAACGTTAACAAACATGGCAGCCTGCGTCTGCAGAGTGCTGAACGAGCCTAGCTCGTAGAGTTCATCAATTTTTATGAGTGCGGGTCGTTTTGAGTTCACAGACGTGTTTAGAGAAATATCATATCAACTAACATAGTTCGCAGCATACAGCTGTCGCAAGTACGCTCCTTCGGATGTGCTGTGCGGATGCTTGTTTTCGCAGCGGGACTGGCGTGGTTTCAATACCGAGAAGATACCTACACGGGTAAGAATTTGAGAGCCATTTGGCTGGAGGCAATTGGGCGTTCGGCTCGTATCAAGTTCGTCCACATATGTTCCCGTCATTTCGCTTCGAATGGCAAGTAGCTCTAAAGGTTTGCAGAGCACCTGGCCTGCCGAAGTGAATAACTTTAGGTCACATTTTAATTGTGCATCATGATGCCTCTCACCTTGCTCGTGGATGCAATGCGAAAAGAAATAAGAACATCATAGCTGAAATGACTGCATATTTATTTTGTTGCTTCTTTAGTCCTCGCGGTCGCTTTCTACCACACATTGACGGACGCTGACAGACGCCTGTATTGAAGCATCGCTTGCGCATGATGTAACACTAGAACGCCACTTTCATGGTAGAGCCTTGCGAGCGTTATAAAAGCTTTTAGACGGGGTGGAATAGCAGACGGACGAAGCAGACGGACGGACGGAACGGACGCCAATGGGCAGCGGTCATGTCCGCGTTCTACGCGCATGGCAGATGACGATAGATGGTGGAGAAATAGTAGACGATGACAGAGGCTGTTGTGAGTCTGCTCGCGCGACCATACCTGTTTCTACCTCAAGAACCATAGTAAAAAAAAGTGTGGCGCATTGCGGACCGTTACTAATTTCCCTCTTTATGTGGACAATTAAGAGATATGTAGGCGAATGTTAGATTAGATACATGTCATCTTATTGAGACGTAGACGTTTCAAATGCCAAAAACATTGCTTCTTCCTCTGACAGCCAAATCTCGTAAAAACTTCTTCGCTCCGCATATAAACAATGCGCAAAACTTGCTTTTTTCTTGAGGTGAAAACGGGTATAGCAGGCGTTGTCAGACGACAGACTAGACGCGCCAGTTGTCGGGAAAGGGAGACACCAGTCTTCTTAGTGTGTTCATCTGAGCAGCCAAGCCAATCCAGTAGTAATGGGCGGGGCAACTGATTTGTGGGCGGGGCTTAGAGAAGGCCGCGACTTCCACCTAAATTTTGCCTAACGGCCAAGAAATTGCACCAAGTTTTTTTCCTTCTCGTGGAAAAATATTAAAAACAAAATGTGCCGCATTTATGTTCTCTAAAAAAATTACAGGAGGACACTTAAGACTGCTTAAGTGTAGGAATGTGAAAGCATTATAGTCCTGCGGGTGAAATGTTATGTTTATACACGTATTAATGGGTTCACGGCTTTCGTGACGAAGCATCTGCGTTGCCGTGCACATATAGAGGACAATGTCAAGGACGGCTTTGAGGACGGCATTGAGGACGACGTGAAGAAGGACATCTAGGACAACGGCGTCCTAGAGATTGACGCCAAGTATGGCGTCTAGGACGACATCATCCTCGACAGTGAAGTCCTCTAGGACGCCGCCAAGGACGACCTTTAGAGCGACGCCGAGGACAACCTCAAGGACGATGTCAAGAATGGCGCCTAAGAAGACGTTGAGGATGACGTCCTAGAGAACGACGTAAAGAACGACGTCTAGGACGACGTCTAAGATGACTTCTAGGACAACCTCTAGGACGACCTTAAGGCCTACCTTAAGGCCTAATGCCGCCACCATCAATGGGCACATGCAAATGCTTTCCAGGCGCCTAACCTATGAAATTAATAACGTTGGGAAGGTGGCTTGTCTTTAGCCGATTTAAATGGTCCAGTCCTGAGGCGGTGGGCGACCCTCACCTTCTCCTCCTGCAACGCCTTGGCCCTGGAGGCCTCCTGCTTGGCCCTCTTGTGGGCGAGCTTGCGCTCCCGCTCCTCCTCCTTGAAGCGCTGCACTCTGGGATCGCAGGCATACGCCGTGTCTGCAAGGCCACACACCGAGTTTGCTTGCATATACCGAGAAACACGAAACCCTAACAAAACAGGACTGCCCATCCCTTTGGTATATTTTGTTACATGTTTGTTATTTTGTATGTTACATGACCACCAGAAAAGCATGTGGCCACATGACCTTACATAATATCTGACCCGATGTCACCTCATGTGGTCACGTGACCAAAAGCTTTGCTGATGGTTGGGCGATGTCACGTGGCACTGACATCACACCATAACGTTGCGTAACACTGACATTGCACCATAATGTCACATGACACTGTGATGTTATTCTATAGCGTCATATGACACTGTGACATTACACCATAATGTTTAACAACACTGTGACATTGCATAATAATGTCAAATGACACTGTGACATTATGGTGCGTTTACGCTTGCGAATTCGCAGGTGGATCCGTGCCAGCGGCGAGTGGAATTTGGAGCCCGCTGGCGAAATCTCCTTGTCGCTGGTGGAAAATCTGGATCAATCCAGGACCCGCATCCAGGTTTTCTGCCAGCGACGAGTCGATTTTGCCACCCGGCTCCCAAATCTGCTTACCGCAGGTGCGGATCCGCAAGTGTAAACACACCATTACACCATAATGTCATATGACACTGGCACTACATTATAATGACATATGACACTGTGACATTATGCCATAATGTCATACAACATTACACCAATGACATTACGGTGTCCAGTGACATAAGCTCACGCGACACCATTAAGTTGTGGCGTCTTAAATTGTTCCAGACAAACGGTCTGGAACGGTTGGTAAGAACACAAACTTCTTATTTAGTTAAGATATGGCCGAAGACACGGAGCAGTCTTCGTAGTCTGGTGCCATTATGCTGTGCAGTCTCCCTGTGCAGTCTCCGTGTGCCGTCTCCCTTTGCTGTCTAACTGTGCCGTCTCTCCGGCGATCTTGCGCCGTATTCTTATGTTACCTCGTGAGTAGGGTCGCCTCGCAGTGGCATGAACTGGTGAAATCGCAAGGCAATATGGCAACTAGACGAGAGAGCAGTATCCGCAATACGATGGTGAGCTTGCCAGGGTATTATCCCATGTTATGCAACCTGGATATTGCACGGAACTGATGCAAGCGTGCGGCAAACTCCGCCGACGACGCAGCAACCGAGTCGGGTATCGTAATATGAAGCTCTCAGGAGCCGTTCAAGCCAAGTGGAGAAATGTTCTCTTGAGAACCGCTGTATGTGGTGCGTGCGTGATCACAAAGTCATGGTGCCACATAAAAATCTGACAGAGAGTTCCTTCTCTCAGGACTTGGTACCATTCTGACTTTAGAGTCAGACACCGACTGTTGTGAACGCCGCAACATCATCGACACGACGTCGCCATCGAGGCTATGTGCGAGCATGCACCTGAAAATCATAAGAGCTGTAAAGCGGCCATAAAACGAGAACACGAGGAAGAAGAGACAAGACCAAGCACTAACTTACAACTGGACGGTTATTAAAAAACAGTATTTGTACAAAAGTTTGAGCTCCCGACAAAAAAAGGCAAACTCTTTCTCAGTTAAGTGCACTGACGGTGCACTTATGCAGCTATCCTGCGTAAGTACACCGTTTTTTAGGCGCTTTACAAGTTAAACATGTACCACCTAGCCCACTTACCCATTTTACTGCGTAAGAGCTGGCTCTACAAATGCTAAACATCACAAAAAAAACTCGGGTAGGAGAATAAAATACGAGGAAGAGAGGTTGTCGGAAGGTGACCCACCTACGAGCTGGCGAATGCGCTGCATCTCCTCACGCTTGCGCTTCTGTCGTGCTGCCCGGTTCTGCTTCTCGATCCAGCGGCGCTCCTCACGGCTGCAAGGAAAAGGGCGGGTTCGGTGCCTCCACCATCTCCCCACCCTCGGGACCCAACACTCACTTCTCGCCTTTCTCCTTCTCCTCCTCGTCCAGGTAGGAGTACTCCCGCCACGAGTCGAAGCTGTACCTGTAACCGATGACCACCAAATGAGCTTTTCCTAAACATTCATTCACATGAGGAAGAAACACCAGAGATTCCCCTCCATCGCGTGCGTTGTGCAACGAAAACATTGGGCTCTTGCAGTGCGGCTTGATGACGTCGGCTCCCTGTTGGACAGAAGGAGGAATGCCCGGGCGGTAGCAGTCTCGGTTTGGGAGCAGATCCATTTGTTTTTATTGACAGTTTTGTAGTTAAAAGCTTCGGCGTCGAGAGACATAGTTATATTCGTCTGTTGTGGTGCAATGAGTGCAAACCGCTAAGTCGGACTGGAAACGTCGACGTCCCGTCCCCCCCCACGCACTTTGTCATTCACACCACCGAAATGCTGGGAAATGTCAGTGTCACCACCCGTGCTGCAAACTACCAAAAATAAATACATAAAAAATTATACAAGCTTGATCATGCTATCAAAGACCAGGGAGCACAGAATGTATCATGTGCAAACTGCATTCCGTGTGTTGTTTATGATAGTTTTTTTTTGTTTTTTTTTAAATTTAATATTAGTAATATTTTAATAGTTTATTTCTACTTTTTACTTTTAATTATTCATTTTTTTTAATATTTTAATCGAAAACGTGTTGCTCTTACCTTCAAGCAAATAAAATCACGCCTTTTTACGTAAAACCTTAATGTCGTGTAATGCTCCCAGCGTGTTGATTGTTTGTGACTTCATTCCCCATGCTCGTTCGAGACAATTTTCTCGCAGAAGACAACTCATCGACCAATTTGTGTCAAAATAAAATCACGCCTAGTGTGGTCCTCCTTTTCCCTAAAAGAGGACCACACTAGGCGTAATTGTTTTGCTTGTAGTATAATAAGCTTTTACAGTAAAACTCAGTGCAGAAAACAAGAAAACAAGTTTATATACATGCTTAAGTGGTTTGTTCAAGTCTTTAAATCAATAGGCCCCTCTCATATGAAAGATCTCGAAACAATCGATCCTTGGTCGCTTAGGCGCCGCACAACCAGTGAGCTCTTATCGTGATTCGGACTCGGAACTGCGGTTGGAATCGCTCCCGTCGTCGACAGAAGGCTTTCAAAACTCACTATTTTCACCAGACGTCGCGTCACCATCGCTGTCGAAGAGCATATCTATGATTTCATCATCAGAAAGGCCACACCACACACTGGAAGCTGCCATTTTGTCCAAGCAGGCAGCGATCGAGCAGGAAAGACGACACATAAAAGAACAAGTTCAAACAAACACGGCGAACAGAACGACCCTCCCCATCTGTTGGCAACGTATTTAACTACACTACCCTAAGTCCACACAGCACGCCTTCTATGAATGGCTCTTTAAAACAGAAATTCATGCAGACCAGCGAATCACCGGCTTTGGCAATACAGTAAAACCTCGTTAATTCAATCCCCGCTAATTTGGAAATTCGGATAAATTGAACTGCCGATCCGGTCCCGTCAAACATATGTATTAGTCAATGGTAGCAAACGCTCATTAATTCGGAGGGAACGCGATTCACTATGGTTAATTCGGACGAATTCAGCAGGTGGCACTAGCTACCGTCCGTTCAAAAGGGTATGACTGCTATCCATCCGAGGTGCACACATGGTTTTTCCGGTTTTCCCATGCTTCTTCGCTCTTCCGGTTCTCCGTGTTTCGTACCAGTTTTGCTCTGGATTGCTGTGCTTCAGCGCGTTACTCTCCTGGCATGGAAGCGGCAGAAGCATAGCTACAACGGAAAAAGGGTAGCACAAGTGACCGACGACCGGAATGGCAATATCGCGACACGCGGGCTATTGTTCCCAAACGTGCCGATAGCGAGAGCGACAGTCACGTTTTATGCCTCAACGCGGCGATCCTAAAGCCCGCCATTTTAACAGCTATATTATCCCTCAATTTTTCACCGGCCACCCCCGCGTTGAAAAACGCAACGTGACAGGCACTCTCGCTATCAGCGTGCTTGGAAAAAATAGCGCCGGGTGTTGCGATTTCGCCGCTCCGATTATTGGTCAGTTGTGCTACTCGTTTTCCGTTGCAGCTGTACTAGGCTAAGAATTTAGCAACGAAAGTGGAAATACTGAGGGCCTTGAAGGACGGCGTCTCTCGAGAAGTGATAGAAAGTTACGACGGGGGGACATGGCCTGGGAAGGTTAACTTTTGAACCGTTCCCTTAAATAGATTCAAACTTTCAGGGTGCATTGAACCCAATTAGGATTGATGAAATCTAAGGTTTCAGTCTTGTAGGCCAATTCTACTACACACAATGCTTAAAAAGCTCCAGAAAAAAGTGACTTCAGTAGGAAATGTATTTAAGAAATATAATAATTGCAATCCACAAAACGTTTGTTTTAATGTGAAGTAGAATACCCATAGTGCAAGTTAAGGTAAAAATTAATTGTAGAAAATGCAATTCTAGAGAAAAACAATAACACCGAAAAAGTGCAAAAGATTTTAACAAATTTCTGTGTTTTAAAATATTCAGTTTTTGTCATGAAGAAGATAGCTTTTTCCGAGTATGAGTACCTTAACCCGTTCCTCAGGAAATTTCAGTCCAGGACGCCACTGAATGAAATCTTCACACTTTCCAAATGTCAAATGATACATTTCCTCATACCACATTTCCTGCCGAAAAGTGGAACTGAGAAAAATGCATTTGAAGTTTCAACTTCAGGTTTCTTTCGTTTCTATGAGCCCGAGGTAGGCGAAATTTACCTGGGGCATTGTTAGCACCTTCCTCTTTGAAACTTTGTTGTTCCCCTGGCAATAGCTACCAGTTCGTGTCGTTTGTAGGGAAGCTAACGTTTGTAGCAGGCATTCCTTGACAGGTAAACTGGCAAGAACTAAGAGGCAAATCATACAAAAGAAGAGCAGCAAGGCAGGAATATGATCTGAAGTGGAAGATACTGTGAAAGGGCATTACTGAAGATGACACAATATCACGTCACCGGGCAGGACCAATCATAAACCCTGTTTCGGGTCTCAACCAGTAAGATTGCTCATACCAAATTTTCAGGATTTCTTCAGTTTGGATGTAAAGGGTTCTCCTGGCCATTGATACTTTTAAACTTTGAAAGCTTCTACGAGCTAAATCTAGAGTAAATGGCGTTTCCAATGAGGGTGAGATGTTCTGGCTATGTTAAACGAGTATGAAGCAGTACTAAATAAAAAACACATAAAACTTGCTCCCTGCTGACACAGAGGGCTGCCAACATGTCGAAAATAATTTATCGTGAGATAAATCCTACCTGTTCATAAATGAAATTTTCTGAAACCATTCTTTGGAAGTTAATAAACATAAACATATAATTTTTTAAAAAAACATTTTTTCTGAAAATTTGGATTTCTGAGGCCAAGTCCCCAGAGAAGCAGTTTGGTCACATACGTGAAAATTGAGGCCGATATCCTACGGGCTTTCTATAGTGAGAAGTTCAACGCAAAAAGAAAGCGGCCTTGGAAGGTGGTGCACCCGAAACTAGAAGATGCCTTGCTGCGCTATATTATCAGCGAAGGGGATGCATAGCTCCGACAGTGCGAGTGCGATGGAGCACTCGACCGCGCTAAGGAAAGTTGCCGTCTCTGTCCAAGTGTCGTCCAGAAAGCAGGCAGTAATAACATATTTCTTCTCAAAATAAAGGTATGTCACAGGGAAACGTTTTTGTACAGTTTTCTTTGTCCTTTCGATATTTCGACTTTCGGATAATTCAAACATTTTTGCCGGTCCCATGAGATCTGAATCAATGAGGTTTTACTGTATGGCCCTTGACGGCACGCCCGGCGATTCGTTGGCTTTGGTAGCGAATTGGTTAAACACATTCTGTGTTAGAAAAACCAAAGAGGCAGGAGGGGGGACTCGACTCGAGAAGACTCTGTCAGCGGTGAACGCTTCAAAAATAATGAAAAAAGAAAGGAGACACTACAAAAGGAGGACGTGGCGATGCTATTTGTACTGAAAAGATGAGAACAACAGAGAGATCCTTCAGTTATCCCTCGTCCAGCGCGAGCTCCCTACCTTTGGTAATGCCAGAGTCCTCCAATACGCTACTGGTCACGAGACTTTGGCCGTTTGGTACAGAGGCAAAAATTCCTGACAGGAGCGCCACTGTCCCAGAGGGGGCATTTTTGTTTGGCCACACGACTCTCGGTGAGCTACCCAAGATTTGTGAATACAAGTAGTCTCTAAAAAACAATTTCTCACACACCGACGTTCTCTTCTGCCCATAATTGATCGCTGTGTGCAAGCACCGGTCATTCTTCGTCAATCTTTAATAACAGAACTCAGTTTACGTTTGTTTTCAAACAAAACAATGAAAACGAATCAATATGTTTGTAAGCGAAAAAGAGCAAGGCAATGGAGCGTACAGGTTTGCAGTGCCTCTACTCGATGGCGCAACTCGCGGCGCCAAAGTTTAACGGCAATGGGGGGGGGGGTCGCTTCCTCTCCGGCATTCGCTCTGTCTGCTAAAGGGGGGAAGAGGGACGTTTAGGGTGGAGGCGCCTCGTCTTCTAGGTGGTACTGCCGCAACCAACACCTTCTATAATCACTGCAGGGTGTCTACCAAATTGTTTTTTTTTTTAAATTCTCTGACTTTTCCAGGTTTTCCCTGACTATTTTAATTGAATTCCCTGACCCACAACTACCGACACCGAAACACAATATATGATAGATAGACACTATTCACAACGTAAAATATTTTCTTTAAGTTAGATAAAGCGAACATTAGAATATGTTTAGAATACAGCATTGACCCGGGTTTACTGTTTCAGGGAGTTTGGTCCCAGCACCTGATCAGTACATCAATTTGTTCTCCGAGTTAATTTGTTCAGTGAGTCATCAAAAGCAACCACCAGATATGGCACGTTAGAGAGGCTTGCTAGTAACTTGTCTTAAAAGTAGGGGGCGATGCCACGACATATTGCATTTCCCACTTTGTCTTTTCCAAGCTGAATTTTTCTGGCGGTCTCACACATGGGGAACATCAACGGAAACAGCGAGGCAGACGCTGCCACTGACAGAAAGATCCATAAGTTGTTATAGTGTTCAAGCACTACATAATCCGCGGCCTTTGTGACTTCCTTCTTCAATAAAAGTCACCACCCACGTCTTCACAGAGGCGCTAAGAGCTTCCGTGGCGGTGGTTAGACGCATTGCCAGAGCCCTATAAGTACTATTGTTACCACCGGACAAAAAACACCCGTTGCTGTCGCGGAAGGCAAGTCCGGATTTGTCGCAGTTTTGAAAAATATGTGATTGTAAACCTGAGACTGGGGCAGAAAGAGAACACAACAGAAGGTAGTAAAAGAGGAGGCAACGTCTCAACAGAAGGTAGTAAAAGAGGAGGCAACGTCTTTAAAAAATTTTTTTCACAATCATGTTCAACTTACACCAGCTCGCCTGCACTCTGACTATTTTTTTTTTAAATACGACTGGGCTCTGGGAAACGCTTTGCAGATATTTCATCGCAGTTTGATGTTTCTTACCCTCAAGATGAGTAGCAATCGCCCTATTCCCCATGTTGCTCAGGGAGAACTTCTTGCAGCACATTGCGGAGCGAGCACTATTGGGATCATTTGGAATGGGCCGAATCCAACTTGCATTCGTGCATATGTCCGGGTTTGTCCAGCTGAGATTGAAGGAGCACTTTCTCGACAGCGACATAGTCACTTTCACATAAATCCACTTTCGGAGAATAACACAATAGAGAGCACAACCCACAGCCTCAAACGCACGTGGCAGAGCTCGTAGAGTACAGGCGTCCAGGTTGCATTTACGGGGAAGCGCGAAAGCACCATATCTGACAAACGAATGGATCGCTAGGTGCGCGCCTCTCAGAGGGTAGATGAATGAACGACGGCTGTTCTTTTTCGAGTGAGTGGTGACTCGTGCCACCTAGTATCGGCTAGAGCAACTGTCTCTCCTCGTACTAGAGCAACACCACCTGACTAGAGTCACGAACTAAACAAAATTGCTGCTGCTACTCTCTGTGAGTAACTCTTTAGCCGCCATACTTTAGCGTTGCTACCCTAAAGTGTAGCTTATTTAGTGGCTTTAGAGTGTACTAAAACAACGACGAGTCGCCAGTTTCGCACATGCTCTTGTGTGAAGCATAGCGCGTGGAGGGGGTCCCGACGCCGCACTTGACTGCACTCGTGGCTATACCTGCCCGTGCCTGCCGCTTCTAGCGTAAGCGGGCGAGCATGGGATAAATTCCCTGACTCGGCAATCTTTTTGGAAATTTTCCTGACAATTCCCGGTTTTCCCGGTCGGCAGACACCAGACACCCTGCACTGACAATGCACCCATAGATAGCCGGTTCAAATCCGGCTCAAGAGACAGGAAATCTCGTTTTCATATGAATTCAGCAGCGACAGCCAGGAGCGATTGCGTGATTGATGAAGACACCGGGAGTTTCTGCAAAGGACACCCATACATATTCTCTTGGTAGTTCCCACTAACAGCTCTCGCTGTAAAAGGATGCAGTTTTCCAACCAACTTTTCTAATCTCGCACGGAGCAAATCATGTGAAATCCACGGTTTGCCGCGGAGGGAACGTCGGTTGTTATCGTTCCCCCGCAATGCAAGAATCTAGGGGAAATGCGCTCTGCTCTTTGTGCGAGCCGAAGGTGCGGCGTATCGAGCCAAGGAACAGAGGGACGAAACGGAGCGCGTAGAGCTGTGCCGTTCCACTTCTGTACGTGAAGGCCGTCGCACGCCGCCTTCTGCCATGGCCTCACTCTGCACAACGCGCGCTCCACGAGAGTGCAGTTGTTTGGGGAGCACCCTCCAGATGGCGCATACCACATGGCGGTGCGAGCCGCCGCCCGATTTAGTCCCTTACAGATGCCTGGGCCGTGTTCATTGTGTTGTTGAGGACGAGGCGCCGATGCCTGCTCCCTGGTTATTAGAATTCATATTTTGATGAATAAATGGTCATTTGAAGCGTACCAACTTGCTTTATTTTCAATGTCGCTCGTGAGAGATTTGGCACTATTTCGGTTCCTAAAACAGTGCGGATGGTACACAGGCACATTGCTGGTCCCACAAAATTTGTTATATGGGCATTTGACTAACTATAATGCCAAACTAATTAAATCACAATTATTATTAGTCAAAAATACCAACTTACATTTTAATTAACTGAATCATAATAGTTCAAGTACTGCAATTTAATTATTATGCAAGTGTGCATCCATGCTATCTGCAGAGAGGCTTACATGCAATCTCTACAAAAATTTTTTTTTTTTGTGAGTGCTTTTTAAGGTACATTCTCAATGTGTATGGTTTCAATACACTCTTTTATAAAAAAATTATAACCCATCTTGATACATTGCGTTAAGCTGTAAAGACAGAATGTCATGTGTTTGTATTGACTTTTTGAAACCGCTGCGCTTATTTTGTCCGTTTGACTTTTTGAATATTTTGTTAGGAAATGAGACCTGAAAAGACAACGCACTCTGCGCCAGTCGGCTTTATGCAAGGTACCCTTTTCCTATGCTCGCGGTAAATTTTTAGATGTTTACATCCCATATTATTTCGAGGCGCCGTGTTTTGCAGCCACACGAGAACATATATAGCGACTAAAAAAACACTTTCCTAAGCCGCTCCGGTAGTGCAGGAGTGGGGTATCGGAACAATGGGCACCAAGGAATGAAGTATTTTCGCAGACGCCTGGCCATGTTATTATGTTTTTTGTTACAATCTTTCATGACAGTCTAGACTCCGGAGCCAGCACTAAAATACATTCTGCATTAAAGGAGCTGTGCAACAGTTTCAGTGCTTTGCTTAAATAATTTGGGAGCTGGTGTCTTGACCTTTCTGAAGTGAAGAACAAAAAACTAATTTTGCCTCCATGTCCTAGTTTTTATTTTAAAAATGGACAAAGATTGAGGTTACCGGCACCTCTCAACTCCTTCACCATCTTCCCCACTGACGTCACTGTGACGTCAGTGGGGGTCGCGCGGGGTTCCGGTGAAGCTCTCTCTCTAGAGCCATCAGTGAGCAGCAAGAACTCATCCCCTCGCAACTGCGTGACCACGCTCTGGCGCAGCGCGAACAATATGGTGAAAGGAGGAAAGTCTCATCCGGGTTTGGCCATCCCTGTCCGGCTCTGCCCGTCCCCCTCCTGCTTCTGGCTGTTTGCGGTAGCAAATAGAGCTGACAGTTTTGTGAACCTAGGGTAGATGGCGCCACTAAAACTCCAAATAATAAAAGTTTTGTCAATGATACCAAGTTTTTGACGCATTTATATTTATGTCAAAACGACAAGATTTATAGAAAAGTTACCTCTTATCAAGCAGATATTCACACAACTTGCTACCTTTCTACGTGGTTCTCATGGCAACCGCTCATGGCTGCAGGTCGGGGAATAATCTAATTTCGGCCTCGCGATTACACGGCAGAATCGCAACATTTCGAAGAAGGAGGTGTGGTTTCTATCCTTTGTGACAAGATGAACAATGACAAAAGTAGAAGATGCCAATTCTTTTAACGTTAACATTGTTGCAGAGCTCCTTTAATATTGTCTTCAAGCGGAGCCACACTGCCTTGGCACTGACCAGAAGTGGTAGAAACGGTCCACTTCGTCCCGAGTCGAGTCTTCGTGGCCCAAAGATGGCACATCCCGTTTGGTCGACCACCTGAAACAATTATTGGCTTCATATTTTGCTAAACACGTATCGCTAAGCAGAGCTATAAAGAATCTAACAAGAAGAGCAGTGTTGGGAAATACTGTATTTAGTACATTGTACTTAATTTTGTATCACAAATGATGCTTTGCCAACAAATTAGTGCCTTATAAGTGGATTGTGTTAAACAGTTTGTCAGCGAGAGTAAAACTACTCGCCACTTGATTTCATCCAATATTCGCCACCATTTCTGCAAATAACTGATGCATTCCTGGTTACCCCTAAGGCAATGCATGCCAGTTAAGAAAAAAAAAAAAAAAAAAAACACTGTATAGAGGAATGAAAGGGCATCATGAAAAGAGTGTGTTAAAAAGTACTTGTACTTTACTCTGAAAGTACATTGTTTACCATAGTACTTGACCTCAAGTTCATTGCGCCCAGTGTTCTCACAACTTTACTTGAAGTACATAACCTCTCATTTACTTTTTAGATGTACTGTCGAGATCGGTTATAACAAAGACGGTTATAACGAAATAGCGGCTACAGCAAAGCGATCACGATTTCCCATTCCCATTTGCACTTTGTCAATGCATTTGTGTCATTTCTAGCGAAGAAAACTGAGCGGCTATCACGGATATAGCAAGGAGAAATTTTGTGATAATTTTAAAAAAAGAATAGAATTTGGAAAGTTTACCAAGTCTTGGACCGCCGCACTTGCTGCTGCGGCCAAGAAGCCACCCAAACGGGCTGCAGAAGATGCTAAAAAGGCTGCCGGTGGCAGTCTCTGCAACGTCGTCTGCTCTCGACCCTTATCTTGGAAGCGGCTTTACCGCATCGCAAGCGGAGAAGCTGCCATGGCATGCCGATAGGGGCGTTCAGGGTGCTAGCAACAATGTACCGGCGGAGATGACAGAGAGAGCCTAGATTTAAGAGAGGGAGCAGTAAGTATGCCTGCATTTGATTGTCACATGGACAGTGTGGAGAGGAAACTGGGCGGAGAGGCGGACACCTTTGCAGAAGGTGAACGCTTTTGAGTTTTGACTCTTGCATGCTGCAGTTCGTTCTGGAAATGCGGAGCACGAATCACGTGACACCGATCAAGCAGTTGCCCCATCTCTTAAATCTAGGCTCTCTATACCAACACAAACAAGCCTGGGCGCGAACTCTGTGCCGTGCGCGCTTCTTTGTTTGCTTCATGATCAGTGTCAGCGTCTGGTCTGCGAGGTCGCCCTTGCGTGAAAGTCTACTTTGGTCAAACACAGATTAGGCGAATCATCGCCACTCAACGATGGAGAGTCCCGGCACCGGTGGCACCTCGACGGGGAAGATGAACAGAATCTAGTTGAATGAAAAGCGTGCCATCCTCGACGGACTGCGCATAAACATAAAAAATGCCGTCCACCACCGGCATCCTCTGCAGGGCCATCGCAGCTGTCGACACGGTCCGTACGTAGCAGGATCTTTTTTTCAATCGGAGCTTCTCGCAGTCTGCGAGAAGCAGCTCCGATCTAGCAGAGGACACGTGCAGGGAAGCCTCGAACGTTTTATGCAGGCTCGATAAACTTGTGCCCGTGACAGCCCGTGTTACCTTTTTTTTAATGTTATATGCACGAGTTTATATATAACAAAGAAGCGGATATAGCGAAACCATTTCCGATTCTCATTGACTTCGTTATAACCGGTTTCGACAGTACTTTACCCAACACTGAAGAAAAGTAATTATAATAACTGTATATACTTTTCGTGAACAAATACGGTCCAAGCTAGGCCTCGTTCATACAGCCGTTATTTTTTTCAAATTCCAGCATGGCGCCGGGCGGCGTTCCCACCAGGGGAGAGGGTTTTCGGGACCAGTTTGGGCCCCAGATCACGCCGCCGGAGCAGAAGCGTGCCGAAGGACTATGTTCTATGTCTCCAGTACAATACACTGGATGGGGATGTACCGGAGTCCTGCCCCAACTAGGGAAGATTAATCTCAAAATAGGAAACTTGCACTAAATCTGGCAGATTCTCAAATGTTTGACGATTATGGGCACGGCCGCGGGAGAGGGAATTGATTATACCATGCCCCAACGATGAAGCCAATGAAGCTCTTTTCTCTCTTTGGGAAGGAGCGGGACAATGTGCAAGTTCTTTTATGCTTACGGTTCTTCAACAATAGGATTACAAAAACTTAAATTTACCGCTGAGCTGCTGCTCGAAAAGGTGAGACGACATTGGTTCCTTTAAGAAAGGTAAATGTGATTTAAAAAAAAAAAGACAGTCAAAGAAAGAAAATAGGGTGGTTTGATCATTGGTGAAGAAAGGTGGCATAACAAGCGATTGGTGTGAAATGTGCTTGCAGCTGGTCCTGTCGTATTTGTTTAGAGATGTAGAGACAAATAAAATGTTTTCAAACACGAAAGATCCTCATTGCTGACCCAAACGCAAGCTCCAAGAAACAAAGGAGTAGTGACGGTGCCGATTGACGCCGATTGTCCGCTACATCTGGTGATCGGTGCTGCCACAAAGTGGTCACAATGAGGGAGTTACAAGATTCTTGGCAGAGGTCTAGGGAAGCGTGAACTAGAGCACGAAATTATACAGTCTAACAAAGGACAAAAGTTTGACGCAAAATTTTAAAGAGGTGCAGAAAGGTTTTTAGGCCGGATGGCGCAAGCTACCGCCCAATATAGAGGGTAGAGCCACCAGCATTTATATATCCATCCACGTACACACTGCCGGCAGCTCCGTTGCCGCCGGTTCGAACACTTCACCGTCCCGTTCTCGTTCGCCAACTAACTTAGCTTGATTTTTCCGTAACTCGTAGACATCGCCCAAGCTTCCCGACGGCACATCCAAAACCGAGGAAGACGCATTTTCTGATTGTAACTAGCACCTAGGGCACACCTTCCGCACCAAGCAAGAAAAGGGCGGCTCCGACAAGACGATCGAGGAACGAAGCGTTGACACCCTTGACATAGCTTTTAAGTATCTCCAGAGTAATGACGCTCCATCCACCCATCGTCTAGATGGCGCCACTCTCGCCTAGCGCAGAGAGGTCCCGACTGGCTATAGTCACAATTAGAAAATGCAAACTCCCGAGCCTCAGATTCGGCGCCAGGAAACCGAGGCAACGTCGCACTGCTTCGTTGCGAGCCGCTTCGAAATTTACGAAGGACGAAAGAGCGTTTCTCGCGATTTCAGATCCAGCTTCGGACGACTGGCAACAACAATTTAAGTGACAAGAGGCCCGAATCCGAAGTGCAGCCCACTCATGGCTCCGGCGCAGACTGAGCGAAGAGGCTCACCGGGCGTTGGCTTCGAACACGGGGCCGAAGGTGGCAAAGAAGCCCAGCCTGGCGTCGACACTGCTCGGGACGTCGTCGTCGAACTCTGGGTCGACGCTGTCGTAGGACCGCCTCCTCACGGGGTTCCCCAGGATCTCGTACGCTGCACAGAGCCAGCCGGTCCCCAAACGACCTCTTCACGTGGCCTACACCGACACTGCACGGGGCCCCTCCTTAGACGACGCTTTGATGTCTCGCACACCTTGAGTGCGTGCACGCAGCCAAAGCCTGGCAGAAGGCACTGGGTGCGTGCCGGAAACCGGGTGTTCAAAAGACAAACACCGCCTGACTTTCTGTCGGGTTCAACAGACTTTCGCAAAAATGGCTTTCTGCGTGCTGCCATGTTTGTCTGCTGGTCTGAGGAACGCCTTCCGAGCAGGCGCCGTTGCTCCGCTGCGTGGCACGTTAAGCCCTGCACGTGTGCCCGCGGCTCGGCAACTCAGCACTTTTCGCTTTAGCAACGAGCAATGCTAGTGTATAATAGATCCCTGCAAAGCCACCTAGCTTGCATCGGTAACATTGCCTGCACATCTTGCAATGTCTCGCAACACTAATGTGCAACCACCGTCGAGTTGTCGCTATAAGACAGGGTCGGGGATTCGCCAATGCCATGTGCGACCTTATGTTCCAGGTGGTGCTGACTACGCCCGGAGTCGTTTGAAATGTGCGGAGCAGCAAGGGAACAATACCGGGCAATTCGGAGCAAAACTCCAAATACTTGAGGCGTAACGAGTCGTTTTAGGAGCATTCCGTTGGCAATGGCAGGCTGCAGCTTGGGACGCGGGAATTCTGTGGCTTGTTGGAATCCAACAATTATCACTTTCCTCACTTTTGTTGCACGTGTGCGAACATGCTGTGGGCATCACAATGATGAGACAAAAACACAAATGAAACCTAACCAAAAAAAAAATGTGCACAGTGGAAGAGACAGAAAACACGGAGACAGATGTCCGTCCCCGTTTTTTTGTTTCTTGCCACCGTGCCGCGCCTTTATCAAACCCAGCCTCCGCTCTTGCCGTCGCGATAAAGTTGCACAACCTTGCCTAAGCCGCGACTGCTCTTTACATGATGGCTACTTCTTTCTTTTAGAATCCTGGAGAACTGTTAATAAAAGAGAAACTTAAGGTTGATAACTCCGAAAAGAGAGTTTGACAGAAGTAAAATCTAGTAAATGCCGCAGTTGCAGTGAAAAATAAACTCCAGAACCACCCTCAAGAATTTCCAACAAAATATATACTGTAAACGACTAAATTTTCACGAGGACCTAATTTTCAAAAATTTTGCGAATCGCCTACAAACGTGAAAAATATGTCCCACAAACAATTCAAGCAATATGTGAAAGCTACGGAAGCTACACTTGATTCGCGAAAATTAGAACCCGCGAATAATTTCAAATTTTCAGCTTTGGCCCGATTCGCGAAAATTAAGCCGTTTACAGTATATAAATTAACTTAAGTTAAGTCAGATTGCTTATACATCAAACAAAAAAGGGTGTTTGCTGCAGACATATGATCATAGAATTATCTCAGAGCACGTTCACCTCGTGCATGCTTCAAACACATCTGCAGACAGTTCATGCATGACCAATGTGACCCGTTGGACAAGGAACGAACACGCCTCGAACAGCGCCTGCAGACGGTCTTTTGCGCAATGCATTAGTAACGTCGCCACAGCTTAATAGCCGGTTAAAATACAGAAGGAGGCACCACGAGAGCTAGGCCGGTCCCTCACCGCGGGTGATGCAGGAGAAGTAGTCGTGGTCCATGTCCCGCACCTGCTCCCCGGCCGTGCGACGCTTGTCCGGGTGGTGGAGCAGAACCTTACGACGATCTGCGCAAGAACAATCAGCACGCTTGTAGGGAACGACAATGCTAGACCCTATTCGGACACACGAGCTGCATGTCTGCGACGCCGCACGTTCGTCGTACGACGGCCTGAACATTGCCACGATACAACTATCGCAGATGCAGCCTTCACTCTGCACACGTTGAGCGTTAATTGGCTCGGCAGCCAGAGTCAATGAAAACCAAATCAGACGCGAGATGGGATGCCCACGACGACGGCGACCCTCGCCTTTTTCGCCAGCATTAATACGACCAACCGCCAGGGTTGCGACATCCAACAGCACGGTGTCAATTCAACGAGAGAAGTTGATCGGTGCATATAAGTAGAACAGGGAGTAAAGGAAACTGAGAGGAAATTGTGGGAAGAGAGAACGCAGGTGAAATCAGCTTTCACAATATAAAGGACACAAAAACAAAAAAAGGAACAGTTGTATGACAATTCAGTGGGGAGCTTATTGCTGCTTGAAGCTAGAAGGTGGGTGTTAAGAACGAAAACATATAGGGATAAATTCCAGAAAATTGATACTCCCAATGAATGGCTAAACTCTTTACATATACATGCCTTGCACGTGACGTCATACAGCCAGCCTTGGGTAGTAACGCGTTTCTGTAACTTCGTTACTTTTGTGGTGACTTGTACCTGTAATGAGTTACTTTTCAAAAATGTAACTTGTAACTGTAGTTCTACTACTTTTTCTAAGGTAATGAAGAAGGTAATGGCATTACTTTTGTCGTTACTTTCCAGTTATTTTTATGAATAATATATCATCGAACGACGAGTACAATTTAGCTATACATTGCACTTTCCAAACGGCCTTTTCCGACATTTCGAGTGTCAAGTTGGCCTTGCACAAACTTGTGAATACATCCTTTCTTGCGAGTCACGACTCGTATATCCACGTGTAGAGTTGATGAAAAAAAAAAGACTAGTTATTTTGATGGATACGCTTGTACTTTGTGACTGAACACTTACATCTTAGTATCTTGAAGCACTATTTATGTTGCGGTTTTTCTTTTTTCTGCGCAAACACTTTTTAATCGGGTGAATCAACCGTGAACCAACAATATACGCGGAGGGCACTGCGCATGTTTCGTATTTTGATTAACGCCACTACTACGCATTGCGCATGTTTCGTATTTTTATTTGCGCCACTACTCCGGCGTGGTGTAAACAGTCGAGGCAAACTTTACTGCTGTTTGCGTAGGGTTTGTTTCTGGCTTGCCGGGTACAAACTGAAATATGTCCAGCAACTTTATGAATCCAGCGCAACCGTCAACAAATCAGCAATGTGCTAGTGCTACCAAGGATAGGGCATTTGTATTGGGTTACGCGTTTGCCCCCGTGCAATTCCTTCCAGCGCGCCGGTTGAGCGCCTGTTTAGCAAGGGCAGGGACGTGTTCGCCACCAAATGAAATCTTTCAGGGATTAATTTCGAGAAGCAGCTGCTGCTAAGTTACAATATAAAGTAAAAAGCGCGCTTTTTTAATTGTATGCAATAAAACTTTGTGAGGGGCGTTTTCTAGCTTTTCTTAAATTTTTTGTGTCATAAAAAAGTAACTGAGAAGTAACGTCATTACTTTTTAAAAGTGACTGTAACTGTAACGAGTTACTATTTTGTTGCAGTAACTGTAATGGTAACTTCGCTACTTTTTTCTGAAAGTAACTGTAACTGTAAAGAATTACTTTTTAAAAGTAACTTACCCAAGACTGCACACAGCACATAGCAGCCACCATTGCTCCGTACCATGCTTATGTGCCCGTATCTTCTGCAGCAAATATTTGGCATGACTGAATTTGTTCTTCTCGGCAAAGCTTGCCAAGAAGAACAAATTCTATGGTGCCAAACGAATGTCGCAGAAGGTACGGATAGAGGAGCATAGTACGGAGCAATGGCGGCTGAAGTGACGTCAATGCAAGCCATGAATACGGATCTGTTTGCCACTTCAGGACCAGTTCAGCTGCATGGGAGGCCACAAGACAAAGGCGCATCCTGGGCACTGTAGTTGCACACATGTCCTTAGAGAAGTCCAGTGCCCGCAAACTGTGATAGTACAGAACTACGAACTTTTGCAATATGCGAAGAGTGCAGTGGTACACGCGGCCGACGTAAGCACGAACCGGGCCAACTGGCCAGATGCACTCACAGGCCTTCTTGAGGTCATGCTCGGTGGCCCTGTGGCGCTTAGCCTGGAGACCGAGCACGCGGTAGTGGTCCTGCTGGCGCCACTCCTTGGGGTCCAGGCTGAGCAGGTAGCGTGTGTCAGCAGGGCTCTCTGGGGCCCCGCCGTCCTGCTCGTCCTCGTCCGACGACTGCGACCCCACAGAGGCGGCCGACGACGCATGCCTTGCCCGCGGGTTGCAATACACGGACTCGAACCAGCGGCCCACGGGCTCGACGGTCACGCATCCCAGGGCTGCAGGCAGAGGGAGGTGTTAAAGGGTGCTGTCGGTCGGTACGGCCTCCAAAATTTGAACAGACCCATTCGACCAGCCAGCTTCTGGCAACTGTGCTGCCCCTGCTAGGTACGCTTTGGCCTGGCCCACATTGATTGGGGTGAGGAAATGGACGATAATAATAATAATAATATTCAACTCGGAAGGAGTTGCGACACCACACAAGGCGAGGAGCCCTTACCAGGAGGTCTGTGGTGCCGCAGTTACATAAGCGACAACAGAAAATACTTAAAAAACAAAACAAAAAAAACCCACACACAAAGAGACAAGCACAACAATAATAACAACAAACAAAACAACACTCGGATGCATGCTGCTTAGGACCGCAAGTGCAGTATTGCCTCCCTGCAGATAGGTTTTATATCTTCTCTCTCCTTGAGGTCTGCTGTCATCTCTGATGGCAGGGACCGCCACAGGTTTACTGCCCTGATGACGAAGGTATTGCGGTGGCGGTCAGTGCGGGCAGAGTGGTTAAAAGCCACCGTTTCGATTCAGCCGCAGCTGCCGAGCGAGAGGAAGTTTTGGAGCCTCTAGGAGGCAGGGTGCCAAGAGCTGGATAGACGAGATTTTCCTGCGCAGGGCCAAACAGTTCCAACCCACATGTGCCATCAGTTTATTCGTAGCTAGGTCCCAGTGACGGGGGCATGAGGGGTTTGCCACCACAAGATAGTGTAGGCGGCACGCCTTTCTACACCCTTAAGAGAAGCGGCTAAGATGGCCTGAGGGAAGTCCCAGACTGTGGCACAGTGTTCAAGGAGTGGGAGCACCAGTGCGGTGTAGAGGTGCCTCAGTGTTCTTGAACTGGCTTTCCTTGAGACACGGGTAACAAACCCCAGCATCCTTCGGGCTCGGGAAGGTCACTTCAGCAATGTGAGTGCCGAAACTGAGTCGACAGTCCAGCCTGATGCCTAGCAGCTTGGTGCTGGTCGTTCCAGAGATGTTCACTCCGCCGAGATTGCAGCAGGGGAGTGCGGAACGCTGCTGCCTGGATGAGGATATCTGCATCGCAGTGCACTTGGCAATGTCCAGCGGAAGTCTGCTTTTGCCTGACCAGGCGAAAACCTGGTGGTGGTGGTCGAAGTTGGTGGTCGAGGGGGCGACAGATTGGCTGCACGAGGGTGAGGTCGTCAGCATACAGAAGGCACGTAAAACCCAAGTTCCGGGTGATGTCATCAATAAAGATGTCAAAGAGGGTAGGGCCTAGGACACTACCCTGAGGAATCCCCAAAACGACCTCTGCAGTGTTAGACCTCTGCTTGTCAAAGATTACGTGCTGGGTACGACCGAGCAGGAATGACGTTACCCAGCTCAACAGGTTGCCGGATATTCCTATGACAGAGAGTCTCTGTAGTAGGATGGAGTGGTCAACTTTGTTGAAAGCCTACTTAAAGTTGTGTTGGACGAGCTCGCAGAGTGTAAGTCCATCTAGGGAACTGCTCATAGTGTGAACCATGGTTGCGAGAGCTAGCTCACAGCTCCGGCCAGGGCAGAGACCATACTGGTGCGAAGAAAGCAACTGGTGTCGCTCAGTGTGTTCTAGTAAATGTCAATTAACGATTCTCTCCATCGTTCTGCATATGATGGATGTAGTTGATATTGGCCGGTACGAGGACACGAGTGACTTGGACAGCCCACTTCCATTGTGTATTGGGGTAACCTAGGCAGTCTTCCATTGTCGGGGGACAGAGCCGGCCCGAAGAGAGTTTGTGAAGAGTTTTGATATGATCGGGCCGAGTTTGTTGGAGCACATCCTCAAGAAAGCTGGGTGCACTCCGTGGGGTCCAGCCCTCTGAGATGGGTTCATACGCCGCAATGCTTCTGCAACGTCTTCCTCACACACCTTGAACGATGCAAGTGGTGAACTACAGCGGGGCGTGTTGGAGGGTAGCGGTGATAGGTTGCCAGGGATGGTCCAAGCCGATGAGAAATGGTCACTGAAAAGTTCCGCTATGGCCCCGGGTTCCCACTTTTCTTTGTTTGTGTGTTTTGTTTTAACTACCTGTAAAAACTGTAGAGAGAGGACGTGCGGGTTGGTGTTATGGGCATACCTACTGCATGGGCGCCAGCCTTTCTGTAACACCTGCACACCCTGCACGTCCCTACCCACCCAAAGTGTAATAAAATATAAAAAAATATCAAATATCAAATTACCTGGCTTCCATCAACTGTTTACATGGGCCCAAAAAAGCTTTGGGAAATGGATCGCTTTCTTTGCAATCGACTCCTTCTAGGCCTTGTGTGCAGAGTAGATTACTTTAGACTTTTCTGTGCTTCCTGCGCTGCGCTGAAATGGAGTGAATTTTTGGTGATATGTGCTTTCTTGAATAACTGGCGTTTTTTACAGGAGAGCCAAATGATATCCTGAGTTATCCATGGTCTATCCCGGCCAGTCGTCATCCTTGTGGGAACACATTCTGGTTCTATGTGTGAAAAGGGATCTAACCAAAGGTCGTAGGGCATCGGGAATACAAGGCTATTCACTCACCAGGGACCAGGGTGCAAGTTGCAGCAGGTTCTGGAGGTGCGATCCATCAGTCTTCAGGAACTGCTGGATTCGCTTTACGTGCGGACCGGATTTTGGCGGCTTGAGTAGGCTCTCAAGATAAATTGTGTGGTGGTCGGAGCCGGGGAGACCAGACTCAAGGGAACAGCTCGATACATGTGCTGTATTGCTAATGAAGGCCAGGTCTAGGAAGGACGTTCTCCCAGAGTGTGCAATATAGGAGGGCTCCACACGAACTTGAAAATATTGAGTAGCATATCATCCCAGGGGGCCGATGGGATGGGTGCAGATGGATTCGTCCTGTCGAGAGTTGAATTCCAGCCCGTTTGAGAGAGTCGCCGAGAAGATCGTAGGATGTAGACTGTGAGGTTGGGGGCAGTAAACACAGCGGATCAGCACTTTTCCCCGGTGATGATTTACCTTGACGAATACAGCCTCGAGGTGATTATACTCCAGGTCCTGGCGCTTCCGGCAGGTCATGTGGCGGGGTACCGCCACCTACACATCTCCTCTAGAAAGCTCTGGCAAAAGTGTGCCGAGCACCGTCGTATGAACCATGACCGGCCGTGGTATGAACTGCCTAGGCGAAGGGGTATTGGGAGAGACACTCACCTGACAGGCGGCCGAAGACACCGCTGTCATCGACGGGTGCAGGTGGAAGTAGCAGGGGTCCGACCATGACGCTCACGTTGACAAGTTGGGGCACAGTTCAACTTCTATAGAACTTGCGTAACTGAACCAGCTGCAGCGCTGAAGGCACACCAGCGTTGCATCGGTCGCACCAGCACACAAGGGTCGTTGTCGATGTCAAGCAGGAACCGCCGAACCACTATGAATCAAAAAGTAGAACAAGGAACACATGGGACGGGAATCGGGATCGACGCAACGGAAAGAGGTTTCGAGGCAGCAACAGCAGCAACGGTCCAAATGTGCAACATGTGAGTTTCGCTGGTTTCGCTAGTTTCGCAAAGTTTCGGCAGTTTCGGTGTGATTGAATAACGTAGATGTACAAAAATGGTAGCTGAACTTCATAGTGGGCGGCAACAAGCGTCTTCTAGTGCAAAGCTCAAACGTGAACCCTTTATTTTATTTTATTATGGAACCAGTGCCTTTTTGAACCAGAGGCACTCTTCCAGAGTACCCGCCCTGATCCAAACCACGAGTGGGTCGTGATCTACTTACTTACTATTAAAATAAACGTTAAAACAAAAAGAAACCTCGTTGGAAAATACAAAGTAATCAGCAAATTTTATTCATCCACCTATTCATGTCTACAAAATAAAAATATAGGATATGTTACCTAATTTAAAATGTTGCACTTGTGAATCTGGCGTTTTATAACGTCAGGTAAAGGTGTAAAGGCAAAAGAAATCGAATTTTGTCAAAATGGCCAAGCAAAGCCGAAGGATCACAAGTAGCCGAAGCCTAGCCGAGAGCCAGTGAAGAGCCCGATCCCCCGAGCCGAATGTCAGCTTGTGTCATCTGTGGTTCGACCAATTATTTTGACGGAAAAGATATCGCAAGGCTTTTTAGATTTCCATCGCCGCTATTGCATCCCGAGAAGAGAGCCGCTTGGGTAGCTGCAGTGAGGAGTGTTCACCCGGACGGCTCGCTATGGGTGCCGAAAGGGGATTGCCATGTCTGCAGCGCGCACTTTGTCACAGGTACGACTCATGCAAGCTTCAGACGAGCTTGGCTCGTTTATAATGTGACGCTGAATTCTAGGGCGGCCATCGAACTTCAAAGACCGCCCTGACTTCGTACCCACCTTGTTCAATTACACAGGAGCGCCTGGCGATGCCGGAAAGAGACCTGAAGGTAAACGCTAGATTTCTACATTGCAGCTTCGTTCGATTTACCTGCACCTTCTGCACCGGTGCAGAAAAGTGTAGGGCGGTCTACTTCCGGTCGTATCGTAGTACACATACCGGAGGTACACGGTACACTGCCCAACAATTTTCTGCACCCGTGCAGGTATGGTGTTTAGAACCCGTCTTCGACTGGTGTATTTAGCATCCTGTGCTGCCCATACATCACAAGTGGTTCCCAAGTGGCAACAAATGACGTCACAGAAGCCGAAGCGTCGTGCTGTTGCATGTCGCGATCCAGGCAGTTGGTCGTAGAAATGCTAACGAGAAACTGCGAGTAGCACACAGCAAATGCGAGTGTCGCTGTCGTCACGGGTTCTCAACTTCTGACTGCCGAAGCTTCCCTAAACTGCCACCCTGGAGGAGGACCTGCAGGAGAACAGGCGCCTGCCACATACACCCAGTCTTGGGTAGTAACGCGTTACTGTAACTTCGTTACTTTTTTGGTAACTTGTAACTGTAACGAGTTACTTTTTAAAAATGTAACTTGTAACTGTAGTTCTATTACTTTTTTCTGAGGTAACGATGAAAGTAACGACGTTACTTTTGTCGTTACTTTAAAGTTTTTTATGAATAATATCTCACTGAACGAGTGCAATTTAGCCATTCCTTGCACTTTCCAAATCGTCTATTTCGACATTTCAAGTGTCAAGTTGACCTTGCACAAAGTTGTGAAAACGTTCCTTCTCGCGAGTCACGACCCGAATATAGCCACATGTAGATTTTATGAAAAAAAAATTCTAGTTATCTTTACGCACGCGCTTGTACTTTGTGACTGAACACTTACATCTTAGTGTCTTGAGGCACTATCTATGTTGTGGTTTTTCTTCTTTTTTTTTTTTTTTTGTGCAAACGCTTTTTAATCGGGTTAATCAACCGTGAAACAACAATACACGTGGAGGGCACTGCGCATGTTTCATATTTTGATTAGCGCGACTACTCCGCACAGCGCATGTTTCGTATTTTGATTTGCGCCACTACTCTGGCGTGGAAACTTTCAAAGACTAACTTCGAGAAGCAACTGCTGCTAAGCTACAATATGAAGTGAAAGGCATACTTTTTAATTTTATGCAATAAAACTTTGTGAGGGGCGTTTTCTAGTTTTTTTTTTTTTTTTTGTGTTATAGAAAAGTAACTGTAACTGTAACGAGTTATTCTTTTGTTGCGGTAACTGTAACGGTAACTTCGCTACTTTTTTCTGAAAGTAACTGTAACTGTAACGAATTACTTTTTAAAAGTAACTTACCCAAGACTGCATACACCACAGCTGTTGGGACGGTGCCAGGAACGCGACTGGCGATAGCATGACACTTCTATGACGTCATCAGGGGAAATCGAGAGACCACTTTTTTGGACGCGGTAAACGCAGCAGTCAAAGATGCGTTGCTGGTAAATTGAACGGTGCTCGTGTACACCACTCATCTCTATGCCACCAGACGACCATCTGGGGAAGGGGGAGGGGGGGGGGGGGGGGTCGAGATAGGTGATACAAAAAAGAGATTTGCCATTTCTTTGGAATTTTATAATGGCGTTCTAAATGCTTTGCATTTAGAGTGCCATCAGGATTGTTTATGAGGTGTTGCTTGAACTCCAGGCCAGCCACTGGATATTGGCTACTGCCTTCGTGTCACTGCGGGGCCCGGCGCTCGTTTTGCAGCAGCATCCCTTGCTCTTCCCTCTTTACATCAGGGTTGGGCAGTATCGTGATACAAATGTGTCACAATAGTGTTTTAGAAATACTTTTCATATTTATATTTCTTTATCGATGCAATTTCTCAATCAATATCTGTTTCAGTATCGGGATACATTTTCGGCGCATTCCTTGTGTCGCGATACAATACCGGGTCAATGTATCTTGTTGTAATGTTCGAGAAATCAGTGACCCCCAAGCAAAAGCTCAAAAAACTGTTTCCATTTTTTTTTTTTTTTGCTTTATAGGTGTAGAAGTTATAGTAAATGGCACCTTGAGGCTTTGTTATCAAGCAGACCAAGGGTTGTTTCAAACATTATGTTACCATGATTGGTGACATAATGTTATACCCATGTTTCCTTGAACTGTTTTTGTGGAATCAAAACATTGAAATCACTGTGTGTACGAGCTTTACAAATGTACATCGCACTTCCAGTCCCATTTACTAGAGCAAGCATAAAGTTGGTTCCTTCAGATCATGAAATATAAGAACACCATCTCATTCCAAGGCGACGTCTTGCAATGACTGCATTAAAGGCACCGACTTGGGACTACAGGTTGCTGACCTTTCGGGGATATTTGGATGGATTCCAAATATGGGAAATGAATTTAGAGGTTCATGTGATATTGCTTTGAATGTGTTCAATATATCTAAAGGAGAACTGCACTACCTTCTAGATGGAAAGTATCTTCAATCTTTTCAATACCAACTTAGTTACCACTGCTTCATGTTAAAAGAAAAATGGCAATTCTATGCCAAATGTAATTTCGGGCTCGAGAACGCCAGAGTTTAACTTCACCCTTTACCTCACGATTAGTATGAGCTTTTGTTTTCACTGGAGGACTCCTTTTCTGCCTCAAAAGTACAAACTGTGTCAACGAAGCCTACATTTTACTACCTCCAGCGAGGTCTTCGTATACATAAAAAAAAGCATATTTGCATGGTTTAAAACTTTCCCACTGTGAAGGCCGTTTTCGTTTGTTTCAACATGAACCAGTGTTTGTTGACACTTGTGGAATGCTTTATCTTTTTTTCTAACATGATTCTTCCCAAATCGGCAACAGCTGACCGACGAGCTCTTTAAAAAGACACTTTTGATCAAATGTAGTCGAGTTTAGCAGCAAAGTCGTACGTTTACTTTTGTTTGGTATTGCTTCCTAATGAAAAAATAAAATATGTAGCAAAAGGTCGTTTCACTTTTGTTTTTCAAATGGTAACTTTTTGCCTGTAATACAAAAGCTCGCATCACAAAAAGCCTTCTTTGAAGAAAAATATATGCCCGGCAAAATTAGAATTCCTGTATATGTATTTCCAAATACTTTTTTCTTGTTTTTTAAATGTATTTCTGATATGTATCGAGACACCTTAGCAAGGATATATTGCAGGAACAGCATTTCAACTGTCTTCATCATGTATCTGTGTGTTTGTATTTCCGAATACATTTTAGGGTATCTCCGCCCAACCCGCTGCTTCGCATTGCTAAGCTCGCCATTGTCGCTCACTTTGGTGGTACAAAAGGGTTGCAGGCAAGAGCCTTCATAGTTATGTGTAGTCCACATTCCTGCCACCGAGCACACACTGAGGAAAGTCCCCACTCCAAAAGCAGACAACAATTGCCCGCACCGCCGGCAGTCGGCGACTGCACGCTCTATCGAGGCTGCACCCCCAGCTCGGACGCTAAAGCACTAAATGCGGGCCCTATATGTGCCACACATTTAAGCTTCCTTGCTGAGGGCATATTAACAGAAGTAGTGGACTCAAGCTTTGCATTGAATGCCCCAAAAGTCTAATTGGAACCAGCTAAAAATCTTTACAGTAACTCGCGAGTGCGTGATACGAGCCATCCGCTGCAACTGTGGAATACCGTGCGCACCGGCGTGGTGTTTGTGGGTTTGCAGAAGGATTAGCGAAATGATTCACAAGACATATTCCACCCTGCTTTTCAGTACCTTAATTGCTCGTGACATTTAAGCAATATTTAAGCACGAAAAGAGAGTAAGCAGTGTCCCCTCAAAAAGGAAGTACTCAACCGTGAGCCTGTTATCAAGTGTAGCAGTGGTCACAACCAAAATCCAACAGCTGAAAATGTTCAAGTTGTTCCATAGATAATTGCTTCAATTTTTACGCTGCACACCAACCAGCAGATGGTAACTCTTTTTGAATAAGGGGAGATTGTTTGGCATTTTAGCACACGTCAGGCATGATTTTATTTCTGTTACATGAGTTTAGTGTGTACCAGTATTAACATTTTGTATGTTAATCTCATTTCATATTGACTGTTTCGTATCTTATTTTTTTTATGGAAGAGGGTGGTGGTCAGCTGATCAGCTGTGCAGTTTAATCACATTATGTCATTTGAGCCTCCCTCTAAAGTCCAACTATGCATGGAATGAAATGGGTATTTCAGGATTGATGATATAAAATTTTTTTACAAGAAAATAAACAGTAAAAACATACTGTTTAATAATTCCCCCACTAAATAATGCTTGAAAATTTATTTCACAGAACTTGTCGTCATTAGCCGCCATTGTATCAGATGGTACCTCACGTAACACCGTGACTAAGTCAAATGACATCAATATCCCCGCTAAATTTATGTGCAAAATCCGCATGACGTCACGTTATAATGTTGTGTGACCTGACGTCACGTAACAAATTTTCCCTCTAAAGTTTACAAGGATATGGATGTCCCATGATGCCAGGTCTTTGGGCTTTTCATGTCTGCCCTAATACATGTGACATCTTTTTTGATAGGTGAAGGAGCTGCACTTGTGGAGGCAACCAGCTGCCAGCTTAGAGCCACTGAGGACATCTGGTTTAAATGCTGTCTCTGTGCCTATGTCACTACAGATCAGCATGGAATTATTAGCCACCTTGTCTCCCATGGTGATAAACAATTCAGGTGCCAGCATTGTTCAGTGTTGTTTGACTCCATGTCAGAATTGCAGTGCCACACTCAAATGCATAGAAGTGATATTCCATTCAAATGTCAGAGTTCTCCGAAACTGTCCCTCGGAGAGAAGGTCTGTTTTACTCACACAAGTACCTGCAAGTGCCCGCGCTGTCATTTAGCCTTTAAGGAGCATGGTAATCTGACCAAGGACTATCAAACACATTCGGCAGAAAAATCTTTCAAGTGCAAACAATGCCCTAAAGCCTTTGCACACAGTGGCAGTTTAACCAACCACAATCGAATACACGCAGGTGAGAAAGCTTACAAGTGCAAGCAATGCCCCAAGGCCTTCACTCGAAATAGCTGTCTGACCATCCACAATCGAATGCACACGGGTGAAAAGCCTTACAGATGTGAACTGTGCTCTAGAGCCTTCACTCGACAATCAACCCTGCCCGGCCACATTCGAACACACACAGGTAACAAACCTTACAAATGCAAGCATTGCCCTAAAGCCTTTGCTCAGCGTTACAATCTCACTGTGCACAGTCGAATACACACGAGTGAAAAACCTTACGAGTGTAAGCTATGCCCCAGAGCCTTTGCTCAGAATGTCGCTCTCATCCTACACAATCGAACACACACAGGTGAAAGACCTTACGAGTGTAAACTGTGTCCCAAAGCCTTCACTTGGCAATCAACCCTGACCAGCCACGTTCGAACACACACAGGCAACAAACCTTACAAATGTAAGCTGTGCCCCAAAGCCTTCACATGGCTGTCATCCTTCAAATGCCACAATCGAATGCACAAAAAACAAAAGAGAAAGCAATAGTGTTGTGCAAATATTTGATTAGCATAATACACAATTCGATATTCCCTTCGGGATGAACTGGGATATTTGTATTTTTCTAAGTGTGGATCACAGTGGGTTAGCCCCGTTAAGCGCACTTCTTACTGAGCAGTGTGCACCACAGAGAAGCAACACCCACGGAAGTGACCTCTGCGGGTGTTGCTTCTCTGCAGTGCTCCGGTGCACTCCACGAAGCTTACCTGCTGCAATCAATATTTACAAAAAACGCAAATTTCTTTCTTTTTTTCTTTTCCTGGAAGAGCTAAATTTAGAGATTGAAACTAAGCCAATTTTCGCTGAAGTTCAGATGTCTATCATTTTCAAAAGGTGTTAAGGCCCGACCATACTAGCGTAAACGGCGCCGCCGGGCGGTGCCGCCGGGCGGCACCGCCGGGCGGCACCGCCGTCCGGCGTCCCAACGCGAGGAGTCCACATTGGCCTCCGTTTTGCAGGCGTCACGTGACAGCACTGGATCCCGCGATCGCGCCTCCCGTCGGTTTTCCCGGTTTTCCCGCTCTTTCGTCGTCTGCTCTTCGTTAGATTCTTCCGTTCCGCACTCGCTGTCTAGACGGTAGGAGTTCATAATGACCTGGTGATCAGCGTGAATGTGATTATCCTAGCCTGCTCGTTGCTCTTGCGACGTCGCCGCGCTCTGAAGGGAAGGAGGCGCAGGTTTTGGGTCCGGCCGAGTTGGTTCTACCGAAACATTGAAGGACAGGACAGGTCTGGCGCGCCGCCAGGGCTTTGCTGCCCCGGCGGCGCGCCAGAGATGAAGGCTACTCTCGAAAGTGTCACCAAATCAACACGACACCCGTCACAACAGAGACGACATGCAACAAGTGCCACGGAGAAACTCACTTGTAATTCCGAATTCCTCCTATAATTTCCCAGCGGTTAGTGTCAAGGAACCGCTCCGTTGGGGAAGTCATCAGGGGGAAATAGGGGGAGCAGACGACACGAAACACGTCCTTCGCTTCGAGACGCGCCGAGGACCGGCTTGAGCGTTGCCATGGCATCGCGACGTCACTATCTACGCCACCTCCCATTGGCTCCTCTCTTCTGCGGCGTGCGGCGCTGAGCTCAGAACCGCGCACGGAGCGGTTGGGTGTGCGGCGCCGCACGTCGTGACGTTGAAGCCGAAAACTGGTTTCCGCCGGCAACAGGCAGCGACGACCGTCGAGCCGCAGGCCTCCGAAACGCCAATGTGGTCGTGCCTTTACTCTGAGATTGGTTGTATTATGTGAGAATAACAAATGTAAAGGTGTCCGCAGTACAGGCTCAAAGCAATCTGACAAGTGCACATTCCTGTTTGTCTCAGTTTCGGTTCAGATAGATTTGGCTCTTTTAGAAAAAAACTCCTCGAATATCATTCATGTGCATAGGATAAACGCATACTTTTAAAGTGGGATGGTGCACACCTGGTGTATTTAAAAATAAATGGAAACTTTGAGAATGTTGCTACCTGCATGGATGTGAATGTATAGATTTATAAATCCCCTCGATTCGGTACAGCTGGGTGCCTCTATAGGTTTAATTTTTTTGTCAAATTCGTTGTTTCCTTACCATGACAATGTAGGCATTGGACTTTTTGAGGTCATAGTCTATAAATATAGTTGGATTGAAATTAGCTAAACTTGGAGAAATCGAAGCTTGAGAACAGCATTTATTAGTTCAGCTGGGTTTTCATTTAAGCATGGTGCAATAGTGGTGAAAGGGATAGAGAAACTATTCAATATTTGATTAGGAAATATTAGGCCAAAACTACAATTCGCTTCGACCTCAAAATCCACTATTCACACATGACCACAAAGCAATGTTTGGAAACCTGAAAATTGAATAGTCTGATAGTTACGAATGGGTGGGGTTGATGTTGATGATGTTCGGCCACTTGTAACAAGAGGCCTGATGGCGAACACGATGCGAAGTGAAGTTCAGTCAGGTGGCATTATACTTTAACTTAGGTAGATTTATTTAACATAGTACGTTCACAGTAGTGGGCGCGACCAGACGTCGCCGCCCGCACTTTCTGTCCTCCAAATCCTCGACGAGGAACCCAACCGCCACCCAGCTCGATCCGTCTCAAAAAGCCCGTTCTCATCGTTCGCCCCTCCGTCTTAAGAGTCGGAGTCAGGTTCCCTCTCCCAATCGTCCGATCCAATCGCCCAGTTTCCCAGGCGATTTTCTTTCTGGTAGACAGTTGGTCCTAAAAGCACACAAGCAGAACAACAACATGCTGTCGTCTCAAACGAATAACCAAAATAAAACACACAAAGACCCTACGTTTTCTTCGACGCTCATTACAAGAAGGCGCCTTAAGATGGGCACACCCACGAACCCGGCCCGCTCATACCATGAAAGCAAAGCCAACATGTTCGGCACCGTTTACTACCCCAGAAGGCAGCCATCCGTGGGAAAGTGTCCCCTTGTCCCGGCTCCCCAATTAGGCAAACACCCGCTCGAGGCACCCCTGAAAGCGACATTCCCGCGACACTCCCCCTTTCCTGGTCAGGCCGCCATCTTCCCCCACCGCCCGCGCTGATCCTTCCGACACCGCAGCTGCGCTTTGACCCAAACCGAAAAAAAAAAAAATAGAATGAATAATATGCCTGTACCTAAGTCTGATCATCCGCAACCGGACGCATATTGATAAAAAAAATGTTACATGTATAAGCTGTGCACAAGTTCAGACTGCTTGCGAACCCGACTACATTCAAATGCGCAGTCAAAATCCTTGTAAGTGCAAGCAATGCAGCAAAACCGTAGCTCAGATTGGAAATCTGATCCCCCACACCGGTCTGATCTCACACATACACAAAGGAAAAATCATACAATTCTACATCCAATTGCACACAAGCCAGTAAACACTGCAAGTGTAAAGAGCGCCCAGGATGCTTTGTTTATATCAATACTCTGGCTCAGGGGTCTGTAAACCCCAGCCATCGAAGGCATTTAGGCCATCCCGCAGATGGGCACAACCTTTCTAGTCATGCCGGGCCCACTGCCTCTAGCGCAAAAGGAAGCGGCGCCTCGATGCGCCTCGAAAGTGCGAAGGTATTATTTACAATTACAAAAAACTGCCTCAAAATGTTTTTTGTCTAATTTTTTTATTGTAGATTGTCATTACCAGTGTGACTATTCGTAGTCCCCTGTTGTATGTGTAACTATACTCATTTTCACCTCAAGAACCGTAGTAAAAAAAAGTATGGCTTCTCGCGGAGCATTACTAATTTCCCTCTTTATGCTGAGACTTGAGATATATGTAGGTGCATTTCAGATAAGAGATATGTTACCTTATCAAGACGTACACGTTTCATACGCCAAAAGCATAGCTTCTGCCTCCGACAACCGAATCTTGTAAGAACTACTTCGTGCAACATATGTACATTGAGCAAAACTTCCTTTTTTTTTTTTGTGGGGAAAAGGGTAGAGTTTAAAATGTTGTCCTGTGTCATAAATTGCATATTGTCATCAGATCTATCATTCTCATTAGTCGTATAGCCATATGTGATAGTGACTTTGCTCTTTGATTTATGTCTGGTGAGGTTTCTGGGTCACCTTGCTAACTTTATTTGGTGGCCTCATCAATCCTATCTTATTAACAAACTAGAATCTGTTCAATACGAGGCAAGTCGTTTCATATCACATGATTACTCTCGGAAATTCAGATACCTGCACTAAAGTCTGCTCTCGACCGCGAGGACTAATAAATTTAAGAACTCCCCACTGGATCTTGCCATTAATAACTGGAATTCTCTTCCTCAATTAATTGTAAATTAAACTTATCACAATGAATTCAGAAATCTTTGCAAAGTTTCCACTACCTATTGTTCCTTTAGTTTTTTAGAGCGCAACTCTTGGGCACATGTTTCCAGCTTGAGCAGCGTCGGCGTAACTGCGCGGTGCATTATGGAAAATGTCCCATAATGCACCGCGAGGGGAGGAGAAGGGGGAGGAGCTTGAAGGATGAGGGGAGGAGGAGTAGCAGGGAGGATGAGGAGGAGAGGGAAACCCTCCCCTCAGTACCCTTCGCTCCTCTTCCTCAAGAGCTGCACTCTAATTCGGCGTTACGGGGTGTTGTAAACGTCTTTCATTTTTAATTTTTTTTTTTGTGTACACGATGTTCCTTATTATTCAGTGCTTCGGATCAACTTGTTTAAATTTGTTTCCTTTCGCCCTTCATGTAATGTACTTCCATGTACCTTTGACAGATAATAAAATGAAATGAATTATTTGCAAAACTGAAGTACTGTAAACGACTCCTTTTCATGGGCTCAATATTTCGCGATTTAGGTTAAAGCTGAAGTTTTGGAATAATTCATGGCTTTTAATTTTCGTGTCTACATTTTACTAGAATTGTTTGCGGGATCTATTTTTCGCAAATTGCCCACAATTCGCGAAAATTAAGTTGTTTACAGAATATATTAATTCTCTTTACATTTTTTTTAAAATTCAGCCTTCTTTTTTTTCTTTTTTTTTTTTTTTGTAGACCCATTCCGAAATTTAGTCGAGCCACTTCGATAACTATCATCATCATCTATGTGCATATATCATCTGTACATGCTAATGGCGGCCTTTTGATGGCTGATAAAGGAATAGTTTGAATACAGGCACCGATGTGGACCCTGAATATTGCAGGCGTCGGTTCGCTGTATTGTTCGATGTCATCGTGACAAGACATAAGATTCTATGCGCTACGCATTGGAGGGTGTCATGTAAATCCTCGGAATGCTCGGCTTTGGCATGTCTCAGACAGCCCATGACAACAGAATGCGGTGAATCTTATCAATAGTTTTACTCAACTACTAAGTGCCACGGAACGATCTGTGCTACACACCATCGAAAGTGAAACAAATTGAGAAATAAGTGCAGCGAAGAAAACTGTAACTGTAGTACGTCTGCCGTTGACGAATGTGTACTCGATTTTAGCTGCCATTAGCATACAAAAACTTTAGACTTATAGTTGAGCCACTAGATGGCACTGCATTTGTGAAAGGTCTATTACAGTCAAACCCATTTATAACGAACAGTAAGAAACCATTTACAACGAACTTCCACGATACGTTAATTGTAAGGCGAGAGCTTCTCTTTCTTTCTCATTTCTCCACTTGCACCTTGTAACAATGTGCTGGAAAGTTTTTGGGTTTTTTTTTGCATGCATGCTGAGTTCATACTTTTAGCTTTTCTCCCCTTCTGAACCGCTTCTCTTCGTGGGCAAGCGCTTTGGGATGAAAAGTTCTTTATTTTTTTGTGTGTGCGTGCAGTGTATTTTTTAGAGTTCTCCCCTTCTGAATCGTTTCTCTTCACTCACTTTTCTTCGCAACTTGGGC